CAATTGACCGCTTCAGCTGGCATCAAGAACGATGTCATCGCAACGATGACGGCAAGGACGGCAAGGAAAAACGAAGTGCGGGCCATTGTTGGACTTTAGTTTCTAGATATTGAGACATGAAAAACGGAGTTGGATGTGGGTGTGAGGGAGCAGATTGAAGGGTTGAACATGTGTATGTCAACGTATCTAGACGCCATGAGTTACCTGGGACAAGAAAGGTGCTTGAATATAGTAGACTTGAATTGGATTTAGCCTGGTTGCTTAAGCTTGGTTCGATGAGTTCAGAGAAAGGGCGAGCACAGGCTTTTTATACACGAATAATATGTGGACCATTGCACTTCTTGACCTTTTTCGCATTCATCTTTTGTGTAGAATGCAAGTCAAGGAGAGAGGGGGCTGAACTCCCCTTCATCTGGGAAACATGAAAACGATGAGTATTTCCGTCTGCCAATCAAGCAACCAAGGAAACTAGTATTCCCTTTGGTGTTTGAGTAAACCTCCTTAGGCATTTGGAGTATAGAATGAGCAGTAGCATATCCACCTATTCTTTTCACCTTTTCTCACAGTAGGAGAGACTTAAGTTAGGAGGTGCGTGCACAGCCCATGCTTTAATCCAATGAGAATCGCCCTTTCCTTTTCCCCTCTCCATCCCTAACACAGAGCATTATAACAAGGAGAATAGGCGATGGATGGAGGGAAAAGGATGGAAAAAGAAAAGACGAGGCGTAGCATGCAGCTCCTATTCGTTCATCCTTCGCGACAAGTTAGACAAGGAGAAATGATCCCACCATTCACACCGAGTTATCCATAGCCTCAAAAAAATGAGAGCAGGAAATAGAACGATGACTTTGACAACTATGCACAATGTGAACTATGGTTGTCACCCTCTTACGAAAACGCCCTATGACCAAAGGTTGTGATAAAAAAACATGTTTCGATGATGAACACAGACATGGGTCTTTTCGCATTCACTTTTCGGTGGTACCATCCGTCGTCATCTCCATCCTTCGTTTTATTTTCTGGTGTAACAACCATTTGTCAGGAGAAAGAGCATAGCCCCAAAAAAAAAAAAAAAAAAAAAAAAAAAGAGTTTTGTCTTCTCCAAGGAGAGCCCGCAAAGCCCCTTCTATCAGTTCTTTAACTGAGGAGTCTCCCAAAATTACGGATACTAATTGTGGTACATCCCTCTTCATTGCATTGGAGAAATACAATAGCAAATGCACAAAAAAAATTAATTTATTTGCACTACAAGAGGCGTTGCGCGAATGAACAAAAAAAAAACGTGTTCAATTATGAGGACACCTGAGACAAAAACACGGCAGACCACCAGACTCTAGTTATCGGGACAGGCATCCTGACGTCTTTCGACACAATTGGTGAGGTCATTGCAAGGTCCGCAACGAATGCTAGACGCCCCTGGAGAGAAGCATTCACATTCATAGCCGGCCTGGACGACGTGCAGCATGGACGATATCATCGTAGCAACGGCGACAAAGACGACGAAAAGAAGTGTAGAGCGGGCCATGGAGGTTCTTGATCGGACTAAGGAAATGGCGACCGTTGGTTAGGTGGAAAGTAGGTTTGGGGAGGATGGAGGCATGTGTTGGTTAGCGGTCTGTGCAATATTGACCATTTGGTCTGACCCCGCGTACAAAGGATGGGGCGGTGTACCTTGAAGGGAAAGAGCGTTGAGAGGGAGGACGTTTGCTTGATGTGGTAGACTGGAGTTGGCTTGTCTTGAGTTAGTTGACCGTATTTGAGTGGGAACCTGTTATGGTTTTATACCTGGCCACCCACTTCTTGCTTTGCTTTCCGGACTGTGATCTATACTTTTCTCTCTAGAACAAATGAGACGTCAGAATCGTCCCTTGATAACTACCTCCAAAAAAAAACGCGAAGCGGTGCACGAACACTACACACCACTGAAAGCAAATATCACCCATTCCCTTCCCCTGTCTTCTACGCCCGTATTGTCCCCTCATCTTACCTTGTCTTTTTCTTGTTCGGCATACAAATGGACCGAAAATAATGATCCACTAAGAGTAGGAGGTGATCACCAGCCCCACGCCTGCACACATTGCAGTTGCCTTTTCCCTCCCTCATTCAAAACGCGAGAAAATGTAACCCTTACTTTTTTTTTGCGAGTGGGTTCATTCAAATGAATGTTGCAAACCAAAGACACCCTTGCATCCGAGACTATTCCACCGCATAATAGAATGGTAAGATCAGTACAAACCTAAGGGGGAAAGAAAAGGAATGAGAAAGAGATGAGGCGTAGACGTCGGCATCCTATCCAAAGTCGTCGCACCGCCTATAATGCGCAAGGGAGAGTCTGGTAGGTCCGACGCAGATAGATAATATTTAGCACAGAGTCAACGCGACTGATGATTGCCCATGGACCGTACTTTCTTTCCTTCGTCGCGAGAGCGAGTAAACAACATAATTCAATGGACATACAAGCTCTGATGGCAAGAGCAACTGGTGTGACACAGCAGTAACAACATATATTCTCAATGCCAATCGGGCGAGGATCAAAGTATATCCATTTCGCAAGATCCCAGAAAAAAAAAGTTGCAGTAAATTGGTGTGAGGCAAACCTGCCTGCCACCTATAGGGATGACATCAACCTCATCCCGCTCTGCTCATTGTTCCGTCTTGTCCTGCACTTCTCATCTCTAGGCGAAAGAGGGGCACCATTGTATGTAAAAGCGCATCTTCTCATAGTCACTATCTTGTAAGAGAAAGGCCTGAAAGCAAAAGAGTGTTTTATTGAAAAATGGTTCCCTGGCACGCTGAAAAGGTGCATTTGCACGAAAAAAGGCAGTCGAACGAAAAAGGTGTGTTTCTTGACGAACAAACGGTCTTTCCTGACCTTACAACCGTGTTTCTTCGCCCTACCACTATGTCTCTTCACCCTGAGGAGGACTAGTCGTTATGTGTGTATCAAAACAATCACGAACAAGCCAATCGTTGGCACAAACGAGTGGGACCATGGCTTCTCCCCTATCACAAGTCTCTACTCCCTTGGGGTTACCAAGTTGCAGATGAATGGGGGTCCAGCATCCACCGTTCACACCCATGACGTTCAACAAGTGGTATTCGATATTATGCTAAATAGTATCTGAGTAGGTTTATTCAAAATGATATGCAATACAAAAGAATAATACCGGCCCAAGGGTAATGAAGACGAACAACGCGCCGCTCTGTCCCTGGGACACTTGTGCCAGTCAGCTTGAAGCTGCAGTCCCGGTTTCGCTCATAATTGTATCAGGTTCCACAATGTTCGCTGACCAGGTTTTTGCCGCGGTTGTAAACACATACCTCAGCGCAGTGGAGCAGTAAAGGCAGAGCATCTCAAATCAAAAAAGAGAACCACTTCTGTCGACGTATAAGCTATAGCTGGCTACGCCTTGTACGACATAGCACAAGGGTGAGAGTCGGAGCGAACAAATTAAAGAATCAATGGTTGATAGACATGCAGCATTGTACAGTGCACAAAAAGGATTCAGGCGAGCATGTGTTTATTTGGGTTTCCTAAACGTAAGTTAAAGGACAAACCCTACAAAGAAAACTAAACACTAACCTCTTTTCTTTCAAACAGTCATCCATATCGCTGCAAAGTGCATCTCTTGAGTACTTGTTGTTATCTGCTTGTGTGTTTTAACAGTTGTTCGACTCAAAACAACCCCCGCTAAACTGCTGCTCGGAGCACGGGCCACAACTGAGGCCGGACAATTTATTGCCGTCACGGCTGGTCGAATGACACTCACAGCCGAGGTCCGCGACCACGGTTGTCGACAACGAGCCCATCGCAGCGATGGAGACGACGATGACGAGGAGAGAGGAGAAGAAACGGGCCATTGTTGCTTGAGAGGTGTTTGGGGTTGGAAAGTGAGAGTGAGAGTGTCTAATGATTTACAAAGTGGAAAGGGTTGTTAGTTTCAGTTGAAGGAAACGCGTAGAGCTGAGATATGTGTGAGATACTTGGAAAGTAGGTAGATACCGTGGAGGGAGGTGGTGTTTTTGTGGAGGTTGCTTGGCTTGAGTTTGCTTGCTGATGTTGTTTTGAAAAATGAGAGAGTTGTCGACTGGTTTATATACCTTCGCGAAACATTGTTGAGATGCCAAAGGACATAGAACAGACACCATCATCATCGCTGGTCCGTAAACGCAAACCATCGAAGGAGAGGGCGCAGGTTTTTTTCTCCACCGGGAGCAAGGAAAAACGAAAGGAGACAAAGTCATCACCCGTACCATCACCCTCGGCTTGGCTACCCATGTCTCCAGAATTAGAGCCTATCGCACCAGTCATGCTAGCCTCTATTTTCTTGGTCCCAGAGCATGAATGAAGGCACGGTTTTGCATCCCAGTGTTCAAACACCAGACGCACAGCAAAGCCGTAACCTCGAATTCACCAAATGAAAACAAGGACATCAAGCGAAAGAGAGGGACGAGGCGTAAAATGAAAACCCCCTCCAGTTCCCCTCACGCACCCAAACGCCGGTTGCTCCTCTTTTTTTATTGTTACCATTTGTCGTCAATCTTCCAGCCCCCACATACCAGGACCGAAAAAATAAACAAAGAGGGATAAAGAGAACACCGAGAGATTGTCCCCAAGCCTTCACCTTCTCCTAGGATTTTCCCACACTGACGAGACAGGCCAGCTTGTGGTACATGGGCACTCCAAAATCAAGGGCAGACATGAGGCGTACACTTGCAGTAACTAAACCAAATTCATAAAATGTCCTCCTGAATACGGCAGTGCAACAACCATAGCAAACGGTTCAAAGTGCTGTAATGTCGCGTTTCAGTTTTGATAGTTCTGAGCCTCACTGTAGAACAGTGTCCTAGCAAACAAAGCCCTTCTTTTCCGGCCATGTGAAGTAAAAAAGAGTGATCGTTGGGTACCGACCCTTTAATGCCTTCGAATTATACTATTATACAAATGGTCTCCGCGCTGTTCCTAAGAGAGAAGTGGTCGATGGAGTCGATGAACAAAATTAGGCTTTTCGTTTGCGAGTCGAAGATCCGACACTTGGGATCTTGACCTCCTCAACCTTCTCCTCTTCCTCTTCTTCTTCTTCGTCCTCCTCGTCCTCGTCCTCGTTTTCGCCCTCTGATGACTCGTAGTCAGACATATCATCCCTATCGGTTGCAAACGATACAAGATATGTTAGTAAGAAAGTTCAACGCTCTGCCACTTCAAAAGCACATGGCACATGTCGCTATCGAAACAAAAAAGAGTTCTTACCACATGCCCAAGGACTTGACAGCCTTCTTCTTGACAACAGCATCCTCATCATCACTGCCCTGTTTCTTGGCCTTCCCCTTGCCCTTCGAATCCGATCCCGACGACGATGACGATGATGCTCCAGTAGGTGATGTCGATCCAGCCTTCAGACTCTCCTTGATAGCAGCCGCAACAGCACTCTTGACCTCCTCAACCTGCTCCTCGGACTCGTCAAAGAACTTTGCATCCTCAAACCGGTGTTTCCGTGCAGGGCGATCTGCTAACTCCAGTTTCTCCTCAATCTTGCGCTTCAGTTCCTCCTTCCTGGCCTTTTTCCTCTCTGGCTCTCCACGAACATATTCCGCCATCCTACAAAAAAAGGTCATTCGAAAAGAAAGATAACAGTTATTACATTGAAATAGTACTTTGCAAATAACAATGCTCATTCTGCACAAAAACAAATCTCACTTCCTCATGGGGGTTGGATTACTAATACAACACTTACTTCTTGGCCTCATTGACAGTCTTGATACGTCGCCCACTCAGATCCCGACAGGCCTCAGTATTAGTCGTCTTTTGAGAATTCATCCTGCCTCCTTGTGCACGCAACATGCTTCCGAAGCCTCCCTTGCCTCCCGCCATCCGCATCGACAGCGTAAAGTACTTCAGCTCGGCATCCTCAAACAACAGCACCTGGTCCACATCCTCTTGCTCAGAAGAAGGGCTGAGGGGCAGTCCACCAGCGGTCTGGATACGTTGTTCGTCAACAGGGATCTGATAGAGGTCGCAGAGCTGCTGCTTGAGGTCGTGCAGACGAGGGGTAGAGTCCTCGGGGAAGGAGATGGCCACAGAGTTGGACCCAAAGATAGACACAATCGCTTCCATCATTGCGTTTTGGCTTTGTTGGGTTGGTTGGTTGGTTGGTTGTTTGTTGTTGAGGTTGTTTTGGAGGCTGAGGCTGATGTCGAGTTGAGGTGAACTACTGCTGATGAAGGGTCTCTCCTTGATTGCTGAGGTCTCTGATTCCTGCTGGTCGAATGTTGACTTGCGGGGTTGTGGGTGATGGACAAGAGAGAGACAGTAGGTCAAAGGGGTCGCTCAGAAAAAATAGACTTGGCTGAGCATTGAGTGCTAAGCCACTCCTCAGCACCTGACTAAATGCAATGATTGTGAATGCATTTGATAATGAATATGTTTAATGAGTTGGTTTGGTTTGCAAGATAAAAAGAAAAAAAACAGGCTACAAATAGAGACAGAGAAGAGGTGACAGAGCCTTATTCGTCAGTCTCCTCAACAACGGTGGTGCGCTTGCGAAGGGCAGCGTCTTCCTTGGAACCGCTCTTGCCCTCGGCCTCGGGCTTGACCTCCTTGTCATCATCGTCAGCAGTCACCTCATCAGTCTTCTTGGCCTTGGATGCAGCACGGGGGGTACCGGTACGAGGCGCTGCCGTCAAGAGACCGACCAAGATCAAGCCCAATCCAAGAGTGACTCCAATGATCGCTGCCAACACTGCCGAAACCATGGGCCTGCTGTGGATCGCATTCATGGGGTCCTCACGCGCCAACTCGATAAATTCGCGCAAGTGACCGACAAGGAAGCCAACGGGGTCCTCCTTGAACGAAGGGGGTCCCTCAAGGCTCTTGGGCTTGGGGTTGGCGAGCTCCTCCTGCCTCTTCTCGGCGGCGTGCTTGATCTCCCAGCTCTCAGCGGCCAAAGCCTCGGCGTCGGCAACAGAGTGACCAATATAGATGTTGTCAAAGAGGATATCCTTCTGCATCGTCCAGATTTCGAAACCGACAGCGCCAATCTTCTCAAAGTCTGAAGGATGCAAGTCCTCAAAGAACCCAGGGTTGGGAATCTTGCGTGGAGCCCAGACTCCCTTGTAATCAGGGTTGTCGATCAAAGGAGCAGACCACTTGCCCTTGTAGGCGGGGTTGGAGATGTAAGGGCGGACCCACTTGCCACAGCCATTGCTCGCGCACTTGGGGTTAGGAACTGAAACGGGGACCCAGTCGCCATCCTCTTCATCATCCCAGTCCTCGGGCTTGACGGCATCAGGGTCGGGGATCTCTGCCAACTCGTCCTCGAGCCAGTCGCTAGGCTTAACAGCCTTCTCGTCGAGAATACGGGCGGGTGCATCCTCGTCCCAGTCCTCGGGCTTAGTGGCCTTGGGGTCTGGGATCTGGGCAACCTCGACCCAGTCGGCGGGCTTACTGTCGGTGGGGTCGTCGATCTCCTTAGGTGGGTTGACTGGGGGCTGGAAGTCCTCCAAGAGCGATCCAGAAGAAGAACTCTCTCCGTTGATCTTGATCTCATAAGTCTGATCAGGCCTATATTAACAATGAGAAACGCGTGTCGCGTTAACAATTGATTCAACTTCTTGATAACAGCTACAAAACATGAATGTCAATCCAGAAAATGCTTACTTGACGATCAAGGTGTAGAGGTTGGTGAGGGCGCCCAACTTGGCCAAAGGAGCAGACTGAAGGTGCTTCTCCTCGTAGACTCCAGTGATAGGGTTCTTGTGACGGAAGATAAAATGGACCTTGTTGGTGCTTCCACACTTGTCGGGTCCAAACATGATGGTGTAGGGGGTGTCGTTGGAGAACTCCTTGAACTTGATGCCCTCAGGGGAATCCGTCAAGAGCTTCATGTAGGCACCACCGCACTCCAATCCAGTCTGAGCCTTGACTTCATACCTATGGAGATATATGAATCAATATAACGCGCGATGAGTCGATTCGGTTCAAAGTAGAGCTATTGTTACAAGGTTTAGCGTGTTGGTCAACAGGTTTGTTGATGACAATAAGACTTACTGGACGACGAGGGTCTTGTCCTTGTTGTCGACAACCTCAGGCAAGGAGGCAGAGATGGCGTGGTGGGCAGCGGGGCTCTTGGCGACCAAACCCTTGTCGCCCTTCATACCGGGGTAGACAGTAGGCTCCTCGACGCTCCACTGACCAACATAGCTAAAGACCTCGCCCTCGGCAGTGGTCTCCTTGGTGGCCTCGCTGGCAGTCCAGCGTGCCGACCAGTTGTCAGCAAACTGCTCCAAGAAGGGGGCCTTGATCGAGGTGACCTATCATTTATTCACGTAACATAACAAAAAGAAGTGTTATTTTTTCACGCGTCGGGGTTGGGTGAATGAACACCACGACTATTCTCGTTGACACTTCACACTCGCGTTTGGTGTTGCGTTTTATTACCTTGAAGTCCTGAAGTCCAAGGGCGTCGGCTGAGTAGTCTTCGTCACCGGGGATGTTGAACTTTTGCTGGGCATGGTCGTGTCCTTCGTGAGCGTTGACGATGCTCACGGCTGAGGACAATGCCAAGAGAGTGACGAGGCCCAGGGAGATGCGAGTCATTTGGGAATAAGTGCGGTTGTGTGGGTGAAGGAGAGGGGAGGATTTGAATGAAGAGTGAAAGAACGAAGTGAAAGAAAGGAAAGAAAAGGAAGAAGGGAATGAAGACGAAAAAAAAAAAGTTGATCAAGGGGGTAAGTGTGGGCGCGAAGGGTGAAGGGTGTGTGTTCTCTCGTCCTGTCTGTGTCGCTGACGTGTCAAAGGCTCGATTTGCGTCGATGCAGCCAATAGGGACAGAGAATGAGGCTTGAACCATGGCTCTCTTTCATTCATTGAATATTCTCCGCCACCAAAATAACAATCACCAAGTACCAAAATAACTTTTTTGTTGTGCTGTTCTTGCCCTTCTCCCACTCCCAGCAAACGGAGCACAGCCAACCAAGGAAGGCAGGGTCAAACTCAATGGCGGACAGCAACACCAGGACAAGAACAACAGACACCAGTGACATCCACTTCTGTCCAATCTGTCACGACCCATTCCATGGCGACCACGCTGCATTCGAAAGCCACGTCAACTCGCACTTTACAGATGAGGGTCCTCCTCTGGACCAAACTCCCGTCTTGATCATACATCCTCACCAGTTCCAAGAAGAGCCCGCACAACATTGTCACAGTAAACTCTTTGATGTGCCGAATCATGCAAGCACCGCCCCATCAGCACATGACACTGAGGATGACTTCAAGATCCCCTGCGAGGCACAGAATTGCAACATGATGGGTATGATACTCTTACTTACTGCGCTCTGAATTTTTTGCTGTCATCGAGCGCTGCACTTACAATGTTCCTTCTCTATTGCAATCATACTAGTCCACATCAGGTATATGGCGGAGCACATGGACATGCACTTTGCTGAACAAATCCAGGGCGATCACAACCCCAAGGTAATTAATTATTTAGGCGATCCAGGGATCAACTACACGCTCTGAGAATAGCTCGCGTGCTGACAATCAGTTATCGTATTGACTGATCCTTAGCGCGCTTACAATTCAAAAGATATCCCCTCCAGCAAACGCGCCAAGGCCAACTCAACGGATACCCCGACACCCAATCCAGAACCAGCCAAGGATGAGAGGAGAACAGGACAAACAACCATGGATGGATTCCTGACGCATTCCCCTCGCGAGCCGAGAACGCCATCAAGTGGACCATCATCACCAACACAGAGCCGATTGCCTTTTGTACAGAAACCTGCTTCTCCATCTACTACGGGTATTACAGGACTGATCGACAAGGTTAGGATTTTGCTGGAAACCTCACTCGCTCAGGGAGCCACAGAACAGGCCTATCTGGCCGATCCCTCTGTGATGTTTTTCCAGAGCGACAAGTCGGACCGAGGATGGGGATGCGGCTACAGGAATATTCAGATGTTGCTTTCGTATGTTGTCGGTCAAACATACGCCACATCAACCACAAGCGCCACCTCTGCCGCCGCTACCACATCTAATATCCCAACGATCCTGGAATTGCAGCGTCAATTGGAGTACGCATGGACTAATGGATTCGACGCGCAGGGAGCAGCACAGTTGAGCTACAAGGTCGAGGGTACCAAGAAATGGATCGGGACTACCGAGGCATGGTCTGTGTTGTGCTCTCTTGGCGTCCGCTGCAGCATCCTCGACTTTCATATGCCAAGTGGAGCCAATGGAACACACCCAGCTATGTTTGCGGCCGTCTACGAATACTTTTGCTCGCCGAATTGGTCACCCTTGTCTGGGCCATTGTCTCGCCAGGTTGACAACTCGCGACAGAATGGGAAAGAAGGTCAAGGACAAGGTCAGATCATCCAGACAGCCAAGCCACCACTCTACATTCAGCACCAGGGTCACTCTCGCACGATTGTTGGGATTGAGATCTTGAAGGAGAATCAGGGAATGAATCTGCTGGTGTTTGATCCTGGTCGTTGGCTCCACAGTGCTATCCCCACTCTCAGACGAGATGCCGTTTCACTTTCACATTCGTCGGGATCCAAGGCGGTTGTGGCAGGAGACAAGAAGCTGGATGCGCAGTACTTGCTCAAGGCATTTCGACAAGTGGGATCGGGTATTGCCAAGGCCCAGTACCAGCTGCTTGGTATATCTGGGCTCTACAATGAAGACCGTCATGGCGGTGGTAGTGCTGGTTGGCCCAGTCATCGATCGTTGCCATCACCGTCGCTGCAGTTGCTTACGAGGTATCCATCGCTGTCTGTGGGATGGACTGAGGATGAGCACGAGAGCAGCAAGTCTGTCACCAGCACACGAGTCCCGTAAAAATAATAAACAGCAAGGTACTCTTTACGCAAGAGATAACCCTCTGTTATCATGCCGTATCATATCATCATGATAACACAGTAGCAACAAGGATTTTGCTTTGCCCTATTACCGATCTCAGAGACATTCAATTTTTCAGTCTCAGCACGCGTGAGTTGAAAAGGAAAAGACAAGGAAGCGTAAAAAGAGTTTTCGCTTTAGACTTCTTTCCTTTCTTTATTCCTCCTTCACAATCCTCATTCCTCTTTCTTTCTCCTTTTTTCATTCCATCACCATCTCTTTCCTCCATCTTGTCCACCAAATAATTCTTACCCTACCCCTCCTCCCCATCCTTCTCCGTCCCAACAACACGCACAGACACACCCTTCTGTTTCTTTGTGTTACATCACGCAAACTCAATTTTTCACTTTCTCGTCCCACACTGTAGCCGCACCCAACATCGTCATATTACAATGCAGCGCATTACATTCTCCACCGCTTCTCGACCCTTTTTCTCTCGAGCATCCCGCTTCCCATGCGTCAACACCAAGAGACACCTGAACACAGAGAAGCCGCTTTACTTTTCAGTCGCAAAGTCGTCCGCGAAGGAACCTGCTACGCCCAAGGAGCAGATCATCTCCAAGCACCTCTCTGCCGACAAGAAGGGGAGCGAGCTTCTTGACAAGTTGGGTGCTTCTAACAAGGCTGGATCTACCGTGATCACCATTAATGGTAAGAATGAAGTCTACTGGGTGGGCGTTCGATCACTCTGACAATCTAATAACGCATGCAGCAGAGGTGTAGCGTTGGGACAGAATTTTCCCACCTCTTATGCGGGTGAGAACGGGAGGGTAGAAGACAGGGATTCAAAAAGAACGTCGAGAACCAGCCTTTTGGGCGGAGTCAATCCTTTGTGCTCTGTGTGCATGTGTATCGGCGTATCGATGAGTTTATTATCTTTCTGTATCTGTGTATCTGTATATCTGGTATCTGTGCAAGAGTGTGTATTGGCTGGGTTGGGGGTCTGCTCTGCTGGGTTTGGTATTGTTATTGTGTACGCATTCTCTATCAATGGCTATTTGATTCTCAGTCTGCCAGGCACACCTCAGCAGGGACTTTTTGGCTGGCTGTCTGCTGCCACGTTGTCTCTTACCCTTGGTTCCCCTGACGATGACGCCTTTGTCATATCGTCGCTTTGCATCCTTGTTGGCCCTGTCGTGCGGTGCTTCAAATAATATTATAGAAGCGCCCCAAATTTTTTGAGTGATGATGGATGATTGATGATCCATATATGGAAGATTCGCTTATCTTTCAGTACCTTCATTCCCAGAAACAACATCTAATCTTTCTGACGCCACTAAAAATATCAATTGGAATTAGGCTCGCCGTCGTCGACATTCATCTCACCCCTGTCGGCAGCCGCAGCAGCAGAGGCCAACAACCCCAGCAACAAGGTCTTCACCGTCCGCCCCATCACTTCCTGGATCGACAAACTCGCTCAACGCCACGGCTCACCCGCCTCAACCTCCGCCCATGGAAATGGAGACCCCAACAAAAAGTACTCCAAGCGCGAACTCGTCCTCAAGACCATGCAGCAGTCTTATACCGAGATTATCCTTCCCTTTGCGACCGATAACGCTCTTCTGGAAGAGTACATCAACTATGGAGGCACCGTCAGGCATGGAAAGATCATGGAGGATTTGGATGCGCTGGCAGGTGCCATCTCTTACAAGCACTGCGATGACGGCAACCTTGAGAGCTCGCCGCTGACCATTGTCACTGCCTCAGTCGATCGTATCGATTTCTTGAAGCCCTTTGGCGTCAGCGACTTGCGTCTCTCTGGACATGTCACTTATGTCGGATACAGTTCCATGGAAGGTAAGAAACGGGTATCCTTCAATTTGTTTATGTTGGAAATAGAAACGAGAACGAGAAGAAATTGTGTACTCACCACTACTGTTTGATTTGATATTAGTGTTCATGAAGATGGAGGAGATTAACAAGGACAAGCCTGGTGAGCACGGAGATACCATTTTGGTGGCGCGATTCACCATGGTCGCTCGAGATTCCCTGACAGGCAAGGCAGGCCAGATCAACCCATTGCTCCTCCAGAACGATGCCGAAAAGAAGCTCTTCCAAATGGGAGAAGGTAATTTGATATGCTTTTGGTTTTTTAACACACGAAAGCTTCGTTATCAAACGTCTTGTCAAGACAGAGCGTTGACCATTGGCTGCTCTATCCTTCAATTGTAACACAATAGATCACAAGGCGAGAAAGCGCCTGGCGGCGGATACGGCGTTGACAAAGCGGCCTCCAACTCAAGACGAGCGTTTCTTGATCCACGATTTGTACCTGGAGTACTCCAAGTACGACAACCCTCAGCTCAAGGTTAAGAAGCCTGATGATGTCGAGTGGATGGCTGATACCAAGATGAGCGCCATCCAGATCATGCAGCCCCAGGACCGCAACATTCACGACAAGGTATGCCTCTCTTTTATTTCTGTACTGCATGTAATATACGAATGGGCTCTTCTCACGGCGCACGTTTCTCACCCTTTTCTATCATTTTTGTTCTAAAATAGATCTTTGGTGGATACTTGATGCGCTTGGCCTACGAACTAGCATTTTGCAACGCCTCGGTGTTCATTAAATACCGACCCACCTTCCTCGCCCTCGACGAGATCTCCTTCCGCAAGCCCGTTCCCATCGGCACATTCCTTGCCCTCGACTCCCAGATCGTCTTTGCTGAAGGTGGTGACCACCATTCGTTCCAGGTCATGGTCAAAGCTGATGTGCTTAATGTCCGAAACGGAACCCGGGAGACGACGAATCACTTCTGGTTCACGTTTACGGATCCCCAGCGGAGTCAGGAAGAAGGTGGCGATGCTGGCAAGGGGTATGTGACACCCAGGATCATGCCTAGGACGTACGCAGAGTCGATGTTGTATTTGGAGGGTAAGAGAAGGAGGATGGAGGGCGCCAAGTTGGCACATCTCAACCGCAAGAATTTGGGTCTTTGAACATGCAGAACATGCATGTGCTTCTGAACCCACTTTACCCTCCTTTTTTGTCACTCAACCACTAGTAGTTAGCTTGCATTTTTTCATTGTCTTGTCCACCATCCCTGAATCACGCTATGACGTCAGAAAAAAAAAGTAATTACAGTAAACAAAGAAAAACGCGTTTTTGGACCCGACAAATCTTGTTTGTACGTGAAACTGAGGGATACAGATCCCGCCTTTTGGACCCTTTGGCTGGCCCGGGCCACCCTATGCTTGTACGTCATTTTTTTGTGGCCAAGAAAGAGAGAGAAAGAGGGGGGGGTCTCAAGCGTTCCTGTAGAGGCGAAGCGAAGTGATGAACAAAGATGACGCGCCACTCTTTTTTCTCGTCATCATTTTTGCGGGATCGACATTGACGAGCTTTTATTATATACAATAAGAGGCCAAAAAGAAAATAATAATTGAAGGCGGGGCATTGGCTGTTTTGCTTTTGTCGACCATCATTCCTTTTTTTTTTTCTTCTTTTATTGTCAATTGATGCGGGGGAGGGCGTTTGAGGTGTTCACAAACGAAAAAAGACGGGTAGGTGTAGACAAGCCGATACGAGACGTGGATGTGAGAGATCAGATTAATTTTATGGGGAAAAAAAAGTTGGCGCCTAATGAGAGCCCAACAAGCTCGTTAGCATGTCTCTCTCTCTCTCTCCCCTGGCCCCCTTTTTTCATTCAAAAATATGGTGTACGCTGGGTTCAGCTATGGTTCTGAACTAATTCTATGGTTAATCGTAGGTTGGCTTTTGAGGGATGATGGTAGAAAGGAAAGACATGAAAGGGGTCAAAACGCAGGAAAGTACGATGAGAGTGGTTCGACTCTGGGCTGTTTAAAGGGAAATTGTCCCTTTGATTGTTTGCGCCTGCTGTACAGAACTCCCCGAATTTCTGGAGGGGGGGAAACTGAAAAAAAAATGGACAAAGAGAAGACGTTGGGTGAAAATATTGGAGAGAAGGGGAGAGGGTTTCGCAAGGGGAAGAGTTACTGTAACTGTACCACCACTCTCTTTTTTGTGCCGTACTTGAATTCAATCAGAGGTGTGTGTTTGTGTGTGTCGTCCGTTTGATGAACATACATAAGCACTGACTGTCGAAAAGGAACGATGCCCTGCCGTTCGTTGTTGAGTAAGTTTGTCGCTTTTCATCTAGGAAAGTACTATTACACGACGGCGACGACGATGGCGTACAAGGAGAGCAATGGAGTCTAGGCCGTGAATCGAATCTTCACCTAGGCAAAGGCAAAGCAAGTAGATCTAGTATTGTATTGATTTTCGACAATGGCAAATGTGATAGGTGGAGAGAGAAAGAGACGGAGAGAGAACGAGAGAGAGTGAGTGAGTGAGGCAATTGGGTGTCCCTGGATGAGTGGCGAATGGCGAATGACGAACGGACTGGAAGAGAACCCTTCCGAGCCGTTGTTGTTGTTTTTTGAGTTCAAGTAATTCAAGCAATAACAGACAAAATCGAGAGCGATCAATTTTTTGGTTTGCCAAATTATTTTCCGAAGAAGCGAGAGGAACAAAAAACGTGAGAGAAATGAAAAAAAAACCCCCCACCAAATGGAGGAGTAGGAAAGACAAAAGCCTCATCAGCATGAATCTACTGTAATTGATTTTGTGGTTATGGCACCACGGGGTTAAGGAGAACATATGGGTATATATGATGGTGTGTGTGTGTTAGGGGGGAGGGGGACTTACCTAAATGAAATTTAATTGAGATGAAGGGATCCCGATTCTTTGGTAAGATAGGGAGTAGGGAAGAAGATGGAGAAGCCTTGGTGTGCTGACTTTGGCTTCCGACCTGCATTTTTGTCCATGCCATTGAACACATTGGTGGAAGGAAGGAAGAGGAATGGTGAAAAAGCAGCTCCGATGGGCTCTGTTGACAAACTGAAAATGAGGTGATACAGACACTCTCAAGCAAACAAGAGGGATTAAGTGCATGGTAGGTGGATGGGGTGGATGATCGTCGTGGCTGGTTCTATTCATGGCCCATGGTACCTTGTTCGTAGCCACTTTCCATTCACTACATATGGGACCTTGTTCGTTTGCCGTTCTCATTGCATTAGAGATGCTTCAACACCACCCAGGTTTAGCAGCATACCTTCTTTTCTTTTTCTTTCCCGCGGCAGATAACCATACAATGCATTAAAAAAGCGAATGGCACAGCATGCGAGCACATTAAAAAGACAGTTACTCAAAACCTGAACGTACAACCCACCCTTCAAGCAACGGTAGTGCCAATCAGGTGGGCAATGGGATGATGCACCTTACACTTTCTTTCAAGTCCAAGGACCACCAGAGTTTAAGAGTGATGATGATGGTGGCGGAGAAGAGGAGGACGATGATCTTTGACTGGGGCCAATTGGCGAATCCGGACGAAGGATCAGCTCAGAATCACCGAAACAACCGAAACATATACAACACTCGCTTCACTATTTTATTCCTTTGGATGTGCTGCTGATCCTCACCCTCGGAAGGAGTAAAAGTTAAGGAGAAGGAAGAACACATACATCCAGCTCTACACAACCCCGTCCTCATGACTCCACATAAGGGCTAAAAGTAGTCGGTGCGAAGGAGAAAGGAGAAAGGACAGTGAAGAGCTGGGTACCGATGGACAGTAACGGGAGCAAGCACGCATACAAGAATGTTTCTATGCTTGCTTGATTCTTGGGCTGGGGTCGAGCTTTTGTATCCGTACCGTACATACTCATGGAAGACAAGAGAAAGTCCTGTTTTATGAATGAGAGACCTTTCTCTCATTCATTTCTGTTGAGAGCACCACTGACAGTTGGCAACAGCAACGACAGACAGAGAGCCTTGTTGCTATCTCTCTCTCTGAGCACTACTCCATTGTTGCTATTTTTTGTGTGCTTGTGCGACCAACAGGAAGGAATGAAAAATAAAGGCGGCCCATGCCTTCTTCACTCTCACCTTTCCGCTGTTGCTTCTGCGAAGAACAGCAGCCGTACGTTGACGGTTTGCCGTTACGGTGCGGTACTTGATGAGAGACTGTTGGACCCTGAGGGCTCATCGACATCCTTCCAAGGAATGACAAGTGTTCCTTGTCCGATAGTCTTTTGCTAGCTAGGCCTTTCGCAATGATGAGAACTGCGTTCACCGACGTACCCAAAGGTTACCAGGAACTAGTTTTATCATTGATCGGTTGATGAGATGATGACGACTCGCCAAGGGTATTGGATTCCACTCTTTGGCCTTTGTACTCGTCATCATGTTCATCTAGCAGCATATCCCACTCCTACAACTCTGACTCGAAGAAGGCGAAGCACGAGATCTTTTTGGTGTCAGTCAGGGTCGCTGACTGCTATGGTAGGTCAGGTGGCCACTTATAAAATAAAAAGCGCACGCACACTCGGACGCAACAATCGAAACGTCTGGAACTCCCGGGCTTGCGACTTGGCATGCACCCTTGTTTCATCCATCTACCGTATGCCCTATGAACAGACAAAGCCAAGGCTGCCGGGTAAGGTGTACGCATCCATCTTTATCAGTGCGCTGCCATGGAGTTTGTTAGCTACCGGCAGCTTTTGGGTCTTCGATGCGGCGATCGCCGATAAAACGTCAGCAATCCATGGAAGTAACAGCTGCTTGCACTGGGGAGTCCTGCCCGTTGCCAGTGTCGTCTCCCTTGAACTTCACTTTGCTGGAACGATAGACGCTTCACCAAACAAGCACCACGAGAGAGAGAGAGAGGGAGGAGGCAAAAGAAAAGAACAAAAGGCATGGATACAAGTAATCTGTCCACACCCGCCCCTTGGGCTTGTCATTTGACCCCACGAGTCTGTTGAAATCAAAAAGACTGGGTAAACAAAGCATCATCATCTCCGGCATCCTCAGCCGCAGCGCATTTTTTTTTGAGCGAGTCGTTTATTGCATGGATGCAAGGTGCAGGTGCTATGGGAGAGAGAACGAAAGTGGGAGAATGATAGAGAGAAACTGCGTCTGCAAGGTGTACGATGTTTGGTGAGGCGCGGAAGTGAAGGGAAAGAGGAGGTCGTTACTTGGCTGTTCAAGCGGTTCTAGTTGTCCGACTGGCGGCAGTGGAGGTGGTCAGGGTGTTATGAGCCTATGAAAGAAAGGGTAGGGCGACGTGAAAGTTAAAGGAAGGAGAAGGATGTTATCTTCTTGGCAGTTCAAGCGGTTCTCATTATTCGGCTGATGACGGTGAAGGTGGAGCGTTGATGGCAGCAGGAGTGAGCGGCAGGCGAAGACTCTGTGGGTGCATGTGTGGGGGAGAGACGTAGGAGTAGCTCGGAAGTGAGAAGGTGCCAAGGACGAGAACCCACGGTGTTTACGGAGAGATGGATGCGAATAAGTGGGGGTTGATATGTGAAAGGAAGCGACGACGACGGTAGCGATGGCGATGGTGGTGATCGTAGTGGTAGGGACGATAAGGTGAGCGAGTGAGAGGGAGAACAAGAGTGACCGTATGGGATATAGCGAACGAGGAGCGTCTATGGGGTAAGGTGGCGCAGAAGGGCCGTGCCAAGGAGCACCTATGATGATGACAAACGAAAAAGAACCAAGGAAAGAAGCGAAAAGTAGTGGCGTCGATGAGGAAGGTATAAAAAGGAAGAGGCCACGACAAGTGTTTTCGCTTCTTTCCTCTTCTTTCCTCTTCTCTTCTCTCAACATCTCCACCTCTCCTTCTTCATTTTTCTCGCCCTCTGATTCGCTGTGGATTCAATTGACACCTACTATTCAGTGATATATACAACAACAAACTAAATTTTCAACCTCAGACAAGCCCAGCAACAGGGAGGGAAAAAAACATATTGACGCATCAAGGTAAGAAGAACAACAACAGGAAGAACTACAGGAATAAACAGCACACCTTGCGCCCATGGACATCAGTCCAAAAAGTCATGCAAATGCCACATACCTCACCATGCAACCAAAAAAATAAATAAATAAGAAACTCCCGGCACTCCCAGAAGATGTAGAACGAAGAGAGGAGGATTGACCAGCCAGCCAGCCAGGGTGGCCATCAGGGCTCTTCCTCTTCCCTTTTCCTTTCCCTTTTGTTTTGTTTGCTTGTATTCTTTACCCAAATCCCACGCAACACACACGTTACAACCCCCTTTTTGCTCCCATCCCTATCTCCCTCTCCCTTGCCTGTGCCTTGCCTCTTGTGCTTGTAACGCGCATCGCATCCATCGTCGTACTCTCGTTCATTCGCTCCTTTTTTTCCCTTTTCGACAAAAGGGGTTGGTGCGCTGGTGGTGCTGGTGGCGCTGATGACTGGTTGATATCCCTACGTGGTTTTCTTTCTTCACGCCTCCTTCTCACCCTCATATTCATTCACATACTCAGTGACATACTCATACCTACCAACACACTCGTACTCACACATACATTGCTCTGCCTTTCCTTTCTTGCGTCCAATCTCCCTAGATTCACAAAAATTATACACCCCTCTTTGTACGCTCTTCCTTCCTCCGCTTCCATTACCCCGGGTTCTCATCCTTCATACTCTTCTCCTCTGGTCATCCCGACCACCTCTCGCGAGACACCTGACCTCTCTCTTGAGCCAAAGACTATCTGAAGCGCGGATAATGTAAGTGAACGCTCAGAGCGGAATGGTGGCAATGTTCGGTACCAACTGCATTGGAAGCTTAGGGAGCTTAGGTGCAGCTTCATTGCTGCAGTGAGCAATAGGTGTGGGGTGGCGGTGTGGCGATGGGGATGGATGACTAGCCACACTTCTTTTTCCTATTGCGAACGGCACAGTGGATTATTATTCATTCTGCGGCGAAGCAAGGCAATGCTCTCGGACCACCATGGTGTTTGGGCGGATAAACAGCAAGCAAGCATGCTTGGGTGCCAGGATGCACCTGTTCTTTTGTGTGGCTGCTGATATGTGCAGCATATGGTTAAGATCTTTTGGTTTTAGTGCATTTGGAAAACCAGGGATGGGTTACTCAATGGAATAAGCTACCTTGGCGATGGACCTTCAAAAATCAGGCTCTTGCAGTAAAACACGGTGATGAGGATAGTTTGAAGCAGCTAGCAGTATTTTTGCTTTGCTGCGAGTCTGGTGTTCCATTGACTGTTGGAGCGACCGTTTGTTGAGTGGCAATGCATGGCCATCGGGTACTTTGTGCCTTGGGTTGGGTTGTTGAGTTCGGCATTGTATTTCTTCACAAGTGTAATTATAATTATACTTCAGCTTCCTTTGCTCTTGTGTGATGGATGGGCGGCCACATCATCGTCTGTTATTGCCACTGGTTACCCATTGTTATTGGTTCTCTTGATTGTTTGCGCGTGAGTCTGTGTGCGTATGAGCGCATGCGCTGTTTTGTTAATATGAAAAAAGAGAGACCATTGCCAACACACTTGAGAAGCTGGAACACATGCAGCGGGAGGACAAAAACAAATATTTTTTCATATATCTGCGTGCATAACAAGAAGCAACAACAAACAAACAAACAAACAAACAAACAAGCACAATACGACTATACAGGAGGCACAAGGGTGCAATTTTAGTTCTAGCATCTTCTGCCTCTGCTTAGCATTCGACATCTCGACTGACCAACAGCTTCTTTCTTTTCCTTCTTGAACGATATATAGCGCACTACTTTCACATCCACTCATCCACATTTCAACACACACACACACACACAGAAAAGGAGATCTTTTCTTTCACCTCTTTTGTTTTCGGTAAGTGGCACTCGCCCTGTTCCTATCATCACCATGGTTGCTGTGTATCTGCCAGCTGGATTGAAGGAGAATGCCCTTCGCAGGCAGTTCACAGGACATGCACATGCGCCCCTATTTTTTTCGATACCTCAGTTCAGGTTGTACTGTCACCTGGATGACAGGCCACACAGACAGTCAGTACTTTGCGATCTGTTCATGGGATCACGATCAGTAACAGCATTTTCGTTCCCGATGAGCGGACAGGCCTTTTGGTTTGGTTTGCGGAGATAAGATTGGCTCGTCATATCCTTTTTTTTTTTTTTTTTTTTTTTTCCTGGCAGCAGGCCTCATTCTTGTCCCCTCTCCTTAAACAAATCGAACCCGGCTCTCAAAACAAAGCACAAAGAAAGAAGAAAAAAAAGGCGGCAACATCATTAACAGCCAAAAAGCAAGTCGACAACACCACCCAAAAAATGGATGATCCCTTTCCTGACACCCTTCCGCAGACACAAAGAATAACTTTCCCTCCTCGCCGCCTTGACCAACACAGGACGCATTCGTTATAGAAAGGCTAACCCTGAGCTAATGCCTGCTCATCCTATCCGTCATCTAAACCACAACTACTAACCGACCCTTTTTCTTTTTTCATATGCCGTGTCTTTGTCATCATTCCCTTAGTTCTCCTGCTCTCCTACCACTTCTAGTTCTCATAGACCCATCAAAAACACACAACACACAACTATACGATGGCAAGTCAGTTATCCAAGGTCTACAGCATGGACATGCCTGCAGATCGCTCCGAGTACAGCTATCCGATCACCAACATCACTTACCACCTGCCAGAGTCTCCACATCCAGAGAGAGGCGAGGCCGCAGCTCAGAAGGCCTTCCGGCGCATTCTGGACAGCTACGGCGAGAACGAGCGGCTGGCGGATACCTTCCAGGTCGAGCTCGACAAGCGGGAGCAGATCGCGAATGAGCGCAAGGCTGAGGAGCGGAGGGTTCGGTCAGAGCGTCAGCGCGTGGCGCAAGAGGAGAAGCGGAGCAAGAAGCTTGGCAAGAATCACAAGGCAGTAACCAGAGCAGCGTCGAGCACACCGACGACGGCGACAACTACACCTCCACCGGGTGGTCTACCAACAGCAGCAGTAACGAGTAATCTGTCTGTGCAAGCCTTAGCGCAGGCATTCCAGCCGCGGCATGGGCGGTTTGCTGCTGCGGGATATTCGCTTGTGGGTCTAGAGCGCAGGTCGTCAATTGACCATGTCATGGCAGCAAGCAGAAGCGGCGGACGGTCTCGGCAAAGTTCCGTCGGCAGTCTCTACAGCAGCCGTACGAACACGACGAATGCGACAAGTTCTCACGAGGGCACAGGGGCAAGTGGGGCGCAGATGGTGGATTCAAGATTGAGTTTGTCGGCATCCGATCATCCTCACCCTCCCCATTCCCCGCCTCTTCTTGATGCCCATGGTCATCATTCTTCCCACTCTTCCCATCCCGCTGATAGATCTCTTTCCTCCTCTCCCATCCTTCCCTTGACTCCCTCGCCCCGCCTCAACCCCTCCTCCGATACCGCTTTCGGCGTAGTCGGTCCCCTCCCCTCGACTCTTGCCGCCACCACCACTACCACCGTTTTCCCAACGTCATCGACTATGACCTCGTCCTCGTCTTATTCTTTCACTTCCCCTTGCACAAACAACAACAGCAATAACCACACATCCTTGCCGACACCACCTCAACAACAACAACACTCTGAATTATCGACGCTGCCAATGCGCAACAAACGCAAACAGGCCATTCCTGTCCACCCCTCCGTCATCAAACGGATTCCCGGTATCACCTTCAGAATCCAGCCCGACTTGGATAAGCATCTACAGGTCGAGATCCTCAAGAACATCGATGATTACCAGTCAACTACGACTAAGGATGTGTCTCTCGGAAAGGATCATAGTACCGATGTGGGCATAAGCATGGACCAGCAGCAAGAGGACGACGCTTCTCAGCTGCAGGCAAATCAGGATCTGACCAAGGTCCGGCAGTCGATCAAATCCAGCCGACCTGGTTATGCCTCCCTCTACATTCCAGACGAATCTGCTTCTTACGACGATCCATACCTCCAGGATTATCAGGAATCTTCGCCCCACACAGTCGCTCTTCACGCTGCACCTAACAATAACAACATCAACGCCGCACGATACCATCCCTATCAGCATCACAATCGGAATGGAAGCCTTGGCAGTGGACACAATGTCAGCTTCCACACCCCAACCAAACTGCGAAGCCGGTCCAGTTCGTCCGCCAATATCTGGGCACCCTATGCACCCTCGGCCGCAGGACTGGCCATGCTGCTTTCGGACGTTGTCGCTGCCAGGGCAACGCTACCTCTTTCTTGGGACAACTTTTCAACTCGGGACTGTCAAATGAACAAGGTTGTTGGAAAGAACGGTCAGGACTTTGAGCAGCTGGAGGCGGTGGTCCAGGAGACGGTCGCCCGCCACCAAGCAGTTGCAGCTGCGGCCCAGCAGGAGGCCGATGAGGAGATCCAGTCGGATGGCGAGGCTGATGAAGTGGCGCACAGGCCAAAGCAAAAGTCCTCGACTGCTGCTGTGGCAAAGGAGTCTTCAGGACCAAGTGGTGACGCCCCCAAGAAGAGAAGGAGCGTGCCAGTCACCACACCTCCTCCCCGTGCTACTGCTACTCCTCCATCACGAGCATCAGCACAGCGAGCTACAGGATCCCGGGCAACACGGAGCCGGACTACTCATCAGACGGAGGGAGGACGACCATCTCGAGCTGGAGCAACTGATCTGGTCGAGGGCTATGACGACATTGAGCGAATCCTCAAGGAGAAGCGACAGAAGAAGCGCGAGCAGCAGAGGCGTCGTGATAGCCAGAGTCGAGGAGTTTCTGAGGCTACCACCGAGGGAGACTACGACTTGGATATTGACATGGAGCAACCCAGAATCAAGGAGGATGTTGACATGGACGATCGATCAGCCTTGCTTCGAGGATACACCGATAGTGAGACCGAAGGCAGCAATAGCAAGACTTCCTCCAAGCGGGGTGCAGCCAAACCACCTTCTCCTCCACACTCTCGACAGGTGACGCCCGCCGCCAAGGCCGACCTCGGTTCGTCTTCGCTTCACCACCATGCGCACCTGGGAACGAGCTTGTCTAGGACCCCTCCAGCGACACCCACCAGAGCCTCGACACGCAATCCTCAGCACACCGATCCCACTCACCAGGATACAGGAACAGAATCGCCAGTTACTACTCCCGTCAGCAAGACTCGCGCGCGGGCTAGATCGTTCTCGACCACCATCCCGACCGACGCCAAGACCAACTTTTTCGAGTCTGCGCTGGAGATGATTGAAGCCAAGCGTCGGCAGTCGATCGCCAAGAAGAAAGCCTCTGCCGTCGTTAATTCGGTCACTAACACCGACAGCCAGCAGGATCATCAGCAGACACAGCTGGTGGATGAACAGCAACAGCAAGCGAATCGGCAATCGAAACAGGAGCTTGCGAATGAAACTTCGAAAAAGATGATGGCGCCCAACAGCAACATTCCAAAGTCGTCCAAGCTATTGTCTGGCCGAACCCTCCGCAAGCCCCGAGTCAGGAACTATGATGGCTCGGATGTTGATACTGATCATCAGGATGGAGGCTCGACCTCTGCTTCTGCAGCGGCTGGTACCAGCGCCGAAGTCATGTATGATCAGGATTGCTCGTCTTGCCGCCTTGATGTCACGGATATGGACCAAGAACTCTGGAAGCAGGCGCGTCAGAGCGGCGAGATTAATTTGAACCCCAAGACGTGGGGTCGCACCGCGATTCTTTGCTCTTCTTGCCGAACACAGTACCGCCGTCATGGACTCCGTTGCACTCAATGCTTCTACGTCCCTGTCTGGAACCCTGAGCCTATTACCCCTGCTCCTGCTACAGATGAGGCTTCTTCCTCTTCTGCTCCTGCCCCTGCTCCTGTGGTTCCTGCTGTCGGTAGCTTGTCTGTCATGCCCAAGCCCGGTGGAACTTGCAAGCGATGCAAGGCTGGCACTTGGTTCCAGGAAGTCTGAAGACCTTCTGTAGCCCACCCAGCCTTCATTGCGCACATATACTTTACATTTCCGTTTCACGTTCTCCCCCCCTCCCCCCCATATATCGGCAACCTTTTTCTTTTTGAATTTTCTTTCCTTTGCTTTTCCTTTTTTTTTTCATGCACCATCCCATTCTTTCACAAAAAATCCTCCACTCACAAAAAATATGTACCATATGTTGACCACTTTCATCCTCCCCCCTGCACATACACACACTCATTTCCCATTCTAAGTTTTCTTCCCCATTGTAGTTTTCGTAGATAAACACCTCTCTCCCACCTCCCCCCCCCAAAAAAAATATATCCAAATAATACAACAATCTAAACCATGGGTCAAAGCACCCAAAATAACACAAATGCTAATTATTGTGTTTCCTTTTCTATATACATGATCGAGAGGAAAATTAAATCTCCCAATCGTGATCGTATCGCGGGGATAAGGACGTGATAGCAGCCATGGGGTCGATGAGGTAGTTGAGCTCCTTGAACATCGACTCCCGTGCTATTGCCTCGAACTCTTTGTACACCATCTGCAAGATTTTCTATTTGTTTGTTCGTTTGTGATAATTGAAAATAAGGAAACCGTGCGATGAATGAATGATTGATTAGCCATTTGTGTTCATGTGTTCATGTATGTCTGTGTGTGTGTGTGTGTGTGTCCCCTTGTCGATTGACGATATCATAGATATCATTGCCGATTGTACAAGTCTTGGCATCGTGTGTTTTTTATGTCGAGTGAATATGTTGTTACACATGCCAATTTATGCACATGGTAACAATAAGATGATGCCAATGTTTCCGTGTGTTTGTTTGTGGGGGTTTGTTTTACCTTGATGCGGTTATCGGCGCGTTGAAAGTATTCAATAATGGAAAGCGTCCAAGGCCGTTCAGCAATGAATGAAGTCCGAAGCTTTTCGTAGACTGTACACATCATCTCGCACAAGGTCGATGCCGTGATCGTGTAGTCCAATGCGAATGGCTAATGTTAGGCGGGTGTTATTGAAAAGGTAGAGAAAAGGGTTTGGGGATTTGTTAGTGTGTAATTGAAGAGTTGGGGAAGTAGTGAGGAGGAAGAGGAGTGAGGAGAAGGAGGTGGAAGAGGGGAGGGGGGACGTACGATATGCCGGACTTCGAGGTATGAGTATTCGCCCTGTTCATCAATGATCATCCCGTCCGTCGTCGTTTTCCTGCCCTTTGAAAAGATCTATTTGAAACACACAACAGCGATGTTACTTTATGTTAGTGACACCAACCCTGGATCATCAAGAGACAAAAAAAATGAAGCAAAGATGGAAGAAGATGAGGAAGAAGGACATACGGATTTGGAGCGAGCTTCGGCGGTGCCAAAGGCATCGTATTCTTGCAAGAGATTAATGAGCGTCTTTAGGAAATCGGCCGTGTCGGGGATCTCAAGGATCGTCGCCAGTGAAGTCCCCGTGAAAAAGAACTGTAGCGTCCTAATTGCGCGTCAAAGTGAAGGGGAATGCGAGTGTGAGTGTGGAGGGCGTTGAGCAAGAAAGGTTGGGCGAGGCGAGATCGGGTTTAGATGCAGCAGAGTGAAAAGAGGACACATGAGTAGGACGGAAGAATAATCAAGGTTTGGATTTGTTTTTTCTTTTGGGCAGAGGGCTCTCAATTCGACTCAATGCAACCATCTCTGTCTTTGCCCATTGTTTTCATACTTCTTGTGTGGAGGAGGCAGGTTGTTGTTGGTCAGTCGATCGAGTCGTCTTGTTTTTTTGTCCATCCCACACATGTCCACATACGCCTTTCGACAAAAAAGGAACCTCAATCCCTCTCTATTTTCCCTTTCCTATTAACCTCACACCTCTCCACCCAAAAAAAAAAGAAACCTTTCCAAGTGCTTACCTCCGGTACATCTTCTCCTCAGTCCAGGCACTCCTCATATCATCCTCCGAGATCAGAGCTGTATTACAAAACACCACCCCACCACGGAAACAATTATGGAGGTAATGCCACGAGACCATTCTTCTGGTAAGATGGATTTGGATCCATTGTTGTTGTTGGGCCATTTCTGCATTTGTTAAGAGGGCTGTGCCGGGGGACATCAGCAGCGTTGCTGTGTATCCTGGATTCGACATATTGTTGGTTTGTGGAAGGATGGGAGTATGTGTCGGTTGGTATGTTGTTGTGGAAAGAAAAAGGGGAATGGCACACGAGGGTTGTGAGAAGTATGTAAGAAATTAACGGTCGTTGTGTCAGATGACCAAAGGTGAAAGGGAACAATGGCCGGAATGAATGAATGAGCGAATGAAAGAAAAAAGAAAAATGGAAATGAGAGCTGAGTGATGGAGAGGAAGGAGAGAGAGCGAAGAGTGAAGAGTGAAGGGTGAATCGAGGAAGAAAAGAAGAAGAGGTGGCGAAGAGAGAAGGAAAGGAAAAAAGGAAGCGAATCCTTACTGCTTGCACATACACATGGCGCAGATTGGCAGTCGATCCCAACCATTGAGGGGGAAGAAGAGGGCAGAGAGTCCATTCGTCATTCAGGCACCACACTTTTCATTTCTTTGCGCCGTGTGCACTCACAAACAAGCAACGAGTGGTGAGATAAATGAACACCACCATCACCAATCGAACGCCTTCCTTCCACCCCTATTGTCCCGAGCCGCTTTTGGTGCTCTCAACATCCACCGACAAAGCCCAGAACGCCTTACTCTTGTGCATCTACACTGCACGCTGCACATTGCACACACATCGCTCGTTCTTTTTTTTTTTTGTCTCCGCAAAAAATGTGATCGGACATTAACGAACCCTTCGCTCTTCCTCTCTCTCTTTCCCTCTGATTCCCGTGGGAAACAAAAACATGGGGTCAACAACCTTTACAGCACAATATGCGGGGACTCAAATAAAGCGAAGCAACATTCCTCAACAACCTCAAAGAGCCATGGTTCTAGCCCCTTCTCCATTCTTCATTCTGTTGACTAGGAAAGAGTACATGCTCGTTTTCCTCCGGCCCTTTTCTCTCTGTCTTTTATACCCTTATGCTAATTCGACTGTGTAACAGTCGTTTAACGTGTTCCTTTTTGTGCACAGACAACTCCTATACCTTTCTCAGATACTCATGCACAAATACATCTACCCTTTAGCATTTTCATCTCCCATGTACCCTTCATTATTATTCATATCTAGTTTTAACGATAATGTTCAAGCACATTTTTTCATACTGTTCTTCCCTGTTACCATCATGCCTTAGCTTCCTGGACATGTTTTCCTTTTGTCTCTGGAGAGAGAGAGAGCTTAGCGTCGTCGTAGGTTACATCAAAAGAAAAGAGGTAAAATGGACCATTTTCGCGCCGTGTAAATCAAAAACTATGATCTAGGCCGTGTGCGAAATATACGCAGCCACATTAGGGGCTTTGAAAACCCTAATGTCGTATTCGGCCATGGCGCGATTATGCCCCATGGAACCTAAACGCATATCGGGAGATCATTTCCATTTGTTTCAGAATAGTATATATATTTACCGCTAGACATATATGTGGCATTTTTTCCTCTGACTAATCCTTCCTTATTCCTCCGCTCCATCCTTCCACCTTTGGACCACATCCTTGTCCGACCTCGCCTCCTAGTTTATCGACACTTATGACGAAGGAAAACAGTACAAGTGTAACCATGTCTCCTCGCTCTTGTTGTATTGTTTTCGACCCAACAACAACAAACAGCAACCTTCCTTTCAGCTCGTCAGCACACTATCCCTAGGCTCATCGCCCGACAATTACCAGCGCAACGACCCTCTTACGACCCCGAAGCACTACGATACCGACAACGACAAAAACATACGCTATTTTTTTTTTTTTTGGATGCACTTACTGAATACGTCCTCTGGATGGGAGTCGGTGGTAGTGGATCGTGTGAATCGATTTCGATAGTAGTCATATGCTATCGTTTCGAGGAATGCGAGAAGCAATGGCCGGCTCAATCCCAGAGGATACACCTTTCGCCTGTCGCCATATTTCAATGCCGATTTTCATGTTCATCGATACATTGGTTCATTAGTATTCCGACACAGCGGCATAGCATGGCCATGGCAATGACAATAGCTATGGATTTAGCTGTCCTACGTTCACTGGATGGGTCTCTTAATGGACATGAGCAAAATGAACGCCTTTCAAATCGTTCTTTCAACAAGCGTAATAACATGCAAAAAAAGTGAATTTATTATGAGAGGTGATGAAGGGGAATGCAAATGGTAGCAAAAAAAAGAGAAGGAGAAGAAAGAAATCTCTAGCACAATACAACAATAACAGCAGACAGGGCAAAAATAAGGCTGCATTGGTGCTTATGTGGCCTTCTTGTTGGTGTTGACGTAGCCGATACCGACGCAAGTCATCAATAGCGTGTCGGGTGCTGCTCCAAGGACTACCTTGTCGTTATCTGTCTCCTGTGTAATCTTGAACGTCGATCCAAAGAAGTCCTGCAAATCGCGGAGGTATTGAATCCTATTATTGTATATTTGAAACAGAGTACGGCGAAGGTTAGTAAACAGTGCTTAGACCATTGGCTTATCATTCAACAACAAAAAGAACATTGCAAAAAGTGAGTGAAAAATGACTTACGTGAAGGGGGTAAGCTCGCCAACACGGACTTTGCTAACATCATTAGGTCCGAGAACCATCATCAACAGAACCAAAGTCTGCGAGATTGAATCCACACACCCACCCTTCCGGATCTCCGACAACAACATCCTCGCCGCCTGCAGCCCCACATCCTCGGGTGCCTGACCGGGCCCACCAGCCAATTCTGCGGAGTAGAATGCAGAAGTAGTAGTCTTTGCCAATAATGAAATGGCGAATCCGGGGGAGAGACCGGACTTGTCGCCTTGGTAATGTACTGCTGCAATGTTGATATCGTTCACGTAGTCCAACATTCCTCTCGAGGAATCCACCATACGGTTCGAGAACTGTGGCGCCACACGTGTGCAGTATCTATTTTGAGGGTTCCATTGAGTGGTAAAAAAATGGCATTGTCAGCACAGGATGCATATGCCAAGTACGAGGAAGAGACCATAGTAAGTACGACTGATATAACTTACGCGACACCGCGGATTCTCTTGATGCGACCCTCGTCTGTGAACTGAATGGGCTTCAAGGACCGGACGATGGGGCATCTGAAAATGACCTTTCCACCTCCATTTGGTGGTGCTCCGCGAACAGGGATCTAAAGATGGTTTGATATTGGAATTAATAACGAGTACTCACTGCTGTGCGACAATGGTAAAAGTAAGACAAGCCATTGATCCAGATCGCAATGACGACTTACATCCAGCTCTAGCCCATCCTCAATTCCAAACTTCTTCAACTGTGGGAGCAACACTGTGCGGATGGTATCAACCTATTATATGATGCAATGGAACGATTAGTATAGTGGATAAGTTACCATGCGATAAGGTGCCATTGCGCCGCGATTATAGCATGTCCTCTCTGTGTGAATTGCTCCCGCAGGCTATTCAGGTTCTCCTTGTTTATCTACTCTCCAATCCGTTGTTTGGTATCCAAGTTTCCGAATGCTTTGTTTTACTCAAAATTCCTGCGTATTGATCCGCCCTAATAACCACCCATCTTTGAATGTTGAAGTGTATGTGACAACTTACGGAAATATCGACGTTGTCGTTGGTGATTCCGTTCAAGGTGGCGTTCATGGGGCTCTTGGAGAAGGGGCCAAGGGCAATCAGGGGCTCAAGGAAGTATCCGATAGCTCTGGAAGTTCCACAGTCATGGTACACCTTGCCTCCAACAATTACACCAGGCCTGTACACAATCGAAGTACCTATTCAACAATATCGTCCGACTGTTAGTTTCTTTCAATCCGATCGGGCAAAAAATACATTTCGACTCTTCCTTGCAGCTCCTGGAAATAGAGGTATGAACGTGGTGTCTGTGAAAGGGTGCGATATTGTTGTCGGCGAGTGTTCAGTTGTAATTGATCGTGGCCTTGTCCTTCAGTCTCTGATTTTATGGTCCTTGTGCTCCCTAATTTTCCGTTGCTCCTTGCGATAGCGATCCTCTGTTCCTGACGACCCTATGCTTTGCGCCAGCCTCTTCTTTCCCTGAGCCTCAAAAGACGGGGGTGGTCTGTTTTTGTACCTGTGTAGCTGATCTCGATCGTCGCTCCGTTAGTGACCTTCTCCAACAATCTCAAAAAACTAGCCTCATAATCTAGATATCAATTGAGCCAGATAAAGCGCACTTGTTAATAATCACGACCGTTTCCCTTTGCATTTTCTCAGTGCTTGCAGATATTTGTTGTTGTTTCCTCGATGTCAACTTTCGATTGTTAGGTTGGCAACGACGAAAAGGGAGGAAATAGAGGATACTTGCCTCTGAGACCAGGGTTGGCATCGTTGGGGCGAATCTTTTCAATCTTCAAGATCTTTCCCGAGAGGGTGGCGAGGACCAGGCGTTGGCGGAAGTAATTGTGACCCTCGAACTTCAATATCTTTGACATGGTGTGATGTAGTTGTGTTGAGTTGATGGAGAAGGAAAGGGTGTGGTCGATGCAATGAATGAATGAAAGGACACAGGTTCTACGCTTTCTTTGTCCTGAACTGGTGAAAGGTGTAGGTGGGACTGGCAAAAAATAAAAAGCAAGCAAGGCTTTTTTTTTTTTTTTGTGGCTTAGAGGGCGAAATGTGTTGTTCGATTCTGCCAGTAGGGACACACAACACTCGTAGGAAAACGTATCTTTCGTTATACTTCTGCAACCAAACTCTTTCTATTTCCCTTACTGCTGGAAGGCTACAGATCCAGCAAGCAGGTTGCGGACAAGGTTGATCTCCTCCGACATCGAATTGACGTTCTCCTGCGAGACAAAGCTCGATGTAATCTCGACCTGCCACGGCGACGCCGCCTCGGCAGCAGTCCCTCCTGCCGTCTCTTCCTCAGGCACAATTGCCGAAAATGCGTCATGCTGCTTCGACAACTGTTTTTCATAAAAAAAAAGGCGAGGAAAGGGAAGGGAAGAAAGACCATTAGCGAAAACAGGATTTGAGTATGAATGGCATTTCGTAAGTGCGCTAGCGACGATACATCCACATCGGTGGATGTTAAAACAGACTTGGGTTGTTACCTTGTATTCGCGGAAGACAGATATCCTGCAGATGTTGTTGTACATAAAGCTGTATCCTCTCCTTACATACTCCTCCTCGAACCTACATGGGATCGAAAAAAAAAATAACAAAAAAGAGGCGCGTTAAAATAAATACATCGCCCAATTATTTTATCTATACTTACTTGCGCCTCATCTTCACCAACAAAAAGTCAACAAGCCCAATTGACAATACACTTACCCATATCCAAGCAACGTCATGAATCCAAAAGCATCGCCATGGATCTTGACCAAGATCGCTGACCGGACAACAAGGTTCCTGCCGGGTTCTGGGTGTCCATATTGACACAACTGGTACTGCCTACTGACCACCGTCTTGGGATCGTGATGGTAGTGTGTCACTCCCGCCGGGTTTTTGTTCTCGCCTCCCATTCCTGTTGCTTGTACTGGTGCCGATGCCGATGCTAGCGTGTCTTTGTTCTCCTGGGTACTAGGTGTCATCTCTACATCCGCTGTCGTTGTCGATATTGCTGTATGGTTGTCAATATCGCCGTTGGCAGTAGATGTCCTCAGTCTCTTCTTCACGCTGCTCCCATGTCCGGCTGAAGAATTGGGTTTTTTGTTGCTGCCGGTATCCAGAACTGTCAACTTGACCCTCAACCGCAAATGCACCTCGTCGTTCCTGGCAGAGTACATCGGCCTCTGGACTAGTGACATACGTAAAATGAGCGTTAACCGTTATGTTAACAACAAAATAAAACCCTCCCCTCCCTCCTATTAAGCAAAACCTGTCGGTTCAAGAAGGCGCTGTTGTTATGTACCAGCGGGTGCGAACTTCAACTCGTGTTCAAACATCTTTGAATGGGCCGCATGTTCACAGAGACCCAGGAGCCGATCGTAGAGGGGGCGGAACTGACCGGCGAGGACTTGTCCTGAGAGACTGCATTCAAATGACGCGCCGCCCTGTGCTCCTCCTGGTACTGCCATTGCTAATAGTAGTAGATGTTGCTGTGTGTAGTCAGGCTCCTGGCAATGTGTGATGACAGCGTTGTGAGGGTGTCTTTGTCATTTTGTATTGTGGACGCGTACTTTCCTTGAAGAGAGGTAGCCCTTAAGGTTACTGAGATAATTTAGGTGATGAGTGATGTCAAGTCAGGATAGGCCTTGATGAGAAGAGGGTGCCACAGACTTCGCCGCATATCCCGGGGTTGTAAAACGACACTCAATTCCATCGCTTCACCTTCCATTCGCCCCCCTTCCCCCCCCCCCCCCCCCAAATGAACTTTAATGTTGGCCCACCCACACTCTTTCCCGACCTCATGGGTAAAAATACCCGGCTTTTTATTTTCACATCAAGAGAGAGCGCCATCGCGCCGTCAAGGTTTTTATTTAGCATGTGCACCATTGAAAAAAAAAGAGATTTCCTAGCTTTCATTTTGACAGGGAGCGCAGAGTACTTTATTCAAGGGGGTTATCTTGTTCTTCTCCTGGTAATATGCAATTATACGGGGTAGGGAAATAGGAGACGGAGCGAGAAAGGGAGAGGGAGAGGGAGGAAGGAGAGAACTCATGTGGGTGTGCACACGAGTATTAGGAGTGAGGAATACAGAAGAGAGATAGAAACGAGAAGAGAAGGAGAAAGGGAGAGGGACGACTCTATGTCGGTAATTGGCATGGAAACAAAGGCACAGCAGACTACACGATCGCTTTAACTCGCTTCCTATGTATGTGCAGCGACAACGACAGTGATTTGTAGGCTATTGGCATAGGTACTTGTTTGCAATAAGGCAGACTGGAACTATTAATACACATGGTTTTGGTTGTCGTTGCCCTTGTTACTTTATTTTTTGTACAGCCCATGCTTAGTTTCGTTATCAACTGTAACACATAAACACAACAACAACGATAACAGCAACTCATCTTGAGAAAGACGTAAAACAATAAACCCGAATAGCCGTAGCCGTGTGGCGAGTGATAGTTGCAATGGTACTTCGCTATACTTGGAACAAAGGGTGCCCCCGCCTCCCCGCCCTTCTTCTCATCGCTACAATTGCACCGGGTACTTGTCCTAGTCCCGTACCCTTGTTTCTTTTCTTCATCAGCATCATGTATGCATCTAAACCGCTATTATGAGGTGAGGTGCTTTCTGTTATCAGCCATCCAAAACAAGAATGCCATAGAAAAAAAGAACTGGACTGGGGAGTGGGAGTAGGTAGGGGCTGGGATTAGAACGAAAATAACTAAAACGTCTGGCTGCTGACCCTCCCCGCCTTGGTCACTCAATTACAAAAGGGCGAACCATCTAATTTTGGGATGAAAGCGTGCTCGTCACTGTACGACTGACCCCTGTTAGGAAATGAGTGAGAGGAAAGAGAGTAAAAGATGGACAGTGTAGAAGTCCAAACTATCCAGCAGACCTTGTGCAGATTCCAAAATGAGATGAAGTGGAATTCGACTCCAGCCCTATCAAGGCTGATAAAGGAGAACCTTGCCCTCATCGCCCATACCCTACCTTCCCTCTCGCTGTGAGGCACCCTAATAGGCCAAACCCAGTCCATTCACACAACAGAGCGAGAGTTAAATTTGTCCTAAACGAACTCATTTGCGAAAAGAGAGCACAAAAGAAAAATGCTCTCAACGGCAGAGAGAATACATTTTCTTTTTTTATTACTTGGACAGTTGGACCTGTTCATGTGCAGGCAGACACAGACGGGAGAGAAAAGGCGATGAGAGGCAGAAGGAGGGAGACGCAGCAATAGGATTACCGCCGAGGAAAATAATCGCCTTCTGACCTCTGCCTTTTTCTTTTTTTTTGTTCGTTGTTTGCTGTTGCGGCACATACCCAATTCTACTGCCTTTCTTTGTTGCAGTTATTGGTCTCTGGCTTGCAGTTGCTTGATGGGCGCATGAGTGACAAGAGGGCAAAGGGCCACAAGGAAGAGAAACAACTGAACACAGGTTGACGAGCGAGTCTATTTAAACCCGAGGGTGGGCGTTGTTCATACCCTCGGTATTATGGGTGTCAGGGTGTCAAACAGGAATGGGACTAAAGAAAAGAGTGCAAGACTGAAAGGAAGAACACTCGCTCACTCGCATACACGGCGAGGGACACACAAACACAGAGAGAGAAGGAGAGAGAAAGAGTGAAAAGGCGGGCTCACACACTTAGGGTTTGTCCAAAATGAGATTATTTTTTTACCTGGAATACATGACGAAGGATCTGGCCTTATTCATTCGTTGTTCCCTGGTTCAGTACCGTTCCTACTGGTCCACCTACCCTTCCCCCTTGTCCGATTGAATCTCGACTTTCATTTTTTTTGTCCACCTCGCCTCCCTGGACCCCTCATTCGGCCTTCTTGTCCGTTGTCCATAGTTTTGCCACCGTCTTCGTTTGCCAGTTTACCCGTAATACACACTCTTTGAGCAACGACCAAAAGGCAACAAAGATACCTGGGTCTATCCTTTATATAAATATAACTTGTCATTTTTCTCTTTTCTCCTTTCTTCTTTTCTCTTCTTCACATCCATTCCTCGCCCCTTCCTCTCCAACCAACCAAAAACCCAACTCTCTTTGCTAGAAGGACACTCTCCCCCCGTTCACTTCTTTGCCCCTTCCTTTCTTTTAACGACCTCTCCACCCTTACCCTTACCCGAACCCCTCATCCTCTCATACCCTTCCCTCTAACCACCCAACCCGCATACCCTTCGAAATGGTCAAGTTCCTTGCCTCTTCCTTCACGGTCCTCCTGTTGACCATTGCCGCCGTCAAGGCCCAAATCAACCCCGCCCTCTACCCCAAAGTCAACGAGGTCCCCCCCGTCACCTCGCCCGAGGTTGTTGCCTGGTTGAAGGAGATTGACTTGACTGGCGCCCCTACCATTGAGCTCCACGTCGGTGCTCCCCCAGCTTGCCCCAACCCCCCAATTGCCAACGAGTAAGTTTTCTTTTTCATTCGTCAACTTGGTTTATCTTGATATGAGAGAAGGCAACAAGGGCAGCAAAAACAAAGAAATGGCCATTGGAATGTGTGTTATAGAGGGAGAGACAGAAAATGTTACCTGTGTCCGTCTGTTCCGGACTATGATTGTGTCCTGAATACTCCCTCTCCTTTGCTGCTCTCGACTCATTCTCTCTGTTTTACTTTCTCTTGTGGTTTCATAAACAACGGTCATTCTAACATATCCGCATTTTTTAAATTTCCTACCATCTTAAAGGTGCTACTGGACTTGTGATGGATGCGCCGCTGACGATATCACCGCCTGCGCTGCTCCCAACACCTGGGGTTTGACCTTTGACGATGGTCCCTCCACCGCCACTCCTATCCTCTTGGACTACCTCAAGACCAACAAGCTCTCTGCTTCCTTCTTCGTCATCGGCTCCAACGCCATCCAGTACCCCGACACCCTCAAGCGTGAGGTCACCGAGGGCCACCATCTCGCCTCCCACACCTGGTCCCACCACGCCTTGACCACCCTCACCAACCAGCAGATCGTCGCCGAGATGAAGTGGACCGAGAAGGCCGTCTTTGAGGCCACCGGTCTCCGTCTCAAGTACATGCGTCCCCCATACGGAGATATCAACAACCGTGTCCGCTTCGTCCTCAAGAAGCTCGGCTACATCCCTGTCGACTGGACCGGTGATGCCTTTGACACCAACGACTGGAGAATCCCCACCATGACCGAGGCTCAGGTCATTGCTACCTTCTCCAAGTCCCTTGACACCTACGTTGCCAGCGACAAGGCCAAGGGTTTCTACTGCCTTGAGCACGATGTCTCGTCCTTGACCGTTAACGTTGCCTTGAAGTTGCTCCCTCTCGGTATCTCCCGCAAGATCAACTTTGCCTCCGTTGCTGGCTGCGAGTCTGATGCTCAGCCCTACCAGGCCGGTTCCACTGCCCCCATGCCTACTCTTTCCGCCGGTACCAGCGCTGGTCAGCCCACCGCTACCAAGGGTGCTTCTCCCACCGCTAGCGCTGGTGGTGCTGCTGGTTCTGGTAACGGAACTGTCAACGGTCCTACCATTGTTGACCCCAAGAACAAGAGCGGCGCCTCGTCCATTGCCGTCTCTGGTGTCTTTGCTGCTGCCGCTGCCGCTGCTGTCGCTCTTATCCTTGCATAAATTATCTTCCCTTAACGGAGAAGGAAGGATGTGTACGATAATTGCATTTTAGAAAATTAGTAGTAGCACTTTTTTTTTGGATGCTTCGTCTGCCCCCCCTTGATGGGGGAACGGATGGAGGATTATTTTAAAAAAAAAAAAAGTAAGTTCAATAAACCAAAAATAATAATAGCCTACATCCAACCTCCTTTTTTCTCCTGATATTTTTCTGGGAACTTCGATGCTATGTGGGGGTATTTCGGATGGTCTGCATAGTCCGCGGGATGGGGGGGATACCTTGCGCAAAAGAAGTAGTGGTGGTGCGGTATCGGGGGGAGGGTGAATGGAGGAAAATGATAAAGGTCAGTTACCAGGTACACGTCTGTTTGTATGATGAGACCAAGAAACCACTTTTCCATATTTGCTTATTTGAGTGCGACATCCACACACACAGACGTGACACCTGTGCCTGGTATCTGACACATATCAATTAAACAATTACCCGGGTGAAACACACACGGAACAACCTTAATTTTTTTAGTCTGCCATCCATCCATCCATCAGCAATCAATGTTCAACAGAGAGAGGAAATGTATGGACTATGAGGAGAGAGACAGAGGGGTCTTTGCTCATTATTCAGTAAAAGGGGGGAAAAAGACACGATGATGGCAATGGTGTTGAAGAAGAAGAGACGATGATAGATTATATTATATGCTCAAAAAGAAAGAATGACTATGTAGATGAAAAAGAAGAAAAAATGTTTCCAGCGTAAAACAAATTACGTGGTTGATGCTAAAAAAAATAAACGAAAGGCACAAGGGCCATTTGAGCATACACATGTCCCTTCCCACCATGCATCTCATTTCTACTCCCACACCCTTGTCTCACTCCCTCCTTCCCACTTCCACACACCCCCGCCATCCGTCTTTAATATCGTATTGCCCCAAAATCAAGCGCAAAGTCAGACATCAAGTCGCCCAACGGTGCAATCTCCGGCAACACTACCACCACCTTCTCCTCAATACCACCCTGTTGCAACAGATGCAAAACCTTCTTGTTGGCGCCCATCATAACCTTGGCCATATCCTCCTCCGACATCTGAGTATCCTCGCACCGCCGGGAAACGTACGCCGGTGGTGGAGGGGCCATCACCATAATTGTTGACAGATCCCCGCTCGAATACTTTTTCTCGCCACCGGCGCGAGAGGGTTGTTGCGGGGATGTCATGGGGATGGAGGAGAAGGATCCTGTATCTGAGGTTGGAGACTCAGCGATGGCCATGCCTGGAGTAGTCGCGGCGCGGGCAGTTGTGGGGGATCCCTTCCTGGAGTCACACGCAGATTCTGTGGATGACGAGGATACAGTCTCAGAGGACGCGATCGAGGAAGTGGATTCACGGCGTTGGATCGTGCTTCCCCATCGACCACTGTTACTGTTATTATTCTTAGTATCGCTGCTGTTAATAGGGGTCCGGAAACCACTGAACCATGAACGACGGTACTCGGGCGAGGGTGTCTGATAATGGCTGCTGGTTGGTCGACTTGACGACATGGCCGGAGGTGAAGGTGTGTTGATGTCTCCACCATAGGCCTCCGAGAACCGGGGTGGCGAACCCGTTGCGGAGAAACCCGTCACACTGCCCATCCCCGGTTGACGGTAGTACTGGTGCTGGAATTGGGACCTCAAATGACTTGGGGGCGACGAAGAAGTCGAAGTCGATGAGCTCGGCTGATGCGGTTCCAGGAACGAATCGCCCGTAATAATAGACTCGACCGAGGTATGCATCGACGACAACGAAGACTTATACGCATGCCCCTGCCCTAACCCCGCAGCAGCGCCCACACCACTTCCGATGCTCACTCCTCGGAGGTGATGGTGGTTTGGCGAGAAAGCATGGAACTGCGGACTAGAGGGTGCGGTGGCAACGACTGATGAGGACCGCGAATGGGTTAGGGCGGCAGAGGCGGCGCGCATGGAACTGAGGGCGGCGGGTGAGGGGCGGCGATCCTTGAGTTGTTGGATGTTGTACTTTCTCTGTCTCCATCTGTACACCTATGGGGTTGTTGTTGTAGTGGAGGGAAAATGCGGTGGGAAGTAGAGTCAGTATCGCTTGGAATAACGGGCAAAGGTGCGATTTTGATATGTGCTTTGACCACTCTATCTATCTATCTATCTATCTATCTATCTGTTATTACAAAGGAATAAATAAAGGGAGGCTATCCCCCTGGCACTCACTCCAACCTCTACTTTCTCTGTTTTTGTTTTTCTCGCTCCCTCATTTCATTTGCCAGTAACACGGAGAATGCGCACCGAGCACATATTCCCATCCCACCTCATTACTCAAAACGTGGTAAAAGTACTGATAAATAAAATTCGACCATGACAAAGAAGATAAGGAAAGGGATGGAGAGAATGTCACGTACAGAACCACAACAAAACAAACAAAACAAACAAAACAAACGAAAACTTACAGAGTATTGGACGCCCAAGAGCAACATAACAGCGCCCGGCAGAATAGGAACAAACATCATCAAGGCAGGCAACATCAACACCCACACAAGTGACACAACCGCAGCCAGTCCAATCGTGTACACCGTCCAATGCATATTGTGCTGCTTGGCATCCTCCCAGAACCCTGGGAACTCAGTCCTCTCAAGAGGACCCATGCCTCCACCGATGCGACTAGTGCTCAGGATCAGGTTCCGCTCAGCAGCTGACGCTGCTGCGGTGGCTCGCTGCAAACTTGCGATCCGGAGTAGGCCTTGCATTCGGGGCGGGGATGACAAAGTGGATGATGTGCTGTTGTGGCTGTTGTTATGGGTGGTGATGTTGGTGTGGGAGAGAGACATGAGGATGTTTTTGTGGTCGTGTTCAGGGCCGATAAGAGCCGACAGATCCCTTTCGGTATCGGTACCAGTTCTTTCCATTAGACGCGTCGCGGGCGACGACGAGGACGAGAAAGACGACCGAGGGTTAAATACCATAGGAGGGGTCCTCATCATATCTGCAGCAGAGCCCGTCGACCCAAAGATGGGAATCGCCTGTGGAGGCATGTTGGAGATACCCCTGTGGCCAAGGCCAACGCCAGCAGCTGACTTGCTGCTGGGTCGTGACAGCGGCCTGCTGTTGTTTGAAGGCGAGGTAGACGACGACATGGAAGAGGGGGTGACTGCGAGAGAGTGTCGCTTCATGTCTCGAGACGCCTTTGGAGAGAACACTCTGGGTGTAACAGTTGTGGACACCATGTCAGACATCATGACGCCACTGCCCGCAACAATAATCGCAGGGGAGGACAAGGAAGTTGCAGAAGAGGAAGACGCCGAGCGCGCGAGGGCCACGGGTAAGGAGTGTCGCTTGGTCTTTCCGGTGTGAGAAGCGGCGAGAGATGCTGGGGTGGCGGTGGTGATAGTAGGATCATAGGCAAGATGTTGTTGTTCAGGGACCTGCTGGAGGGGAGGGGAAATAGCAATGACTGCTGAGGTTGCCGATTGTGATGTTATTGTTGTTGTTAGTCCTGTTCTTACTCCAGCCCCGTGATCCGACGATGATGGTGAACAAGAAGAAGAGATGTAAGGGGGTGGTGGAGGCGAAACCATGCTGGCCCTATGAGTTGGGTACTGGTACGCCGTCTTTTCCTTCTCGATTATCGAGAGCGCCATAGTTGTCGAGGGCTTGCGCGAGTTGTTGTTTTTGTTGGAATGGGTTGGGCGAGGGCTGACACGGACCACTGTCTGCGGGGTAGTAGTAGACGTGGTAATCGTAGTGTTGCTGTTGTTGGTGAAATTGGCGTACTTTGATGAATACGACAATACAGGAGTCGCTTTGGCTGTCGGCGGGGTAGGCAATTGCTGCTGCTGTGATTGCGGTTGTTGCCTCTGCTGTCCCAGCTGCGTAAAAGGGTGGTTCTGATAAGCCTGATACGCTGGCGCCTCGACCTTAATAGCAACAGCAGCAGCAGGGAACTCATACTCCCTCAACTTCTTCCTATCATCCTTTTCCACAACAACAGGAGGTGTAGCCGGTGTCAACAAGTGCATAATAGGTTGTTGAGGCATCGGCATCATCATCTTGAAGGGGAGAGGGGTCATCATGGGGGACGAGATGTCGGACGAAGGTGAGTCCGGGTACTGCAATCCGTTCCTGGTGAGCGAAAAGAAACTAGCCTCTTCTGCTCCTTCTTTTGAGGTGTTGGTGGTGTTGAACATCCCTGAGGGAGTGAGTGGTTCACTTCTGGAACTCTTCTTCATGTGGAGGTGGGAGGGCACGGAGGGAATGTCGATATGGAGAGGGTTCATTCGAGCCATGGTGGTGATGGTGGTCCTCTTGGAGAGGGTGGAGGTGTGTGTATGTGTTGCGTTGGTTTGATTTGAGGAAAGGATGAGGGGTGGTACGAAGAAGTAAAGAGGGTAAAGAATTTATGAATGGGGTATGGAAAGCAAGCAAGAGTTGGAATATGTGGCAAGAGAGTAGACAGAGAGGGCTGCAGGGACGAAACAGCGCGTCGATGGTGAGAGGATTAATAGGGCTAAAGGATAGAGCACCTAGATGGCTACTTGTTTTTGGTTAGAAAAGATAAAGAAAAGGGAGGGAAAGGGGGGAAATGGAAGAAAAGAGAGAAGAGAAAGAGAACAAGAGTTGGAAGGGTCAAGAGATAAAGAAATGAATAGGAACTAACGTGAGCCAAGATGGAAGTACGATTTTCGCGCTCTTAGTTCTTTGCTTCTACTGGGAGCCCAAAGAGAACGAGCGAGAGATGAGAGGTAAGAAAGTGGGAGAAAGAGATAAAGAGAGCGAGAGAACACACTTGGACAAGGTGCGTAAAAGAGCCTGGGTCCAATTGATCAGAGAAGGAAAGGGACAAAGCGAAATGGCATGCGACCCAGTCGGTAATTAGGATGGGATGGATGCTGTTGTTGTTTATTGGTTGTTCTTGCATGCGAATAGCACGGGCAGGAAGAGGATGTGCTTCAATACCCAATCAATGCCATGGACACCACAGTGCACCACTTTCATCCAGTTGACCCACCCCCTCGCATATTCCATACGACATAATAATAACCCATTTCTTTTCTTTTTGTTTTTGCCTCCTTCCATCCATCCCTCCCTCATCTCCCTTTCTCCATGGGTGTCCTGTTATTACATCCGAATAGGTCCTGCCTGGCTGTCCCTTGTTCTTCTTTTTGCATCGACCCCTTCTCCTTTCTTTGTTTTCTTCTTGTCATGTTCGCATCCGCCCCTTCTCCTGAACATTCACGTTGTTGTTGTTATTGTGGTTGATTAGCATCACATCCCATCCCATCGCATGCCTGCCTCCTTCCCTCTCTCCCCCTTTCTATTCGCCTGCCTCGTCCTTTTCCTCCTTGTACATTTCGCCCTCAAATCCCAATTAAATCTACATTGAACTTTTTGTGTCTGCATGCACTACTAAGGCTACCGGGCGGAAATCGGATCGCGCGGGTCGCAGGTGTTGTTGTCCCTTTGCTACCCAAGTGCATCATTCGCGTACCCTTTGGTGTAGCCATTGCTGCATCTGTCATCAAAAGAGAGAGAGGTAGAGAGAAAGGAGGCCAAAGGGGTGGCGATGGAAAGGGCAAGGAACCGGTGTGCCATTCCCAACAACAATTGGCGCCACTTCGTCTCGATACACACCAATCATGTTTTGTGGATGGACAAACCCTTTCCCTCCTCCTGGGCTGTGGGCTCTTCTTTGCTTGTCTCTTTCCAGTCGCGTTCAATCCCTTGATATTGTCCTACTTTTTTATCTTGTTCTGCGAGTCAGAATGGCTTGCCTGGGCATACGCGACTATTGGTTCATCAGAGAGGGGTGAGAGAAGGGGGTTTCTCAGGACATGGATCTCACACCATCCGTCTGTCCATCCTTCTGCCCTGTCAAAGAGGATCCATCCTGGCAACACGTTGTTACAAGTCAGACGATCAAAGAAAAGGGAACAAGGTCCTTGTTCGATCATGTTATCCATTCTTTATTTTCAGGACGGACGCGAACGCGACAAATGAAAGTCCCGCTGTGCTTTGATTATCAGTGTGTCGCGTCAGAGAAAAATTAAAAATGACTCACGGTTGGCAACAAATGAATGATAGTGGTGACCTTAAGTCGTCCCCAAATGTCAGGTAAGTCAAGAATCTTGAGCTGAAAGAAAGAAAAGAAACGCAAAGACACCAGGAGAATACGTCGGCGGTGCTGTTCTTTGTAGTCGGTCTTGTAATTCTAAGTGGTGCTACACTATTCTCCTCACTTCCATCCCTTGCGTCGTCACTTGTTCTATGCTGTCTTTTTCCTTCTTCCCCCCTCTCCTAACAACATTCGCGAAATTAAGTGTTGTACCCCATCCCACCCCATCCCTTCTTTTTCTCGTCCCTTCCACTGACTCCTTTTCAACTATTCCCTAGTGCATTCAGGGTTACCCCTTCGTTTCATACCATAACACAGCACAGAGATGTCAGTTTTCCTTGCTATACTGGTATTCATGCACCTGCACGAGGTGAAGCCTGAGATAGAGCAGTCGTTGGACGAGTATCGTCTGCAGCAGACTGGACCCTTGTGGATGCATGGCCTGCCCATGATCAGCAGTACGGTCCAGCTGCTCGAGTGGACCACTGTAGGACTTAGTCGTCTCCGCTCCCACCTCCGCTCCCACCTCCTCGACCGCATCATTTAAGCCTCCCTCGTATCGTCCCAACTAGATGTAGAAGTGAGGGTAGGTTGCTTGGCATCATCAACCATGTCCCCATCATTATCAATAAAGTACCCGTGTCAACACTTTTATTTATGTCATCAAATATCACCTCTCACAGTTGTGTGGTTGTCTCGCCATCATCACAAGGGGTGGTTGATGACAATGACAGGGGACCCTCCCCCCCCTCTCGCTTTTTGTCTATCTTCTTCATGCCTCCTTGCATCACTCTCTTTTCCTTTGACTCCCCTCCACCGCCTTCCAACAGCATCCTAAGAGGACAAACACGCAAAACCCATTCCTACTCTTACGAACAGAGCGTGGTAAATACCACACGCAGCACACTTACATTTAAACAACCAGCAATTAACAAAAACACCAGCACACAAGACATACAGCAAACAAAAAGATGTCGGACAGACATGGACCATATGCACTCGCACGCTCGAGGGCGGGATCGGAATCCTACCTGGACCCTTCTGGACGTAGTGGTCGCAGTGGCACCGACAAGTCAGACAAGTCAGACTATGACGACAGCGGCCGCGGTAACGGCTATGATATCCCCTACCTGTTTAACATCCTCCTCATCGCCTTTTCGAGCGTCCCCACGGCCATTTTTCTTACGTGGATCCTCTCCTGGAGCATCGTCATCCTTGTAAGATAACTCTGTTCTCTCTCGTATACTCTTTGCAAAAGGAGCGAACGAAGATCGAGTGGATTGAAAAAAAGGCGGCGATAGGTGCTTGTTTTGGCGTTAGTATCGTTACTCATACCCTCGAGCTCTCTCCTCTCCCTCTGTCTTTGATTGATTTTCTACATGCTGTGCAGTACCTGTGCACGTTTGGGTTCGCGATAGGAGTCGCGTGTGTGACAGGTCTATCCATATTCATCTACGGACCCGTCCTCTGCCTCTGTGTCATCTCCGCCTTTGGATGCTCATTCGTCTACAACGTCGCTTTGTTTGGCTGGGAGACCACCCGGAGGGCCTGGTACACTGTCCGTCGCGTCCTGTACAATCTCTTGGCTGGACCGGCATTTTCATCCAATGGTGGGATACGGGGAGGTGTGGCGCAGGAGGATTCAATGGGATGGTTTTCGTGGCTCCTTGGGCCGGGGGATATGTCCGATGGACGGGATGAGGGGATGGTTGGGTGGGGTACTCTGGGTGTGCCGGCTAAGGACCCTGAATGGGGCGCACAGCCGTTGGAGGAAAAGTTTGAGACGCGTCAGGCTACTTCTTCTGGCGCCTTGCTTCCGGGACTTGGTGCGGGAGGGGGAGGGGGAAGTGCAAGGGGAAGGTTCCCGCCGGCGATGCCTGGGACCGGGACTAGTGGTGCTTTGGCGTCGGCTGGCGGTGGGATGGCGGGACATGGAGGACGGAAAGGCAGTGTCCGTGGCGAGGAAGTGATGCAGCCTTACCACGTTCGCGGGATGTGATTTTTGAACTCGTTTTTCTCCATTCTCTCTCTTTCTTCATTTTTTTTTCTCGCCTCGTTCTTCCTTCCCTCTCCCACGTTTCTTGTTTTTCTGTCACACCGAACATCACATCCCTGGCGTTCGTGTTACCGAAGGCTATGTTTTTTTTCTGTTTTTTTTGCTCACACACAAAAGAGTGCTTGAGTGCGGAATACAAATTTTTCAAAAAAAATGCTCTCACATCCCCTACAACGGTAGTCATCGGCACCCTGGTCATCGGACCATTCATCCCCGATGGAAATAAAGGAAAAAACCATAATGCACATCAACAAGAGAACTATGGAGGGGGTATGAGGAAGAAAAGTGAGAGAGAATGTAGGTGGAGTGGGATGTGGCGCACTTTCCTTTCCATCGCCGATGTCTATAAAGTACCTTTCTCCTTGTACCTGCCTAATAACGTGTATGGGGCAAAGAGGGTTAAATGGGATGATTGAATTGCCTACTGTTTGTATCTGTTTGCATTTTCAGAAGGTTCAGCTTAGGTTGAGTTGGGGTGGGGGTGAAGGATAGGAGGAAAGGTGGTGAGTGGTGCCATGGATTTGTCATTTGTTTTGTTTGTTGTGTTCCCGACTTCTGAGCATAAAGAAAAAACACACTCCACCCACTTCTTTTCTGTTCTCCATGTTTAACTCTTAACCAGTTCTCTCTCCATTCCCCCAAAAAACAAGTGACCTTAACCCAAACTGAAGAAAAACGAAGAAGATGGTTGCTTGATCTGGCATAGAATAAAACCCAACCCGATTTGATACCACGAGGCAAAGGTAAAGGCAAGAAAATGCGGGCGTAACACATTTTGTATGATTGTATGTGGGTCTATTGGGGTCATGGAGGAAAAAAAAAGGATCTAGACAAAACAAGAGTCCGATCGATTCGTCTCTGATGATTTGTTTTCATGTTTTTGTATGTCATCCTCCAACAGGGCGACAGGGAGAGAGCATGTAAAAAATGGAGAGAGAAATGAACGGCATAGTTGCGGCATGCATGAGAGGATTTAGAGAATGGATGGAGAGGGTCGATTTGCTCATTGAGTTGGAAGGAGGAAGAAATTGCTCTCGCGAAGGAAGGAAAACTGCGTTAAAAATATGAAGAGTGCTAAGGAAAATGAGAAATGAATGGCAAGAAAATGAGGGTTTGGAGATGTAAATGGGACAAGGGCTGTTTGGTGGAAGGTGTGAGATGGGATAGAGAGAAAAAGAAGCTGGACGATTAGAAGATAAGAATGAATGAATGGATGGTTGTGAAGGATATGCATATGCAAAGGCGAAGTTGAAGGGTGCACGATGGCACCAAGTAGGTGCAGAGAGATGAAGTGCAGTTGCTTGATGCGATGGTGGTACTAATTATCTAATGGTACCTGAATTTTGTTCCCGAAGCGTATCTCACCTGGTTGGCCTCGTTTCTCCTGTCTTGGATCGCTAACTTTCTTTGTCTCGACCTCCTCCTACTCGACTTTCTTGTCGAGCCTGATCACCTTCGAACTTAGTCCACTCTCTCTTTCTCTTTTTCCTTCATCACTTCATCGTCTAACTCCTTTCATCGCTCATCCCTCTTCCTACTTCCATCTTTCCTCATCCATCACCCTCCTCACTCTTTCCTTCTTTCATCTACCTGCATCATCTCACTGGACACCCTCCCTTCCTTACATTCGCATTCAACACATCCCACCACCGACTTACGACCTGACCTCATTCATTCATTCGACAAACACAACGTATGCAACCCCATAGCCATCAAAATCGACTTATCCCTTGCCATCACTGCATCCAGACACATCAAAGCAGGGGCACGAAAGACCCAGAGTGAAGACGATGTCATAAGTACCGCACCGTTGAGGCCTATCGGCTATCGGGCAGCACACATGTCTTTGTATCGATCTCGCCCTGCGACCATTTGCATTAGCCCTCTTTCGCCTTCTCTTTATCCACTCTCCATACCACGACCAAACAAAACAACAAACACATTCTCATTCCACTGCTCCTTCACTCTCCTCCACCATGCATATCCTTTCCAACCCCCTCCCCTTCTACCTTTCCTTGCCCCCGTGTCAAATTTCTCCATCTGCTCCGCACGTTGCTATCCCATCCCCTGCTACTGAATCAATTGAACACCGCTCATCAACAGATAAGAGTGACAAATTCTTACGCCTCCCATCCCGTTCACAAACACTTCGACCTTCTGACACCCTCTCTCATTTGTTTTTCTTGGCTCACTCTCTGCAACTTTCGCCATTGCGCATTTGTAGCAGAAACAAAAAAGCATAGACCACTTGCTGATACCTTATGACCTGCACATAATACATCCACCAATCCAACGGTCCAGAACACATCAATACAAGGTAAATGGCGGCAAGACATGTTGCTCCTTTTTCCTGTACCTACACTCCCTCTACTCTCTCATTTCGCTCTAGACTTTCTCTCCCTGTCCATTTCCTTCTTGATCATGCGGCTTCTGTTTTTTTGGACCGTCAGGCAGGGTGAGATTCACCAAAAACATTTCTTGAGAGCAAAAGCACTTGTTCTCTCTGTACAACGTACAAGCACCAACAAACTAGTTGGATACCTATATTATTTTCTCATTTCACCGCTCCCATTGTCCACTTTCACAACCCGTTCACCATCTCCACATCGACATGTGCGTTCGGAGAGATTAATTGGATACATTGCGGTTTTCCTTTCTGTACAACGCATATGGTACTTAATAGTTACAACAAACATGTCGAGGTACCTTGTTTTTATCGTTCTTAGTAGTGTTCTCCCATGGCATTTTGTTTTTCACGCACCAGTTTTAAGGCGACCTTGCCAGCGAGAGGGACACGCAGGGGAAGAAAAAAAAAGAAAACCAGAGTAAAACAAGGCAAAAGAGGGGACGCCCAAAACAACAGAATAAGGACGAACAAAAGCAGGTGCGAGTAGAATTGCTGATGCAGACAGAGAGGGCGAGAGAAAGGGTGATGGCCTTTGGCTCTTTTGTGTGCGACTGTCGTTGTGGAAAAAGGGTTTGAGTGTCTGTGTTATCTATAAGGAATAACTATGGTAGTCCTTCCTATTGCCCGCGTCCGAGACGAGGCGGCCTCTCTTTTTCCTTCTTCCTCCTATGTCTCCACCACTTGCTTCCCACTCAGGTATTTCGTCACTCAGCCAGCGAAGAGAGGAGAGAGGTGGGGGGGGGGGTCACTTTCAAGTCTGGCCTATGCCACTTGTATGTTTATTTTTGTTGTTCATGAAGTTGAAACATAAAACAGGCTTTGACACATATGTTATATATGCCTCCTGCACACTTACATATACACACTGGGCCTTGACAGGAATCGAACTTTCTTTTTTTTTTTCTTTTTTGTTTTGCATCCCCCCTATTCTATGGTCCAAACGTCCTCAACACCTCACACAAATACTGGGCCTCGAACCGCACAGCATTACTATCCCCACCTCCCTACATCACCTCTTCCTCCTCCTCAATCTCTGCGTTTCTTGTTTTTTTTTGTTTGTGCGTCTGTTTGATGTGGGGTGACAATAGCTAGCTTGGACTGTTTGTCCTCTTAGTAAGTGCTTTTCTTTTGTCAGTCAGACCAAGTAGGCTCAGCGGAGGGAGGGCAGGAAAAGGGTAATTCATAGATTGATAGACGAATGGCCTATCAGGAGATGCAAAAACCAAAAGGGAACCGGGGCCCACATGGGTCATTTTCAGTAACCCCTTCTTCATTGACAGACTGAGAGGCAGGCAAGCAGGCAACGGGTGTCTAATCACCGAAACGATCTGGACTCCTTTACTCTCTTTTGCACATCGCAGCACATCGTTGTACATCCCTTACTCGCATTCGTTGTTTGTTTTATTCTTGAACCTTCCCCTGGAGTTCTCTCCTTTGAAGACAAGCGTGCGTGGTGGAGGAAGAGATTGACTGCATACCAATGCTTTGCTTGCATGTAAAACGGGTGGAACCTTTAAAGTTAATCGTTCGGTCATTCACAGCCAACGCCTTGCAAACGCTGACAAAAAAACAGATCCATCATCCAACGGAAAGAACAACAACCAAGGCAAAAACTCCAACTTTTTCACCCTGACTTTTGCTTTTTCCACCATTTTTACGTCGCTGAGGGCGCGAAGGGGTTTCCTTTTGTCATGTCGGATGAAGAAGTGAGCTGAATGCCTGGGGGGGGGGGGGTTTGAAAGAAACATGTTGTACCGCGGTGTATGGGAAAGGGAGGAACCCGATCGCATCTTGCTTTGCTTTGTTTTCTCCAACTGGGAGCCAGTTTCTTATCACAAAAGGCACGATAAAGAAAGAAAACAAAAACCAAGCAAAAGGTGCATTGACCTTGTTCTACGTAACTCACTTTGCCATATGCTCTCCGATGCACACAATAATGTTCATCCCCGGGTCTCTCGTTCGCTCTCTCGCCTACCTTTTTAATCCGCTCTTTTTCTTCTTTTGCTCATGTTCTGTACTCTTGTTCTTCTTTCTTGTTTTCCTTTTCTCTTCTCTTCTCTTCTCTTCTTGTTCTTGTTCGTCATCGTTTGCTACGTTTCTCTTCTTTTGCTTGCTTTCTTCGCTTTTGCTCCTTCTGCCTTCGTGACCCTTCCTCGTACTCTTAACCTTCACACAAACATATATTTCCCATTCCAAGTCCAATACGGACAAACTTGCTCGTCACCTCGACGTTTACATCGCCATTAACTCTCTCTTCCTCCACATTTTTGATCTCCTCCCGCCCTTCTTCTTCACGAACAGAACATACTTCGCTCGCCACCTTGTCCATCCCATCCAATCCGATTCGACAGTTTAAGGACAACACCAATAAGGTACGCGACATTTTTATACTCCAACCCATGCCCCGCTGAATTGTCGGGCCAAGTACTGAAAATACCATTATGAACATCCACCCAATGTCCTCCTGTATCTTTTTTTTTCTTCTCTCTTTCCATTTCATCACCTCTTTTGCATTCTCCATGTTACTCCACACTCCATTTTGCGAGATGTCACTCTCTCTATCTTTTTCTCATATGCATTAGTCACTCCCTTTGATCCTATATCATGACTCGGCCTTTTCATATCGTTTTCTGTTTTGCCTCTATCTTCCTCCTTTCTTCTCCTCCCCCGTGAAATACCAATGCTTGTTTTTTTGCTTTGTGATCCATGTGTGGCGGTTGTAGAGTGACTGGATAAAAAAAGGGGGCAAGTGATGCTGACAAGCCGAAGGACAAACTAACAAAACTGGTGGAGAGAAAAAGGAGCTCTGTTACACCCTCATACCCGACGATGTAATGTTTGGCTTATTCGATGCGTCCTTGATTGAGGTTGACAAATAACAGGATGCATAAGCTAAATAAGCCGCTTCCTTCATACCAGGATGGAAAATGCGGATACAGCTATGTTGTTGCGGAATACTCATCCTTAGCCACCAGACAGGCATTTACTCCCTTTGACTCGTGATATCTTCCTTCTCGTTCTCCTGCCGCAGGCGATGCAAGTTCTCTTGTTTCTAAGACGTGTCGTGTTCATGTTCATGAGTGCGTTGTCCGAGCCGGATGTTGCTCAACGAATTCTCTTATTTGTATCCCATCCTCTCTCTACTTTCCTCTCTACTCTTTCCCTATCTTCCTCTTCGACCCTTCTTTTCAATCAACAGCTTTTTTTGACACTTGCACCCTCATTAGTAGCATCCAACCTCACGGCGGCAACTCCATTTATCAATCGCCATGTCATTCCTTAACACTTCCTTTACACTACACACTACACGAAATCACAACAGACAAAACGACAAACCCTCTATCTTCCTTTCAAACTCGCACATACACCACACTTTATCCACTCCTTTTTATACTTCTCCCGGGAGGATGCGCTTTGTTTGTCACAGACAGACGAATATCGACGAACACCACTCTCTTGTCATGAACAATAGCTCTGTGAACTGAACACACCAGTTTTATACTTCAAAAGGGAGGAGGGTCAGGAAACAGGGATCTCCTTGTTATCATGAAACACCTATTCATCCATGTACAAAACGTCAACTCTACCTCACCCTTTTCCTTTCCTGCTCTCTTTCCCTAACCGTTCACGATCAAATGGCTAACCAGCTCCTTATATTTCTTTCCTCCATCTTCATCCTCCCTCCAGCATCTGTTCCTCTCTCCCTCACTCTCACCTTTTCACATCCCGGCCATTTCACATTTCCAGAGAGAAAAAATAGCACGGGCCACATTCGTCACCACCACCACTCCCTCACTTAACACACACAATATCACAGCATGGGTTGCTGCCTTAGCGCAGAAGACCGGGAAGCCCACGAGGCCCACGAGAGTATCGAGTCCCAACTCAAACGCGACCGTGCCATATTGCGCAACGAAGTCAAGATGCTCTTGCTCGGTAAGAAACCAGTTCTCATCCTTCTAGTCTTTTGTGCTATTCAGGGTTGAAGTCATCACTCCTAACTTTTCTTTGCTCCTTTTCAATCTGTCATGTAGGCGCTGGAGAGTCTGGCAAGTCGACCATCTTGAAGCAAATGAAACTGATCCACGAGGGAAGCTACTCCAAGCAAGAGCGTGAGGCATTCAAGGAGATCATCTACTCCAACACTGTTCAAAGGTAGAGGAGTCATGCTTATTTTTATTTTACTATCCTTTCCTCCCATCTCACGATTACCGTCCTAATCGCTCAAACTCAATTGAAACACAAAGATCGAGTCGAACCCATTGTCGCGATGAAAAATTGCGAGCACAAGAAAAAACAAAACACCCATTGTACCCCTTTCATCCCAACCTAACGCTGACACCCCTGCTCATCTTACCCCTGTATCCCTACAAATAGTATGCGTGTGATTCTGGAGGCGATGGATAACATGGCGCTGCCACTGTACCATGGTAGCAACCGCAACTATGCAGTCGTGGTTATGAGGCTGCCCCCACAGATCGAGGGTGAAAGCATGCCACACGAGGTTGCTGTTGCCATTCAAAACCTCTGGCTCGACCCTAACGTACAACAAGCCTACTCTCGCAGTCGCGAATACCAACTGAACGACTCTGCCAAATAGTAAGTGTGTTTGAGGGGCTGCTTAAAAGGTCTGGACTTGGACGTTCATCTATTAACTAAAAGGCGATAATGACCTCTTCTAACGCTGACATGACGTTTCTTATTTCCAACTAGTTACTTTGATTCGATCGACAGGATTGCAAACCCATCATACTCTCCAACGGATCAGGACGTGCTCCGATCTCGAGTCAAGACGACGGGTATCACTGAAACAGCCTTCAGAATTGGCGAGCTTACATACCGGATGTTCGACGTGGGCGGTCAGAGATCCGAGCGCCGCAAGTGGATCAACTGTTTCGAGAACGTCACGGCAGTGGTGTTCCTGGTGGCGATTTCTGAATACGACCAGTTGTTGCTCGAAGACGAGACGGTGAACAGAATGCACGAAGCCCTCACACTGTTTGACTCGATCTGTAACTCACGCTGGTTCGTCAAGACGTCCATTATCTTGTTCTTGAACAAGATTGATCGCTTCAAGGAGAAGCTACCCCTCTCGCCGTTGAACAAATTCTTCCCAGATTTCGATGGTAAGCTATGATTGGCTGGTGATAGCTTAATTTTCTTTGACGCGAAAAAAATCTCGCGCTGGTGGCGTTCTCTGTTACTGATCATTTCAAACTTACGCGTTTTCTGGAATGTTTTTTTTTTCCTAATAGGTGGCGACGACTACGAGGAGGCATCACAATACATTCTCGACCGGTTCGTGAACCTCAGCCTGTCAGAAACGAAGCAGATCTATGCCCACTTCACATGTGCAACAGACACGACCCAGATCAAGTTTGTCATGTCAGCCGTTAGCGACATTATCATCCAAAACAATCTCCGCGACTGCGGCCTCCTGTAAGTTTAATCCTATTTCTTTTCGTTGCGGCCAGTAGCATATGTATGCGACGGACTATTTTACTCACTACTCCCTCTTCATTTACGTTCCTTCCTTTGTACCTTCTCTCCATCTTACCCTTCTACGACATCCAGCCTGTGATGATATTCGACAGGACAAGACAGGACAAGGCAAACGCAAACGCAAACAAGGGCCGCTAAACCACCACCTTCTATCCACCGTGGGTCACGCTCAACCGCCGCTTAATCGACCCTATTTTTATGATACATACAACAAACCAATTAAACACCCCCCAAGTTTGGTCGTCTCTGGAAAACACAAAAGCAAAGCAATTGAGCCCACTGCAACTGCGCCTGCCCAGGACCACCACAAAGCACCCCTCACCGTCCAGGATAGTCATTCTAGTTTCATTTATATATAGCTCCCTCACAAAAAAATACATACATACGCAAACAACAGCAATCGCCTGTCGCTTGTTTTCATATGAACAGAGCACAAAGATAAAGGGGCACAGGGTCCGAGGATTCACGTTCTTCTTTCTTCCCCTTTGAATGCTAACGTGACTGATTTTCAGAAAGTTGTAAAAAGAACAAATCGGCCAACCCCTTGCTGATCAAGTGTCATTTTAATGTACTGTCCTTGATTGTTTGCTTTACCTTTTGGATTACCTGTCGTATATATTGTATACTCACCCCATAGGGTAGCAAGAAGGTGTAGGCGAGAAAGGAGGTGAGGTTGAGGCTGAGATGTATATGTAACCAATGACGACGCCAAGCTCTCTCTCTCTCTCTCTCTTTCTCTCTGGTCGCATTCGGTCAGTAAACAATGAAAATTCTTTCTTCACATCTCCGTGAACCAAAAAAAGAGTGGCAAGACAATCCTCATGCAAGGCAGACTAAAGGGATTCTCATGGCGCACAGACCTCACTCTGACATTCCACCATTGATGGTTAGGCAGGTCGAGACGCAATTCTACCTATCACATTTATTCAATTCTCCTTCTACCCAAAGTGTTTCTCTACATGATGATACACATACGCCCTCCTTTGGCGCCACCGCCCCGCTTAATAGTCTCGTCCACCTGCGCCTTCAACCTCTGACCCTCCGCACCCAACTGACCCGGACGCCGACTCGCCAGGGTAAACCATTTTTGAGCCTGCATCAGATCCTTCTTTGACGGGTCCCATACATGCTTCACCGCTTTTGATGGCGACGACAGTTTCCCCTCCGCCTCAGAAGCCGTCTCTTCCGCCGAAGGAGCCTGAGGAGTCTCATCTTGGAAATAATACGCACCCAGACTCAACTGTGCTAGCCCAAACCCCTGCTGCCCCGACATCTTCCAGTATTCGACCGCCAACGCATCATTCTTGGGGACCCCCAATCCCGTGAAATACGCCTGACCCACATTATACTGTGCCTCGGCCAAACCCTTGGACGCGGCCTTTTGGTAATGTTGAAACGCGGCCTTGGTATTCGGCGTCCTCTCCTTGCCCTCGGGTGTAAACTGGTTCATCTCCAGCGCACCCAACAAGAAATGCGCCTCAGCACAGTCATCCGATTGTTGGATCGCCGCTTGGAAGTACTTTTTCGCCATCCCCAAATCCTGCGGCAATTCGCCGTTAAGATACATCCTGCCCAATGCAACCCGCGCCTCAAGGACCCCGGCCTGTGCAGCTTTGAGGTATAGATCCCGTGCCGCCTCATAGTTCTTGTCCTCACGCGCATAAATACTGGCGAGAGTCGACATTGCCCAGGGTAGGCCCTTGTAGCGGGGTCCGCCTGCTGGTTGGGCGAGCGCCTGGATGATGGCGCGTCCTTTTGCGGGGTCGGCGGGGACTCCGCGGGCTCCGCGGTAAAGAAGGACGCCGTAGCTGTATTTGGAGGAGATATCGCCCTGTTCGAGTGCAATCTTGAACAATGCCAATGCCAACGGCGCCCCATCTAACGTCAATTCAGCACATAAATTGTCCCTGTAAATACTCAACAATTTAATCATTCAAATGACAAAGACAGATTGCAGTTATGACCATACCTCGAGTGTATTGCAAAGACCATGATGCCAGTTCATGAACAGCCAGACCCTTCTTCTTGCATGCTACCGACAAATGAACCACAAATAAAGATGTAAGTAGTAGCCCATCACCTTTGAGACCCTCGCCCAATTTAGTCGATCCCCCTTCATGGCATTATTTGCATGGGTATTTTACCAGCAGCAAAGGCCTTCTCGGTCTGGATGCGGTTAGGATCGTCCTCCTTCAGGGGCAAGACATCGACCATGGTTTGGATCAGATCCTTGGTCTCGTCCAGCGTGACGCTCAGTTTCTTTTGCTGGATCAGCTGTGTAATAAAGTTGTCTGGTGGGAACACATCTACATTGCCACAGACAAAATGATGATATGATTAGTGGGGCGATGCAAATAGGTTCATCCGCATTACCTTTTACATTCATGTCAGCGATAAACACGTCAAGAACACATTACGCAAGGAGCGAAGGACACATACCTGCCACGGTCAATGTGCTGAGATCGACTTCCTGGCTGTTTGTCGACCTTGGAGCCAATGTCCTACAGCAGCAGAATAAACATATTCACTCGCGTTAGTTACTATACTCTAGTCCACCTGATTTCCTACAGTCATCAAACAACCCATTCACAAACAGAGAAAGGAGAACTTACTCGGGTGCAGAAGAAGGCTTCTTGAAATCCTCAAACTGCGAAAATAACCCACTCACAGGTGCCTCAACCTGATCCGTCACATCCTTGGCCACAGGGACAATCTTGCCACCCTCCTTGCGGTAGATTACATCCCCCTCTATAGCTGCAGATCCGGCCTTGATGACGGTGGACTTTTCTGCATGCTTTGTGGTATGTTTCTTGGAGAGGTGTGAGGAGGGTGTTGTTGAGAAGCGTGCGGTAGGGGCAGCGGTAGCAGATCGGATAGGAGGTGCTACTGCACGAGAGGAGGATGAAAGGGAGAGCGGTGTTTCTGCTGCTGATGCTGAGGGAGGGACGCGGGTTGTCGAGATGTTAGGGCGAGTGTTATATCGGCGCACTGCGATTGTGGTAGGATTAGAGAAGGCAGCGTGGGTTCCGGCGCGACGACGTCTGGCCCTGAAGAGGACTTGGTCGGGTCGTGTCTGTTGCTGTGAGGCTGAATGAGCAGAGTGCGAGGCCATGACATGCCTTGCCGCTGTTGTGTTCCGAATCATGTTGAGGAGGGAAGGAGTCAAGGAATGGACGTCGTGAGGAATGTGAAGGAAAGAAAGGGAAAAGAAGAGGGAAGTGAAGAACGCCTTGGCGGTTTTCTAAGTGGAGCGCGCCGGGGGTCTGTCGCCAAAAGTGGGAATAAAGGTCAAAGTGACTGGCTTTCTGGTGGCAACTATTTGACAAACAACACCAACGGCGAATTGCAAGAAGACATCTTTCGCTCTTTACTCCGAACGACCAACAACCAGCTTTCAAAGGACTACCAGGGAGCAGTAGGAACAACGCGGATGGCAGCAAGGACAGCGACTACCACAAAGGTGCTGGAATGGACACGGAGGCGCATCACTCCATTAGCATCCAAACACAGAACACTCGCTGATCAGCTCAGTCTCCACACCTCCTACCCCGGCAGGGCCAGGTTATCAACATACACAACACCTTGTCAGGCCCAGAAAAATATCCTCCCAGGATCTATACCCAAACAACAACAACAACAACAACAACCATCCACCACAGTCCCAACAACCCCAGTCGCTCAACCTCTCGAACAAACACTCGACCGCCGGCTACGCTTCCTCTCCAAAGCCCGATCCACATTCGCCAAAAATCGTACCCCAACAACCCCAACCTCCACCGCTGCCGGCACCACTACCTTCTTCAACCATAGCAATCAACCATCCTCCAACAACACCTATGAACAACGGCAGCAGCAGCGGCATCGGAAGTCAAAACGATCTTTATTGAAATCCTACAGGCCAGGCTTCCAACCAGGAGATTTCATATGCCCGCAATGCGGGACACACAATTTCCGTCCTCCCGAACATGCACAAGCGGTCCTCCAGCAGTCTACTGTCGTCCGCCTTTCCAAGAAACATGATCGTCTCTCATCCGCGGATCAACACGGTGCTGCAGGTAATACAGCAACAACAGGAGCAGTAGGTGCAGGATCGCAGAGACAACGGCAGCAACAGCAGCAATTGACGCGATTCCAGAGAGAGATCATCCCTCCACAACGCAAATACCCCCAGGGCGCTGCTGGACACTGTTTCGAATGCGGGTTCCAAACCTCTTTCACTCCCCTTACTTCATCCTCATCAGTACCCAAATCAAACTCAATCCCGACAGGCCCCCTCGTGGACCAGGACAACAACTCTCGGAACTCACCAAACACTGCCACCACTACCCAAGCCAGAGAAACACACGAACAGCATATAGGGACTCCATCATCATCATTATTATCAGCACAATACAGGAACGATATCCGCCTGACAAACCCGCGAGACTATGTCTGCCCATACTGCCAGACAGTCAACTACAGCAACCGCCTGCACTGTGTCGGATGTGGGACCCTCGCACCGTGGATCCAGACCCGCGTCATCGAGCAAACGCGACCGTTGCCGTCGTCGCATAGACGCTCAACAAGACGTGTCAAATAAAATCTTCTTATCTTAATTCTTCATGCTCGTGGTCAATATCAACTTTGAGCGCCCGCCATCGATCTGAAATAAAAACAACCTACTTAAAGAATGTCATACTGTTTACAACTCCACGAGGGACGCCATACACGTCTTTCCATTCCCTCACCTGTGGGATCCACGAATGCAGACACGTTCTTCCTTTGGTCGTATATTTCTTTTTTGGATTTTATTCCAATTTATTTTTTTCTTTTTTTAAGTTGAGGATGAGATGGAGAAGTGACCAACAGAGGGTTTGGTCGACAGGGGCACTGGGGGTGGAGAAGATGGAGAAGTTGCCTGGGGGACGATGGGGGATAACGTCGCCAGGTCTGCGGGTTCGGTAGTGTCCTGAACATTAACTACCTCAACAGAGACAGCAGGGGCGCCAGGGGTGGCTGAGGCGGCGATGGGGGCATCATGGGCGGGCTTGTCGACCGCCAGGACTTGGGGTGCGCCAGCATTAACATGACCTGTCGCCGTCGTCGTCATTGTCGTTGACGTGGCCTCTTGGGGTTGGACATAGATCTCCTCATAGACATGGTGTTCCTCGAACGCACCACCCTCATTGCCCACATACTTTTGCGGAGAGCGAACTCCTCCGTTCTCGTCGGTGTCGTATGCGGTCACGCTAGAGCTCGTCATGGTTGACATGGGACCCGAATACATCTGTTGGTGAGGGTGTTGCAAGTACCGTTGTTGTTGCTGTTGTTGTTGCTGGTAAGGATGAGGTGATGGTGGGAAATTGGGTCCTCCGCCACCGTTGTGATGGTTATACTGGGATCCCAGACGAGGCGAGTAATAGTTACCGGGTGGTGGTCCTCCCATATGCGGAAGTGGTGGCGATCGTGGCGAAGTCGGGTAATACTGCTGTTGTTGAGGGTGCTGTTGTGGATAATTGGCATGCTGGTACTGTGAGGCAGGTCGAGGCGGGAACAGGGGTAGTCCATCGGGTGCATAAGGAATGGAAGCACTCACGCGGGACGAGGACCGGTTCACAAAGTTGCCATTGGGTGACATGGGAGGTGCGTTCATGTTTGTCCTGGTGGGGGATCGAAGAGGGACATGGTTGTAGTTTTCGTAGAATCCACTCGCCCTGGGCGATGGATTGACGACACCAATCAATGGAGCCGAGGCCTGACCAGGGGCATCGTGAAGTCCAGCAGAGCCGCTGCTAGTACTTTCAGTGGGCGAGATGCCTTCAGGGGGGAAGGCGCCGTCGGGGGACGAAGGCGGGGACGGCAAGAAGGCGGCTGAGGAGGACGACATCTCCTTGTTGTGAAGATGGGCGTTGTACTCTTGAGCATCATAGGTATAGTTATCGACATCACCCGGGGCACCATTGTATCCACCAGGGCTACCATCGCCACGACGGCCATTGGCGACAAACCGACCGTCATGTAACTGCGTAAAGGACTCGCCGCTAATGTTGTTGCTATACCCGATGCCCGAACCACCGCCCAGTCCTCCTCCCATAACGCTCATACGTGCACCTCCAAGACCCGCAGCATCAGCGTGATACCCCTTCTCGTCAAAGACATTACTATAGTTGCCCATAAAGGGTTGCCGGCCAACAGAAGATTGCGGCCTACTGCCCCCACTGTACCCGCTCCTCGCACTCCAAGTCCCACTCCCCGGCCGGCCCTCTCTGGCAAACCCAGCCCGGGGTGGCCGTGGCAGGTCAGGCTGGTCCGGGTACCCATCTCCTCCAAACCCCGAAGAAGATCCCGAAGCAGAAGCACCATGCCCAACAAACATCATCCGCTTACGCCGCTGCTTCAGTAACATGAATCCTCCGACAACCGAGCCGACAAGAACAATCGCCAAACCGGCTACCAATCCACCAATCGCCGCCGCATTCATCCCGTCCCCATCGCCACCCCCAGTATCAGATCCCTGTCCACGAACACTATTATTATTCCCACCACCTCCAAGGATAGACGATGTCGATGTCGATGTCGTAGTGATAGGTTTGACTGTGATCACAGACCCAGTGCCAAAAGTGGTCGTTTTGACAGGTGGGATGGTAGTCGTAAGGGTTATGATAGGTGGTATTGTAGTTATGGGGATTACTGGTGGTTTGGGTGTAGTTATGGGCGTTACGGGCGGCTTGGTGGTGATGGGTACAACAGGTGGTTTTGTTGTTTTGGGCAGCGGCTTGGCGGTGGTTGTTGGTTTTGCGGGAATCGTTGCCATTGTGTTGTAGTATTAAAAGGATGTCGGATATGGAATTAGGTTAAGTAGGTGGGTAGGATGTCGTGGACAAAAATAAGAAGAGAAATGGATAGTAATAAAAGAATGAAGAAAAAAAAGAGAGAGAGAGAGAGAGAGAGAGAGAGAGAGAGAAGAGAAGAGAAGAGAAGAAGGGTCGTTACGAGAAAAAGGGGGAAAGGGGGAAAGGGGGAAAAGGTGAAAGGTGTGTCGTGCGTGGAAAGGGGTGTCTCGTTGAGGTATCCTTGTTGTTCTTCCTTGAACGACGGCTGTTTCTCTTCGCCTTTTTTTTTTGTGAACGCGTTGTAAATTCGCTCCTCAGGGAAAGAGATAGAGGGGAGTGTGAAAGACGAGATGGAGAAAAACACGACAGCCCGCTCGACACAAAGAAAAAGAAAAAAAGAAGGAATGAGAGTCGGGATGAAAGGGAAGGTGGTGGATGGAGGCACAGGAAATAGAAACAAAAAACAAAAGAGAAAAGAGAAGAAAAGAAGAAAAGAGGCAAAAGTCGACAACGACAAGGCAATAAAACAAATATGAAGGAGAAGCAGTGGCCACATAATGTAGTTTACGCCCTTAGCCGTTTTTTATGTCCAGTGGCAAATACATCCATGTTGTATGTTTATAACACGCACCTCTCCCTCCGAATGCGCGGGACCACCGCAATACAGAGGCAGGCGGGCATGGCCCAAATAAACAATAAACAACAAAAACGAGAGCAAGCTCTCACCTGCCATCCTCCACTGAGTTCACTACCTCTACACTACCAGGAACGACTGGACAGGAAACAAACCAGGGTCGACGAGGAACACGGAAAAAAGTAAGTTGGATTGAGAGCATTTAACAACTTCATCTGGTTATGAGCATCGACAAAACAACTTGAACACAGACACTGGAAAGGACGAGCTAGCCTATCCCTACCCCCCTTCAAGCCTTATTTTTTTTGCTTTTTCGGCTCTCTGCCTTTCTCGTCACCTCGCTCGCTTCTTCGCAAGTTTCCATGGAAACAACACAATTCGTCGTACATATTCACGCACACAGGCACAGGCACAGGCACGCTATCACGCACGAGGCATTGGGAACAGGATCGAAGGGGCAGGTTTACCGACGATTCGAAGTACTTTTTGGCGCTCATTGGCACTCATTGGCACACGCCCGAAATACACATAAAAGGTCGCTTCAGTATCTCACAGTGCGTGCGAGAATAGTGAAAGTGTTGTTTTTTACTGCGATCTGTCAATCATCATCAATTACCGTACCCCCATCTACGATCGAACCAAGAACAATACATTACTACAGCCTCCTTTACTCATACCCCTGGTACTGTCTCTGTTCACCCCCTTTTCGATCGAACACACGCCAGAATTTAGAAATAACGCGCCCAACGGACTCAGCCGCCCTTCCGAATGCGTGCAGCCATCATCGTCAGTAGCGCGAAGAAAGCAAGAAAAACTCTTGGCTTGCATAAAGGGCGGACGGATGGGCTAGTGGAATCACTTTCAACGCCGGCTGAGTCGATCATGTCTTCTTTTTGTGAATCATAAACACAAGCCCACGATACGACCTCAACAGTCCATCTCCCTGTCTGTCGGGTTGTTATCATTATTGTTGTCGGGACAAAGGAGACATGCGTGGACCCTTGTTTTTTTGCTTTTGTATGTCGTGTATGTCCTCAATTGATAGACCGACATTACCCCGGTCATGTCATCAGTCTTGTTTCGTCGTGCGTGGCATTTCAACCTCCCCTGAAAGTAAGACAGACAGAAAGGGGCCATGCGTCAATTGTTTTTTATTTACAAAGTCCTCTTCTGCATCCATCGCATCAACTGGAAGAGGAGATCGGCTTAGAAACTTTTGTTTTCAAAATGATGTCGCCTCAGGGGACAGGAACAGGAACGGGAACAGGGGTGCGACTTAACGAACAGAAACGGGAAAACGGCCAATGGATGAAAAAGAGGGGTGAGTGTCTTGGCACGATCTACTTCTATCGCTCACACAGTAAATCACTGAAAAAAAAGTAGACTGCTTTACCACAGTAGCAGCGTTAACCTTCCGGAAGGATGGGATGGGATGGTATGGGAGAGCGCGAGGTGGGCTGTAGAGAAAACTCAACCCCAACCTTGTCCTGCTAAGCCTTTTTTCAGATCTCTCTCGCTCTTTCCCTACTCCTTGTTGCTCTCGTTCTTGCTTGTGTCTCTCATCTCACTCTTATTCCCACCTTTTGATCCCCGCAGCATCATTTGTTAGTCTCGTTTTTTTTTTGTTGCAACCGCCTATTCCGAAAGTCAATAATTGACCGAAGGAAAGGATAGGGGCAAGGAGAATGGCACCTAAGAAAGAGACACAGGGCAGGGACACAGGGAATAGGGGGTCAATGGAATGGGTGCATGGATAATGAGGGTCTGAGCCGCAGTCTCTCTTCAAAAAGGAGTTGGGCCATATTGTTGATATGTTGTGAATAAGGTATGCAATTAGTAGAAGGCGACGCTTTGTTTACAACCGCTGCGTGAAGGTTTTTGCCACCATCATAGACGCCTGCCCTTTGGGAGTGAGTGGAGAATAATAAAAAGAGTAGATTGTCTTACTCATCAATTTCATCTCTTCCCACAGGCGTGCCTTATTGTTGTTATTTGTTGCTGTCATGGTTGTTGTTTTTAAAGATCTCTCATGCATCCCATCCTTCACTCCATACTTTTTGTTTGTCCCAGATTCGGAGACAGAAATGCAACACAAGGATGCACTTGACCACCTCTCACTCGCCATCGACTGCAACAAACAAAACTGCTTGCTCTCATGTCCTTCACTTTCTCTGTTTCTCTTTTTGTTTCTTTTGTTGTTGTAAAACGACAATGACTTTTGTTTTCTATTGAGAAAGGTACTTCAGTTTGTGTGACCAAGAGCACTCTCTCCTTGTATCTTTCTCGCCCTCCCCTCCCCTTCTCGGTCTTTCTCTTACCTTGCCAGACCTTTACATAACCACCCATCCATTCCTCATCGATTTCGTCCTTCTTCCACCTTCATCTCCAGAAGCAGTTCTGGCCCCGCTTCGTTGTCCAATCTGTCCTGTCCTCGTCAGAGGTCAGTCAAACGAAAACCCTCCCTTGTTGTTGTTGTTGTTGTTGTTGTTTACTTTCATTCCATCCGCATGCCAAATTAACAACGACACAAAAGAACCTTGTTTTTTCTTCGCGTGATGAACAATCAAAAAGGTGACCTTAACGGTCTCTGATTCCAGGAACACCTAAACAGACTATTTTACCAGTTATTACTCTCCCTGTCTCTCTCGGGTCTCCATCAACCATCCCCCTTCACTCGAATAAGTCACCTCAACTATCCGTACAGTTCGGTGCTATCACTCTTCTCCTTTTTCCCAGTACCCAGTCCTACCTTCTCGTAACCACCTCTCACTGTCTCGCGCTCTCTTCTCGTTCTTGTACTCCCCTCGATCGTTATTTTGTTGTCGTCCCCGTACAACACCTGCGATCGCACAACATCAACAAGAACAGAGTAAAAATAGCATTCACCCTGTCTTTGTTACTCGACGCCTACAACAAACCAACAAAAACTGACACAAAAACGCAAAAAAAAAAAAAAAAAAAAAAAAAAAAACGCAAAAACAATGGCACACCCACGCGCCGCTCATTTTTATTTTATTTTTCACTCGCTCTGGGCCTTTGAACTTTCGTCCTTCTTTCCTCCCCCCCTCTTCCACCTCCTCTTTGTTTAACTCGCCAGCACAAAAAAAGAGACAAAGCGTATAATGGATGTAATGGGAGAGAAGTAAAACATTCGGGATGAACAATTCGACTCCCTATTATCCTCGAAACTGATGAAATGATAAAAATAATACCGGGTGCGAAGCATACGCATTGACCCTACGCGCCAAATCCCTCAACTATTGCATGTAAATAAAAAAGAAAACGACAGAACATCAAAGCAAATCGAAACACGGAAGGTCCTTCCGTGCAGAGAAAAGCTGAAATAAAAATAACCATAAACATGAACATGAACTTGAACGAGAACATGAGAGAGGTTGTGTTATTAGAAGATATAAGGTAAGGGGGGAAGGGGGGGGAGGAGGAAAGGAGGAAAGGAGGGTATAGGTATTGAACATAAGAAAGGTATAGAAAAATAAAGGCTACAGTGAACAGGAACCTCTCATGGCGCGATGGGAGGAGGGACTAGGAGCTACGTAAAGTTAATTCAAAACTGCTGCTGTTTCTCAGTCATCGCCGCACCTGCGGCCATACCACTCGCTCCAGGACCACCAGGTACACTACTACCAGAGGGCTGTCCAACAGACGACAACGAAGCACTCACAACCACAGGCCCGGACCCAAAGGCCTCCGACAACGGACCCGACACCGTCGCCCCTCCAGAGCCCGAAGAATGATTCGAGTAATTCGAATACGCGCCCGCACTTGCCCGGGACCCAAACGATCCTAACGAGTACTGGCTCTTCCTCATCTCTTCCCCTCCGCTTCCATGACCACTACCTCCTGCGCCGCTTCCACTACCGGTACCGGTGCCGCTGCCGCTGCCGTGGAGGGCCTGGTGGATGGTTCCAACACTCGACGTCGACAGATGAGATCCTGATCCGGCGAGCTTCTCGCCAGACTTGCGACGATTATACATCATAGTCGAAGCATGTTTCCGGTCCAGGAAGGCTCCCACAGAGACCTCGCCCGAGGTGTTGGTCACGTCGGAAAGGTCTCCTGTCCAGGTGCTGTACATCGAGATGGATTCTGAAGGCATGATAAAAGAATGCCTGTCTAGCTGCAATTGACCCTGTTGTTGGGTTGGGATCGGGTAGAGGCTGGGGTCTCCTACGTGATGGAGTTGGTGGGCGGATGCGATGGGTAAGTCGAGCTCATCCTTTGACCGACGATAGTACTGTTGTTGATTATGCTGTTGCTGATGCTGATGGGCGGATGAGGAGCGTCGACGGAAGACTCCAAAACTGTCGGTTGATCCTTGACGGGGTTCCAGGGATGGCGTCCGCGGCTGTTGATGCTGTCCTGCTGGAGAGGCAGAGGATGGGCGGAGGCTTGCATTTGAGGGCTTGCTTTGGGGACGCGAGGGAGTGGCGACTGCAGGTGTGGACTCGGGATAGAACGCGCCCGGTTGCTGCTGCTTTTGTTCTGGCGACTGCTGTTGCTGCTGCTGGTAATACGCGTGGTGGTTTGATGGTGGGGGCACTTCATCTAACGGTCCCACAGAAGGTTGTAAATAATACGGCTGCTGCTGCTGCTGAGGAGCAACCTGGAACTGACTCTGCTGCTGTTGCTGTTGCTGCTGTTGCTTCTGCAACCTCTGCCTCTCCTCCGCAACTATCAGCTGCTGCTGCTGCTGCTGCTGCTTTTGATGATAACTCCCACCCCTCGTAACAGCATTATAATGGTTCAAGACATCATTGGTCGACGCAAAACTTGTCTTGGTTTCGTACCACGCAGGTGTCAATGGTCTCGGTAACGTCGTGGCCGACAGGATCGTCGGTGATGTGGTCGATGCGATTGAAGGTGCAGATGTTGGAGATGAGGGGGCTGAGGGGCCTTGGATCCCTCCCCCTTCTCTTCCTGCACCTTCTCGTCCACCGCCGTTACCGTCGCGTCCGGTTACTGAGGATGTTGCGGTGCTGGTTGCGGTTGAGGTTGTGGAAGGGGTAGGATTGTGGGGGTTGTTGTAAGTGTGAGGGTTGGAGTGGGCGGCCATTCGTGTCTCAAAGGATTCCCGAACGCGGTAGGGGGATTTTGCAGGTGGAGTCATGGTCATCACACGCCCCTGCTGCTGCTGCTGCTGCTGTTGGTTGGGAGGGGACGGCGTGATGGGTATACGTTGTGGGAGTTCTGGGAGGTGCATGGGTTGAGGCTCATGTCGAGCTGGGACAGCAGTAGCAGAAAAGGCAACCTGAGGCGACAATGGCGTTCTTGTCGTTGTCATCGGTTGCTGTTGCTGTTGCTGCTGTGGAGGGGGTGGTGGTGGAGAAAAGAGCGGCGTGGGGTGGTCTTCGTGACGAGGTCGTGGTGGAAGAGGAGAGGTTGGCGGTGGATGTGTCCTGCTTGCGCTCATCGAGAATGGGCTGTAGGAGGTGGGCGAAGACGCCGAGGAATGCAGTGGCGGCGGTGATGAAGGCGGGGGCGACAGGGCTGTTACTATTGCTGACGGCGTTGTGGGAGGTGCAGTTGTCGTCTTAGTGGTGGCGGTGCTGCTACTGCTATCGTCAGCAGCAGAGACGGGTGGCTGAAGTGTGGCAGCAGCAGGCGAGGAGACCGAGCTGTTGCTGATAGCGCTCTTCAGGATATGATCCGGCACCACATGGTCCTCATACATCAACTTGGCCATCTCCAAGAACTGTCTATCCATCACATTGTCGATCGATCGCCTTGGCCGCACTCCCGGAGGTGTTACAGGCGTTGTTGGCGTCACTGGCACCTGAGGTGCATCAGCGTACCCTGTACTACCAACGTCAGTCCTGCGATATGCGTTGGCAACATCTGTAGGGATTGGTGGTGGTGGCGCCCTGTACCGTTTTGAACTAGGCGTACTGCTGCCGCTGCCAGCGTTGGATCCTGATGACCTCCGCCCCAGTTGTTGCAATGATTCCTCGAGGTTAGCGTTGACGTCATCCTGATAATCCGACAGTGAGAAATCCTGTTCCTCACCGTCGAGGTACCGTGTCCCCGCTGAGGGATACGGATCAGCCATCAAGAACCCTGTCATCGTCGGCGACATGATCATATCCAACGGCGGCACATTCTGGCCCTGAGGTTCGTACGGTAATGGCGGTGGTGTAGTCGCAGTCGCATGAACATCAAAGGACGCCTTTCTCAGTCCGAAATAATCAATATCCATCCCATCTCTCGAACTCCGTCCCTTTTGCTGTTGCTGCTGCTGTTGGTGTTGGTGTGCAGCGATGGCAAGGGCTCCTGCATCCATACGCGTCGTGACGTTGGATCTCCGCTGCTGAGAGGATGATGGCGAAGGAGAGGGCGTCGACGACGACTCGGACATCATGGTTGGGGAAGGTCCTGTCATAGTCGTGTTAGACTTTGAGGCGCTAGAGTTGGAGATTCGTCGCTTGACAGGAAGATTCTCGGTACTCTTCCTCGATCCTGCTCCAGTTTGGTTCTGTGGATGGACAGAGCTGGTACGGACTCCGTAGACGGGTGTTATTCCCATGCCTGTGTTGGCTGCTGCTGTCGCATGTTGTTGTTCAAACGGGTTCTGTCCAAAGCTGGATCGAGTGCTACTGGTGCTGTTCCGGGTCTTGAGAATGCCTGCTAGGGGTGCAGCCGAGGGTTTTCCAGAAGGTCCTGCAGTCGTTGTCGTCTTTGCTGCCGATGTTGCATTGTTGTTGCTCGAGGTAGATGTTGAAGTCATGGCGTAGTGTTCTCCACTGGGTCGACGAGGGTTGGCCGAGGCAATCTCAGGAGACGCAGCGGTGGTGGTGAAGTTGGGAGGTGTTGCCGGTGCTGCGGGGAAGGCAGCATAGTTCAATGACCGTTGCTGGTCCGGATGAATGGTTTGTTCGAGTCCCGCAATAACGCTATCCCGATCCAATTCTCCATTTTGAGCAAGCCACTTCTTCATCGTCTCGACGTCTCTGCTATCCTCATAGTAGTTGCTAGGACTGCCAGAATCCCGCCTCGACAGACCGACCGCCAAGTTGCTGTTGTCGGCTTTTGCCCTGTTCGCGGTGCCTCTCTCGATATCTTGGTCAGCAGCAGCAGTAGTTTGAGCACCACCACTCCACGATCCTTGCTTGGAACCATCTGGGCTGGGTTCATGAGAGCTGGAATGCGTGGATGGGTTCCTGCCATGGCTGCCAGTAGGCGAATGCCCGTTGTTGACCTGCTCAATCATGTGCATCTCACTCGCCATTGCCGTCAACGAATCCATCCGATCTCTCCGCTTGGGCTCAATATAACTGTATCGTTGCTGGGCTTGCTGCTGCTGTTGCTGCGTCGGGTCGTTATGTCCTTGTCCATTGTCGGCAATATGTTGCAGGGCAAGTCCAGAATGAGTAGTCAATCCGTGATGACTCGACTGCTGCCGCGAGATACCATTGAACCCACTCCCACTACCAGAATCGCCCCCACCATCAATATAAAGGCTCTCCCGGAACCGCTGGGCGTCCTTGACAACCCTCCGGACACGTTTCTGGAAATGTGGCGCAGGGTCGTTAGCAGGCTTGGTCAGGACATCGACAGAGGGGTATAACAGGAACATGGCGGCCGGGTAGACCATGATGAGGACCGTGTTCCAGGTTGCGCCTTCGAGGTCGCTGATGATCTGAGCTTTGACAGGGTTGCACTGGGCTTTGAGGATGTCAATGTCGAAGCGGTACAACACCCCGATGGCAAAGATGAAGACCATACTGCCAATCAGCCAGTAGATGCAGTAGATGTAGTAGCTGAGCTGGAGCGTCACCGATGTATCTTCACCGGAAACATTCCTTGAATCGCGTTCCAGGGCTCGGAGTCGACGGCACGTAATGACATAGCAGACCAAGACGGCGGTCCCACCAATGAGAAGAAGCAAGTCCGAGATATTGCCCCCCCTCATCATGTCGTTAAAGCCCAGAGTCAGGACAGACTGCGTCGTGACAGGGACGATCAAGGCAAAGACAGCCAGGATCCAGTAGAAGTACTTCTCCGCATTCGACATAAAGTCGCCCTCGTCCACCAGGGCCTCAACGTGCTTACACCAATAAGTGTTCAACAACAATAAACTCGCCAACAGTCCCCCCTGTGCCGCCTTAAGCATGATCCTCAAACACATCTGGTAGTACAGATCCTCGTCGTTGTAGAGGGCACTGGGCTTCATGGCCAGGATATGATAGAACTGTTCACCATCTGGAACAACTTGAGTGTCGACATTCCACGTCGAGTTACCAGACATATCGGTAAAGGTAAAGTTCCGCGGGAAGGTGAGTGGATTCGATTTCCGGTTGGCCATTGTGGGACCGGTGTAGTAGGCTGCCATGGACTCGGTGTAGAGTGTCCGGGCCAGGATGGAGTTGTAGAGGACCAGGAGTGCGAGGGAGGAACATGACAGCCAGGTGACAATAGCCCTCGTGTTGAATCCAGGCTTCAAAGCCGCAAAACCCCTTGTTGTCGTCACTCGCAGTAATATGAAGATCTAGAAGCCGTGTTATCAACCAAATGTTGCCGCGGAGAATAAAAAACAAAGGGGAGGTAATTTGCCATGCGAGCGAGGCAATGGACGACAAGAAAAAGAAAAAGAAAAAGGATAGCCGCGCATAATAAAGATGGAAAGGGGGTTGAAGGGAGGCGCAGGTAGCCAATCAGTTATGCAAAAAGAAGTGCACCACGAGGCAAGGCGTGAAAAATGGAAATGGGCGAAAGAAAATTGACAACGGAAAATGAAAGAGACGAGGGAGTAAAAAACGAAAAGGTAAAGAATCGGGCAATGGTTAGTCCTCTGCTCACGATTTTCATGGGAAAGGTGAAGGGGAGTGTTCGTTTGAAGTACGTTTGGGCTGTATCATATTGCGGCATGGAAGTGAAGGAGAGAGGGGAATGAAAGTCGATATGGTAACGGTCGACTATATTTGTACAGGTTGTGGAGTATAACCGCACGAGCACCCGAGAACAATTGAAAGGAATGAAAGGAGTGTCCTCAATGAGGTGTACAGTAGGGAACCGAGCAACCATGATGGCGTCAATGTGAACGTTCACAGCAAGTGTTCACTAAGAACAATGAACAAAAAGAGGAAGGTGCACGTACCAGCATGACCAAACCGACAACACCTGCATGGATGGACTGTGAAGGAGGATCTTGCTCCAAAACTATGATTGACGAACAAGAAAAAAATAGTGAGTTGGCGAAAGTTTACAAACAGCTTTTAGCTTTTCTGTCCATGTGTATTGTGGGTCGTGGAGTTGGAGAGAGAAACAATGATCCACCACCTGTCTTGAATACTCATTTTGTTTGGAACACGTACTTAATCGAGCCATTGTTGGTCAGAGGGGCAGTCGGTTGGAGCAAGAAAATAAAAAGGTAGTCGATTTCTTTTGGTTTTTGACGACAGGCGAGTGGGAGAAGGGCTGAGAGACTAGAGCGACCAGAGACAATCGCACAGTATCCTGCACATGAACGTCTGTTTTGATGGTTTGATAGGATGAAGGAGGAGGTTGGCCGTGTCGACAGTGGGTGGGTCGGCCGGGTGTCGAGAGGTAGAAAAAAAAGAGGGGTGAGGTGTCCAAGCGCGTCTCGTTTATAGGCGAATGAACGGTGTGTCGATTGGAGGGGAGTACGAGAAGTGAGAAGAGTGGAGGGTGGAGTGTGAGGTGGCGGGAATGTGTGGATTATGATGGTATGTTATATGTTGTGTACAATAGGAAGGGAGCGTCGCGACTGTAAAATAAGCAATGTCAACGAAAGAAGAAGAGTGAATGTCGTTGTCGTTGTTGATGATCAGATGAAAGGAAAGCACGAACAGCGGGATGGTCGTTAGAGTGTATGGAAGTTAAGGGGAACAACTATGTAAAAAAAGGGGGTGGTGAAGAATGAAGGATGGATGAGGATGATGAGGGAGCGAGAGTCAAGTCGAGTTTTGTCGTGATGAAAAGAAGGAGAGAGGAGTGAGCCACTGCGGTGATGGAAGGAAGAACGGAGAGGGAGGGAGTGGGGACAGCAGGTGGGCCGAGGAAGGAGAGAGAAAAGAGAAAAGAGAAAAGAGAGAAGAGAAGAGAAGAGAAGAGAGAGGTGACTAAACCCCCAATTCAGGTACCATCAGTTGTGGAACTGAGAGACCAGAGGGGGCCAATGGGATAGGACATACATCCGACCACGACGGAAAATCATATTTCTATTTTCACAGCTCCATCAAGTATCGATCACATATCACACAAAGTACTACACACACAGGCCATTTTTATCTTTTGGGACACTTGGACACCCTCTCTTCCTTCTCCAAAGTACTTTTCCTGTCGATGCACAAACAAACACACCACGCTCTCCCTCCTTCTTGCCCGCAACAACAACAATAACAACAAGGAAAAAAACACAACCCTCGACATGTCGCCAATTGAAAAGAACAACACCACAAAAGAAAAAACACAATAGGAGCCCATCCCTCATTTTCGATTGCAAAGCACAAAAAACACAACCCATCCTCCATGCAAATGTCTACAATCGACTACAGTCCAGCGCACAAAGAAGTGGGACTCGATAAGGCCAAAGAACGTGAAGAAGAAACACACAACCCCCTAAGCGAAATGCTCTCATCCGACCACAACTCTTTCTTTCAATGTTCGGGCGACGAACAGACTAACGAATACAAAACGAGAAAAGATATGTACCGTACACAGAGTGAGCATAAAATAAAACGGACGGCTATCAAACCATACCATGCATTCGTGAATTGACGAGAAAAACAAAGTGGATGCAATGAAAAAAAAGTTTCCTTTTCCGTGGGAGAGTTAGCCCGCGCCACCTAATGAATTGCATTCTCATATCCCACCCAACCCTCGGGAAAACTTCCATGTCAGGTTCCCTCTTTCTTTCCACGTTCAGCTAGGTCCCATTTTTGCAATCTATGCACACAGCAAATGACATGAATCTATAAAAAAGCGAGAGAGGTACTGTGCCGCCGCTTTATTTTATCATGTGGCTGTTGTTTAATTGCTGACGGTAGTACAGTACAAATATGTCTCTACCTTTGTATCAAGACCCGTATACTGTCTACAAGAAACGGGATATATGATTTCAAAGCATCACACGTGTTGAGAACTAGGGTCATCGCATAGCCATGGGTGTTGAGTATTGAGAACTCCACAGCAGACATCAAGTTCTTCCCTGCTAGGAAACTACTGAAACGCACGTGGCTTCGCGCATGTTGAATGCAAGGGACAAGAACCAGGCTGCCTTTCAGTTGGTGCGGAACAATTGCTTGGCACACAATTGTTAGCCAATCGACTCGTTCTTCTCCTCTTAAAGTAGCTGACCATCGTCAAGTGCACCTTATATGGGGTCCATTATCATCAATGACATAAGGGACTCCAGACCTCCAGTCGAGTCATCATTCCCTCTAGCTTTTCTTTTTGCGAAACTTGACGCTCAAAACGCGTTCATGCAACAGATATCTGACACACGCCCGTGTCGCAACTGTGACGTGCATCATTTCTGTTAAGTTCCCAGGTGACGCACAAGCATGCTTCTTTTTGTCTTCTTCATTCATTCATTCATTCATTCATTCCACTTCATCAACCACAAGCACACCAGAAAAAAAACACTCACCAAACAGCAACAAAACAAGTCTCAACAACACAATGTCTCGTAAGTGGATACCAGTGGCGTTCGCACACTCGGCCGCAGGACTCAAACGACCTCTCTCTACTACAGCGACAGTAGCAGCAGGATGTAAATACCCTGTGCATTTTGGTCCTCACAACACCCTCTCACCACAACCTCCGCGTCATCTTTATCACCGGATTCGTCGTGGGCGAATCACTCAAGGATGACGGTTCTACGGTCTCAAAGAAACTAAATACTGGCATTTGCCTTGACTATCCAACAACCATGGAAATTTAGACCACAAACACTCACATCACGGCCACTCGCACGACTCGTCCGCGCCCAAGCCCTCCGCAGCCGGTACCAATGCAACCGCAGACGCCCTTCAAGCATCCGTCCTCCCCGTCGCAACCCCTTTCATCGGCGCCAACACTGCCCACTCTCTCGCCACCGCCGCCGGAGAGGCACCTTCGACAATCCCCAAGGCTGCGGGCACAGGAGCAGCAGCGGCGTCATTGGAGGGTCATAACAAGGTCATTGTTGTCTTCAAGAAGGAGACCCCTGCGAGTGAGATCGAAGCTGCCGTCAAAGATGTTGAGTCCAAAGGTTCGTCTTTCTTTTTTGGTTTACTCTTTTTTTTTGCGTGAGGAAGGGTCGTGGGAATATATATCATTGGCGAAAGGAAACGCATGGACACCTTTCATTACTACATTACGTACGAAGAGCAAACACAATACTCACGCACTTTATTCGCCTCCTCATCAACAATGAAAAAAAAAATAGGTGGAAAGGTTACACATAGATATGACGCGGCGCTGTTGGGGTTCTCGGCCGAGATGCCAGATGTTTCTGTGTCGTCGTTGAACTCGCACAAGCACGTCGACTACATCGAGCCCGATGGCGAGGTCAGCATCTATGCCAAGAGCCTCCTCAGCGGCGATAAAAAGTGATTTTGCAACCAAAAGCAACGACTCCTGTAAGGATATGGCGCCAAGGAGGAGCAGGATGTAAAACAGATAAGAGAAACTCGGTCGAGAGTATGCCTTTGTTCACACATTGCACCTACGCACATGTAATAAAAAACCGAATAAAACGTGTGTCCTCTGAAGTGAATGTCCTTGCCAAGGAGAGGAGACAAAGGACAGGGGCAACATTCTCAAATGCTGTAATGAGACTGCTTTTTGAGATCACGCTTGATGATGGATGATGCAGACAGGACGGAGGGAAAACGTAAGGGGTCGCAAAGCGACCCTCGCTCCCCTCTCCTCTACTCTCCCTGTTGTGTCACTGATTTGAATGTACGCGATGGAGCTACTCCTCGTCATCTTTGGCCGAATCCACATCTCGTCATAACGAAGGACCACTTAGATAAGGGGGAAGCAAAGGAGTTTTTTTTATTTGTTCGCAAAGAGAAGCGAAGGGTTGAGGGAGAAGAATTTACAAAGAGTATGGACAAAAGAAGGAGAGAATAAGAAAACCAGAACGACGAAAAGAAAAAGAAGAATGGACAAAGAAACAAAGTAGAAGGTAGAAAAAAAAAAAGAGAAAATGAGTAAGGGTTGTTCCCCGATACAAGAAAAGGCTCGCTGCCTTGTACAATCCTGCTCGACACTACACTAGAAAAGAACACCACATCACCCTCTGAACCCTTCAACCTCCAATCTTGAACTAGAAACCCCACTCAACTCCTCCAACTCAAACGCAACAATCATCTCTCACTCTCCTCCGAGGGAATGAAGGAAAAAAAAGATCGGCTCAGCTGGATTGAACCAAAAAAAAAGAAACGGGGGGAAAGAAAAAGAAGTAAAGAACAAAGACTCGGCGACATAACATCATCTCGTCTCGTTTCCGCTTGTCGTTTTTTCCCCCGGCGCTTACGCTCCGATGGTAGCTTCGTTGGCTTTAGCCTGGGCAGGGACGTTCATTCCGGCCTTGCAGCTCTTGCACTGGTTGCCCTCGCGCGCACCCTTGGTGATGACGATGCACTTTTCGCAGACAGGCGACTCGCACTGGTCGCACTTCATCAATGTCTTGCGGTCACCCTCGCACTTTTCGCAGATCGGTCCACAGCAGTATTCTTCTCTGCAGCTGTCACAGACAACATTCGGGCAGCTATGTTGGATGACAGGAGGGAGAAGGGTAGGGAGGAATATAGGACGGGGACGAAAGAGGAGGAAGTTAGACACAAGGGCATATCGTGTGCAACATTGAAGTCAGTTTGGCAGAGTGTTCAAAAAAGGTGAGCCGACATCCAATCCATGGGTGGGGGTCATGCGAGAGTGTGTGGGAAATTAATGCAAAAACAACATCACAACACAGGAGGAAGGGACAGAAAGGAAACACGAGACCAAGCAAGCAAACAAGTGGTAGAATAGTAAGGTTGTGCTTTTTTCATCGCCCGACAAAGGACAAAGGGAAATGGGCGTAATATCTCGTCAGAGGAGAAAGGGATGTGGGGTACGCAAACTGTAATAAAATGAACGACACAATGGGAGCAATGAAAGAAGTAGAGTAACCATAGAAACAAGTATACCACTTCCACAGATATAAAGAATCGCGAAAATAAAAGGCACGCTCTCTTGATAGTATCCTGTTCCCATGTGTATTGTATCCCAATGACGAACGAAGAGAAGGTAGAAAGAGACACGCCAGCTAAGAGGAAGAGAAAGTAGAAGAAAAAGGCACACGCACACCAAGAGAAAATACGAACAAAGGGAAAAGAGAAGAGGCAGCTTTCAACCTCCTGAAGCAAGAGGAAGATGAACTTACAAGCGGCAGGGTTCCTTCTCGCCCATGGCGTGGCGTCCGCAGGCACAGTTCTGCTTTGGGTTGACGGCGGCGGTAGCGGATTTCTTGCCCATGATGATAGCTTGTCTGGAGTTGTCTTGGAGGAGGTAGTGTGTGAGTGAGTGAGTGAGTGAGTGGGAGGGTGAGTGTGGGAGTTTTTTGTTGCGTGAAGGGATGAAGAAAAGAAAAGAAGAAGAACGAAGATGAGTGCGCGCGGAGAAGGCCCTTTTATGAGTGGGAAAAAATTGGTTCGTCAACAAAGAAGTGATGCTCGCCCTCCCACAGTGTCTCAACATCAAACCCATCAACTGCCATCAACATTCAAGCGGATAAAGGAGAGGAGTAAACAATCGACAAGCACACGAAGCCGACGCAGAACACAGAGCGCGGCCCTTGACCCTAAAGTGGTAACGGATGTGGGTACAGGACATAGGATACGCTCAGTCTGTTTTATGCAAACGTAAAACACGCAGGATAGGACATGACAGGTCGAAGGACAGCACACAATTAGGTCGTGCCGTGCCCCTGTCATTTTTTTTCTTGTTAGCTTGGTGGGAGTCAAAGCTCAACGATTGGTATCCTCTCCAACCCCATGACCCCGCTCTTTTCCCTTTTCTTCTTGGCCGCTACTCTCAGACAGTAGCGTATCTTGTGCCAGTGTGGATTGTTGCCCTTTGTTCGTCATTCTGCCTATCATCGTCAACAACGGCGGCAGTAAGCCCCCTTTCTTAACCCCTAGCTATGCTAGGCTGCCGGTGTGGATAATTTCCCTAGCCCATATATCTGGAGTAACCTCGTGGTAATTGTTGATATCCAATCCCTCCCAGGGTGGTACTGACCATTGAAGGGGCCATGCTGTCTGAAATGGCATTCTTGATGTCAATTAGTGCTAGTGTGAGTGTGCGCTTGACTCAAGCGACCCCCCCCCCCCCCCCCCACCAACCCTTCTCCCTTTTCACACCACAAGCACAACCTAACCAACCCCACCCGATGTTGTTTCTCTCCACATCACGATAGCTAACTCCCACAGGCGCCCTGTGCGCGTGAGCGTGACCACGCACGTGACTTGTAGGCGTTTTGTAACAAGGTGCTCTTTTGGAGCCTGCCTCTTCGTTATCCCTAGGGCCTAGGCGAAGTAGGGCTCCAGGGTGGAGGTGCAATAAGAACAGTTTTATGCTTATCGTGACGAAGCATGTGCTTCTGTTTTATGTTTCCTGAATTGTAGACGGGCAGCCTTGCAATGATAAGTGAGGTACCGTTGTCGTTAGGTATTGTTCGATGGTCGTACACTTTTCTTCTTGGTCGTGTGAGGGAAATAGGAGCTGGGAGCCTGGGACAGGGACAACGAATAAGGTACTATGCGCGGAGTTGAATTCCAAAAACGCCCATTTATCAGCCCACTCCCTCTCTCGCATCTTTTCTTCTTTCTTTTTTTTTGACCAAATTGCCAGAGGGAAGAAGAAGAGAAAAACACGTATCGGTAGTGAGCATGGGAATAAAACATCGCCGTGTTATTATTAGTTATTGCTTGTAGATAAAGAAGGCATTCTTTGACCGGTTTGTTAGCAATGGATGTGACGTAGGGCGCTGGAACTGGTGCCATGTGTCCGCGTTTGCGTAGAATTGAGGTGCCATTACACCCAATTGTACATATTATTGCCACAGTACACAGAAGTCGTCAGCGACGACAGAGGGTTAGGAGGGCGACAATGTTGATGGCAATCCCGTTGAAGTCCTTATGGTGGCGCTAGAACTGTATTCGGGACCCGTTTTTGACCCATTTTTGTGTATTATTTAACATTTTGTAGAGGCGTGTCCATCACATCAAAAAGTCATTTGTATATCATGAACATTGACATTAGTGTTTTTCCCACCTTCTGTGCCAATAAAAGTAAGGCATAAGGGGGAAGTAGGATGAAGAGAAAGTGTAGGAGTGAGAGAGGGGCAAGGGGAAAGGAAGGGGGAAGAAGGGATGGTGCCCTTGCAAGATAGAAATTGGAGCCGCTCCTTCACGTCTAAGAAGAATGACATTCGCCAACGAGTCGATCGCCTTCCAGGCACCATCATTACTCTGTCCCTAATCTTGGTTCGATCTTTCGGTGTCAGTCGTTGCCCTTGCCAGAGCAACCCGAAGAAAAAGAACGGCCGGTAACAACTCACTCACTCCTCACTCTTCCTGCAGTAAGTTCTTGAGTGTTCAAGGAATGAGGTAATAATATATTAACTGACCGAGACCGTTTCAAACCCGTATCGCTTATTAGATTGGGCCCCAGATAATTAAGCGTTGGTACAGTACATACTCTTGCAAGCGCTGAGTGCAATCCGGATAAATTCTCCACAATTGAACAATTGAAAGTCCAAGGGTACGGCTTCTTTTCTAGTCTTTGTGTGCACAAACCCTACGCAGTTGTTGTCGTTTGTGTTCGCTTCCTAGAGGTGTTGCTTTGTTGTCGTCAATGACATGGACGTTCTTTTGCTAAAGAAATGATCGAACCATTCGTACTTCATTTTTGAATGCATACCCGATACCCATGCATGTGCAACGTCCGGAGGATTTTTTGTCCAGTCCCTCTTTGCTTTGCCTTTTGTATTGTAGCATTGTACCTTTTATTTTGGACGACAGTGCTCCATGCAATGTACCCCGTTGTTCTATGTGCCTGACTGGATGCCAATTTTGCACTTGAGTGTCAACTCTAACCGTTGTAGGCAACGAAAACAGAAGAAGAGAGAGGACAAGACACTGCTTGTTATTGCTCTCAATGTCTTTACCCTCCACATCCAACAAAAAAGTCCGCCTTAAGCAACAATAAACAACAACGGTGTGATCGAGACAGAAGAGAGGTATAAGCACACGACTACAAACACTCGCATTGCCCTGCATCGTACTTTTTCCTTATTTTATCCTCTTCCTTCCTCTTCCTTCTTCTCCACTCTTTTTCACAACACACCTTCACATCCCTCCCCCTCGAGTCTCCTTCCTCCTCCTCCTCCTTCTTACCTTCACTTCCCTCATTTCACTCATTCGCCTCGTCTCCAACCTCACTCACTCATTCCTCATCCATCACCACCTTTTGTCCTCGGACGTTTACCCCTTTATCCCAAATTAACGCCCAAGTCACCCCTAATTATAGCAAAAGAAAGAACACACAATGGGACTCCAAAGTACTGTAATCAAGTTCCTAAAGCTGGATCGGTTTGAACCCAACAGGATTGTCACTTCAAACGTCGTCGGTCCCAAGGTCCTCTGCGCCATCCGTGCGATCGAGTTGTTCTACGTTACTATCGCACTAGTAATCGTCTGGTGCAATTCAGCGTCGTTCACCAGCTATGCCAAGTACTTCACCAACCTCACCTACTTTGGCATCTTTTCCTATCTCCTTGTAAGTTCTTTCTTTCTTTTTCACATATTGGTTTGTTTGTTATTTTGCTGGATTGCATTCCTTTCTTCTCTTTTATTTTCCAGTGAGAGAAAAAAGAACAAAGTAAACAATCGATAAGAACAAAACTTCCACTGGTTCTTCCTTTGATTCACTTCTCTACCATTTTACCGCGGGCTCAATCCTCTCCCTCTCAATGTTCATTTTGTGCGACAGCCAGTCCACAATTAGGACAAACCACCTTTGTCATTTTTCCTTCGATCGGCCGGATTATTTACTCTCTTGTCCATGGCGTTAACCACCTGCTCTTCTCTCTCTTATACTCTACGATAGTCATGCACGATCTGGAGTGTGTTTTATATCCGTGTGCCTGAAGTAGAACGCGCACATTGGGTGAAGCAAGGAAACCCCTGGTGGGGATACACCCACTGGCTGTTGTACTCGTCCGTCGTCGTCTACTCTGTCGTGGTCCCTCTTGTCTTTTGGACACTGTTATCACAGGGCATGAGTTCATGGTCTCCTATGGACTATTACCAGAACATTAGTGTCCACGCCCTGGACGGTGTCTTTGGTGCTCTTGGAGAACTCATCCTGAGCAGACATTTCCTTCAGCCTATTCATTCCTTCTTGGTCGCCGGTGTTATGCTTCTTTACATGCTTATGACCTTTGTCGTCTACGCCAGCGAAGGCACCTGGTACGCACCTTTATTTGATCTGTATATCTCCCGTCTTGTGATCTTTTTTATCTACTCATTATTTTCCAACATCCAAACTGACCTTTTTACCTTTGATTGATTTGGAATAGGGTGTACCCTTTCTTGAGATGGAGCCAGGGTCCCATTGCTGCTGCTTATTACATTGGAATTGCGATTGGACTGTTCCTTGTGTTCTTTGCGCTGTACTTTATCCACAATGCGCGCAACTCGTTCTTCAAGGAGCGTAGTGCACGTATGAACCCCGAGTTGGAGCATAGCCCTGTTGAAGAGAAGCAACTTGGCGACAAGACTGAGCTCGAATCCGTTTGAGATGCTTAAGAAATACTGTTTATAATAAAATACTTTTAATTCTTCTTGGTCCTGATATGAATGCATCGCATCGTTGAGACGCGACGACCTGTGTGTATGAGTAGAGTGAAGGATAGGGCGAAGAGGGAAGGTGGATTGAAGACGTTGTTGAGCCTTTCCTAACGGACATGGCCATTAGCTTGCACGTGATAAATTCATATTCAGGCACAACCTTGTGGGTGGCTTTTTCGATCTCTCTGTGTTGCCTCGGTCGGAGCAGGATTGGCTGGCCCACAAACGAGCACGATAGTCCAACAGGCCCAAACCATCACATCCCCCTCACAACTCTCTTCTATATACCAAATCACCAAAAGAATGTCTCGCCCAGCAACGATCTTTACAGGCCTGTTGGTCTCGGGAGCGATCCTGTACCAGTTCAGGACAGAGCTTACTTCGGACATGCGCCAACTCAGGAACCAGCTTAACGAAGCCCAGAACCGTCTTGCTGGATCTGTTCCCGGCGGCAAGATCACCAACGTAAGGAATGCATCTCGGGAAGGAGTTGGGGAGAAAAAGGAAGGATGGGAAGGAGGTGGCAGGATGGAAGTGAATACAGGAATAGGAACAAGAGCAAAAGGAGGCGACGGTTGATGAAAAAAGTTGTTTGGGCGTTTGATGATGAATGGACTTCGACAAGTTGATCACATTTTCAAGCCAGCAAAAGTACAAGGAAAGAGAACACGCTTTGATAAACCCACGACGACTTCAGGAAAGCAACAACTGCGACTACAATGACAAGAAGAAAAGATTGAAAGAAGAAGAACTTGGAATATCAACATTACATTGGAATGAATACCCACTTTCACTTCCACAACTCCCATACCGATCAAACCCCTAACTCACCCACAACCCACACCGCAATAATGCAGCCGTTCTCACCACAATTTGCATTCTTCTACGGCAACGAAACCTTCTTCTACTAAAAAATACAACAACAATAGGTCCTGACATCACACCCTACGGCGTCGATCCTGGAGAAGCCCAAGGAGCTCCTGGACGAGTCGGCGGCATACGTCCAGAAGCGTGTGGTGCCTACGGTCAAGGATACCTGGAACTCTCATGTCATTGGCTTGGCCGAGAATGTCAATGATTTGGATGCGGAGAAGATCCAGAAGATCGCCAAGGATGTCAAGGACAAGTGGCTGTAAACGGAAGGGAAGGAGGCCTTCGCTTTTTTTTCGATATTTTTAACATTCATTTTTCGCACAAGCAATCTTTTTTTCTCGTTCTCCTCACTCACTCACTCACTCACTCACTCACTGACCAGCACGCTTTTGTATGACAACGAAGCACAAAACAAAAGGAATAAACACGATTACATGCTAATTGAAAAGTCGTTGTGTGCTTTCTCCCACGGCAATTGGAAGGGAAATTAAAAGAGTAAAGGCACTGGAGGAAATGACCATTCGATTCGAATGCGTACAGGAGTATATGGTCAGATAGGAAACGGTGACCTGGAACACCTTTGGTCTCGGACTTGCAAATACAACGAGTAAATGTGTCTCTTTTCCGTTCATTCTCCTACACGCGAGAGAAGTCAGTCGGAACAGATCAGGATGAGACGGTGTCCAAAGCGTTTATCAGTAAACAGCATCGATCCATGATCACAGGGGGGCAATTGAACTATGGAGGGGAAAAGTGGCACATGGTAACTTTCTTTACTTCTTTACCAGTAAAAAGTATAGCTCTTCATCCTTTCATCCTTGTGCCCTTTGGGCTCGTTTGCTTAAGAGGTCGTTCAGGTCAGGGAAACTTAAGAGGTCGGTCGTTACTCATTACAAAAACCAATTTTTCGGACGTTGGTCGTCCTCTCCTTTTTTTCTTTTTTTCCTTTCATTTTTCCCACACTTTCCACACCTCACCACTTCACCCTTCCTTCCTTCCGAAACACACACACTCCCGCCACTTTCCCTCATTCCCTGCAACTACATCACTTCTACCCTCCTAATCATCACCAACCAAAACACAAAAAGCAAATGACTACACCAGAGAAATCCCGCAGTGTGGCCATCGTCGGCGCAGGACCCGTCGGCGCCCTCATGGCCGTCTACCTTGCCAACCGTGGCTGGAACGTCCACGTCTACGAGACCCGTCCTGGTAAGTTAAACACAAAATTATCTCTTTTCGCGGTTGTTGTGTATTACAGGATTCACAAGAGAGTGTGCCACATGGGGGAAGCTCGTGAGGTCATAGGATCATGGTGATTGGGTATTGGACGCAAAAGGAAGAGAGAATCATGAACGTTGGTTGAATCTTCCTTGGCTGAGTGTCTCTCGCCTTGCTTCTGTACAACGACAGGAGACAAAGCACGCGTGCTCGCGCCATCAATTACAATATGTCTCTACCAAACCGTACTCACATCTTGTGTTTTCGAATAACCGAATGGATGTTAGATATGAGACTGCCAGAGAACAAGGCCAAGATCCAGAACAGATCGATCAACCTGGCATTGTCGACCCGCGGTCTGACCGCATTGAAGGGCACCGGTTTGGCCCTGGACGAGCTGATCATGAAGTCTGGACTGCCCATGCGTGGTCGTATGCTCCACATCGGTGACGAGGGTCATCTCGTCAGCCAAGACTATGGTGTCCACGGCGAGGTAACCCCTTGACATGCTGACATGTTTGCTTTCGTGTTTCCTTTCACCTTTTTATTCGCTAGCTGTGGCAGTTGAAGATAATTACGAGGATGGTACTGACTTGATTTTTTTACTTGCTCGCAAAATAGTGCATCAACTCGGTGGATCGCGCAAAGTTGAACGAGGACTTGATCACGGCTGCGGAGGAATTGAACAACGTTAAAGTCTCCTTCAACCTCACCCTCAAGCGAGCTGATCTCGACAAGGGAACCCTTGCCTTGGAGAACAAGTAATGTTCAACTACATTCATCTGTTTTCTTTTGGAGTCAATTGCAAGAATAACAAGGGTGACGATGCTGCATGAGCTGCGTGTTAATAATTCGCTTTGCAAATATTCTGACACCTGAACATAGGGAGACAAAGGAGATTATCTCTGCGCATGCGGATTTGATTATCGGATGCGACGGCGCCTACTCTTCCGTCAGGAACTCATTAATGCGCTATGTCAGGTATATATCAAACACCAGGGACTGTGCTGCTTTTCCATTCACGACTTGCGATGGTAGTTCGGTTTGCTGACTCATACTTGCGCAATATTGCTTTGGTATTTGAAATAGACTGGACTTTGGTCAGGAATACATTCCTCATGGTTACTGCGAGTTGAGCATCCCTGCTAAAGTCGGGGCTGATGGAAAGCCCGAGTTTGCAATGGACCCCGAGCACCTCCACATCTGGCCCCGCCACAAGTTCATGATGATCGCCCTCCCCAACCCCGTAAGTTTTACTACCAAACTGCGCTCTCCATTCCTTGTCTCGTTGTTGAACTTATTCAAACAGTTATTAACCCTTTGACACAAATGAAATGACGATAGGACAAATCATTCACGGTGACGCTGTTTATGCCGTTTGCCAACTTTGAGATGATCCACAACGAGGGCGATCTGCTCAACTTTTTCGAGCAGTACTTTGCTGATGCGATTAAGCTCATGGGCAAGGACCTGTTGATCAAGGAGTACTTCAAGAACCCCAAGGGCTCCCTTGTCATGGTCCGGGTATGTCCTTGTATTGCATGTTTATTCCTGAATGTGGGCAAAGACATATGAAGGATTTGATATCCGTGCTTGAAATCAGTGAGCATTGTTTCACGTTCAGGGACATTGATACGGGGCAGTCTTATACACTGCGGGTTAATTATTTTGACATGCAAACAGAACTCACTCACTCACTCAATTCACTCGCGTGCTTTTCAAATAGGCGAACCCGTATCATTACAAGGACCGCTGTATCATTCTGGGAGACGCCGCACACAGCATGGTCCCCTTCTACGGCCAAGGAATGAACTGCGGTTTCGAGGATGTCCGCATCCTGGACTCGCTCCTCTCCGAGTTTAACGTCAAGTCGACCAAGGTGGGCGAATCCGACAACTCACTCGCCCTCGCCCTCGAAGCCTACACCGATCGCCGTGCAAAGGACCTCAAGGCGATCTGTGAACTGGCCCTGTACAACTACACCGAGATGCGTCATGGCGTTACATCGCCCGTGTATCTTATGAGGAAGAAGGTCGAGTCCTGGTTGCACCTCTTGGTCCCCTCCAAGGTCATTCCTCTTTACACAATGGTCTCGTTCTCGAACAGGCCTTATTCGGAGGCGTATGCGCGTCATCATAAGCAAGGGTTCTGGTTGTCGGTTGCCGGTGCTGCAGTGGGCTTGGGAACTGCGGCGGGGTTGCTTGTTGCCGGGTGGAAGCAGAGGAGGCAGTTGAAGGATGCTGCTGGATTGTTGAAGGCTGCCTTCTTGACCGCCGCTCAGTCTGCTCAAAAGCTTGTCCAGTAGTTTGTGGTGTAATTGATTTTATTTTAGATTATGCTTGCCGTAGTAGTAATGGAGGTTTACACTGATTTCTTTTTGCACGCTTCTTTACCATGACCTTGACACTTTTTTTTAGCCTTCTTGAATTCCATGATCAAAGGTGAAAGAGAAAGAGTAGGATGGGATTGGAACAAAAGAGCGTGTGAAGGGTTTACGTAGGGCCATTCCCACCAACGATTCGACCGCTACCCCCCCCCCCCCCCCTTTTTTTTTGCGTCCGTCACCTAGACCCATCGTTTCGAGGAATGCGGTTGGCTCACTCATGGCGTATGAATACTATCGAAATCGATTCACTTGATCCACAAACGCCCGAACCACATGCAGAGGGCAAAGTTACTGTTTGTTTCCATCGATACACCAAACAACAAAGAGTGAATTGCAAAGCGTGCAAGATGGTATTGTTGTCCTTACGGCTATGTGGTAATGCTGTTACTAAGTCAGCTTCCCTGCTGTTTCTTACTCCTGGCTCTACGAGTTCCCTTCTTGAGTTGTGAGGTGTGTGAAAGGAGACGAGAAGTGATGGTGATGGTCCTTTTTTTTTTTTCCTTTCCTTGCGAACAGCGTCGATTAATCGTCTCGGGAGCCAATGTATCAGTAGGAGGCGGAGAAGGATGTGTGGTAGAAGAGTAAAGTAGAGGAAGTGGAGAAGGGGTTGGGTTTTGGTTTTCCTGGATGGACTGAAGTCAAGTCGATTTTGAACTACTTTGACCGTCTCGGTCGCGGGGGCTGAGCGACGAGGCAAAGGCACGGCTGGAGGACTTGGTGCCTCTGGAAGCTAGGGCGATACTATTTCGTGGACGCTTCCGACTCCTCGTTTTCGACAATTTAAAGATACCATTGAGGGGCGGACGATTCGTTAGTCTAGGAGACGTGTATTTTGTGAAAGCCGTGGTCCTCCGAACCCTGTACGGAACAGAGAAGTCGAGGAAGGAACCTCTGCGGTGTGCTACTACGTATGTTCCGCGAGGTCCACCCAGGAGCAGGACAATTTGGCCTTGGTAGAGTTTCAACATTTAGAGGCGAATATAACGGTCGCCGCCGTGGGGACATTATGTGACGAAGGGCGAGTACCTGGTGTTGTTGAAGGGTATGTTGCCGAGAGTGGCGGAAACTGAATTCGGACGAATCCAAGGGTCATCGACGGCTGAGAGCTATACGACGATTGACTGGCCACTTGTGCTTCGTGCGGCAGATAATTTACATTCGGATGGTGGATTCTGACTATTTCCAATACGGGTGTGGTCAGTTGAAGCGCAGTTCAGCAGTGGTTCTCCTGACGATTAATAATCTAGGAAGAGATAGTTCATTTCAGAGGAGTATGTCGAGGGGTTAGAAGCGACTGGGCGCGGAGATGGTAGACTCCTTGGAGCATGTCCGGCTGGTCAATCCAGCAAAAATGCAATCAATAAAGTGCTGAGGTATTGAGGTGTCCAGCGGGAGCCCCATAAAAACCAAGATGAAATGTATTTCTTTACGCCAACGAGAGAGAGAGAGAATAAGAGGTACATAGATATCTTCATGTTGTGTGAGTGGTGTGATGTGTCCGCCGCCATGCAAAAAAAAGTGCTCTTACTTTATGCAGTACAGTACCCATTGGTCCCCGAACTCCCAACCTCCGTCACCTTGCATCCTCTTGTGGGACGGAGATTGGATATCTGGTAGTGTGACCAAGGATGGAGGTGCTATGTACCTCTGTACTCGATGGGGTGGGATGATGCTATGGATGCACTGTCTCTTGTTCCCTTCCCCTTCTCTTTCTCCTTCACCTTCTCCTTCTCTTTCTCCTTCTTCCTCATCCCTTTCTTTCTGTTTGTGTATGAGTGTGTTTATATGGGGGTACACACCGAGGTTTTTTTTGTTCAGGTAATGAAGAACATTACCAGAACCCTAATTACCGAGGGTCAGCAAATTAATGGCTGAGATGGGAAGAGAACGATCGAGCGGACCGTTGGGCCTGATAATAGCAAATTGGTTCTGCGCTTGGGTCCCAACCCGCCCACCTCTCATGTCTTATTCTTCCTCTCGTTCCATCCATTTGTCCCTTCCGCCGTCTGTTCCTTCCATGCGTCATAATCTTGAGTTCGTTGCCAAAGGGACGGGAGAGAGGTCGATTGAAGATAGAAGGTATGGTTTGAATGTACATATGCGCCGGTTGTTTTTTTTGAAATGGCGCACATGCAAAAAGACGGTTTCCTTCCCCCCATCCCTCTCTCTCTCCCTATCTTCTCAGCCCATGGGAGGGGCCGACAATTCCGAAACTAAAAGGAAACATTCGAATGTTATGTGTTGTGTTTGTATTTGATAATGTTATGCAAGTAAGTCTATGTGTTATGTGTGTGTGGTGTGGTGTTTCTATGTTCAATAGGTGAGGGGTCTCCATGTAGGAATGGAGACAAGATGATGTGCGTGTGTGTGTGTTTTCTACAGATATTTACAAAGAGGAATGAAGGGAAGCCAAAGCAAAGTCATTTAGACCTCACCAAGCATGAGCAGCCATATCGGCAGCCGCAGCCCGGCCTCCAAACCTCGAAAGAACAACCTTCACAACCTCTTCCTCTCCAACCTCCTTCGCCTCTGCATCCTCAAAGTCCACCTCGCTCTCCTTCAACCAATCCAACGACTCGACCGCCCTCGCCCTAGCAGCAGCAGCCAGGGCGGCGGCTTTTGCACGCGCAACATTTGCGGCCGTGTTGGCTGCCCGCAAAGTGTGCTGCAACAGGTGACCTTCTTCACCTTCGTCGTCGCTGTCGTCGAGGGCGACGGTGTCGAAATCGTCGAGGTCTTCTTCTTCGAGGATTTGACCCTCGATGGTGTCATCATCGTCGGGTCTTTCGAGGCCAGATTCGAGTTCAGTATCAAGGAGCTCGTTGCCGGCATCATCGTCGTCTTCGTCAATGACAGCGTGGCCTTCTGGGACTAGGGCGCGAGTCCCATGGCGGTTACGGCTGTGCGGGACGGGGTACCATGCCAAGCCGGAGAGTTCGGGATCGGGGATCAAGAACTTGTCGGATTTGGAGGCGTGATGTTTGATGGACTTCTTCTTGTTGTGCTTATGCTTGTGCGACGATGACGAAGAGGAAGAAGAGGCGGAGGCGGAGGGGGAAGAAGCTGGGTGGCGGAATCTGGATTTGATCTGGATCCGTCCAGCGATTAGTGCCTCCTCGTCATGCTGTGAAGAGGACAATCGGCTGATGGGGGCGGCGTCGGTGGAGGAGGAGAGGAGAATCGAGGCTCCGACGGCCACAAACAGGGCGAAAGTGGTGCTTCTCATGGCTGTTGTGTGTGTGTAGAGTGGTGGTTGGTAGTTGCCGGTTGTTGAGTGGTGCGTATGAAGGAGGAGTATGTGCTTATGCAAGTAGTGTGAGTGGAGATATGAGTGAGGGCGAGAAGAGAATGATTGTGAGAAGTGAGGAGAGGGATTGTAGTTTGTACAAGGGAGGTTGGTAAGAGGGATGTAAATATATACAAGGGGCACAAAATATAACAGTTGAGGGAGAGGAAAGTGAGAGAGAAAAAAGGAAACTATGGTGGGGGGAACCTAGTGGTTTATATACTCGAGGGAGGGTCAGCAACCACGGATGGCCTGTTCGTAAGCGGAACGATGAGTATTATCGAGTTTGAGCACCGCCAACGGCGCATATTGCATGTTGTATCGTATTCGTACTCCAAAACAAATTGCGACTGAGTTGAATTGAATAAAGTGAGGTAGGGGATCAAATTGGAACGGTAGATGAATAGGGTTCTGTGACAAAACGGGGGAACGAAAGGCATGAATGAGAAGGAGGGAAGGAGGGACATATGTGATTCAAAGGCAAATTGCGGACGAAGATTCCCTTTTCGCCTTCAGGCACCAATCGGTGTGCCTTGTTTTCTGTCGCATCAATTATTAAACGGACCTATCGACCACTCCTGGCCGGACCTCTTCACACCTCCATCATCGAAGGACAAGAAGACAAAGATCTAGCTACCTCTCAGCTGAGAATGGTTCAAGGTCGAGACCAGGAAAGACAGATAGGCATGCAAAGGATAATGATGATGAGATAAATACGAACGAACAAAGTCCAAACAATAGCACTCGTCCCTCCTGCCTTTACATTGCTGAGAGCACTTTTTATTTTCTCCTTTTCCCAGCCAGCCTCAGTACATCATTGCTCTCAATCAAAAGCAAAGCACAAAGCGCCGTTATTGTCGTTTTTGTCCAGCTGGGTCTTGTCAAACTTTTTTTTCTTCCTTTTATGATGGACACAAACAAGCAAGCAGTGGTGGAGGAGTAACAAAGCAAAGAAAACAAGGCATCATCCATCTCTTATTGCAATGTTACAGACTGAGTACAGTAACTTTCCCCTACACCCAAACACAAGAAAACAATAACAATTCCATCTTCTTTCACGATCATTGCAACACTCTTCTCCTATGCCATTTGCTATTTTGTTGGCTGTGAACGAAGAATCGAGAAGTCTTGGCTTGTTGGAGTTGCGTGTTTTGTCCTTCTGGGCTTGAGATCCGCGTTCTTGATGTTGTTTTCTTTGATCTCACGCCACATTGGCACCCCTCTTTTACTCTTCTTCCTCAATGAAAGATGGGTTCCCTTCCCGGCTCGCCATCCACTAACAAGCTACAACGATAGAGGAGAAGTGAGTCTGGCCTTATCTCTCAAACCTCCCTATTTCCTTTATGCCCATAAAGGTGCGCCATTTGTCTGCTCTCGTTGTCGCTGTGAGAAAAAAAGGAAAAAAAAGTCCCCATGGTACTACTTTTCTCTACCACACCATCCTCCCCTCTTTGCAAGGACCGGTCTCCCCGTCTGTCTGCAGACTGCAGCCAGCTATCACCTCACCCCATTCACTCCCTTCCCACGAATGTATCAACTTTTTATCCCATACCGCCAACCTTCCTGCAGAAGAGAGTGGTTGGATGAACAGAAACGTGCAATTTACAAGCAGGGCGTAGGACCTTTGTTACCCAACACCTGCACCTACACCCGCCACAGACACATGGGTGACTCGACTTTGTACGTTTTGTGAAATGACAATTTTACGATGCAAAATCTTGCTTTAATGGGGGGGTCCCCCTTCATTTCCCTTATCTTTCACAGTTTACCTTTTTCCCTTCTACTTTTCCCTTGACGATGAGGGTACGTGAAAAGTAAAACTGTCGTACAAAGACGGCGTGTACTATACTCGATATACGTATCAGGCGTACCGCATATCCGTTTTGACCCATGGTCGCCGTTCGGCGTCATGCTATCGATCGCTTATGGCAAGGTGGTGAGTGGCGCACTAGTGCCGTTTTTTTTTCTTTCGACCATCCTGGCCCGTGTTTGGGCCAAAAAAAATATATGCGCAAAGACGCACCAATCGATACTCCTAGTAAACTCTATCGTTTGTCTTTTTGCGGCGTCAGATTTGTCACATAAGGTGTTCTGCGTTTCACAGGTGGGGAGCGTATTGCTTTAGTTGTCTGTTGACCATGCCCTACGTAGACGTCACGCAAAAGCAGGGGTCCAAACGAGTGGCGAGAACGCAAAGACAATCCATAGTGAACAAAAGGACAAGTACGAAAGTAAAAGTAAACATCAAAACAGAAACTCAGTAATGACGGATGACGGAGCAGAGAAGGAAAGCAGCGAGAAAGTTTTGATAGAGTTCATGCCCACCTTCTTTGTGATTAAATTGCATTTTCGGGTTTTCACCCACGGTCATCCCAGTTATTCAACAACGGGGTCCGATATTGAATAGACATTGTGCTAATTAGGTTGCTCAAGAGAGTGTAGGGGGTTGGGTGGGGTGGATAGATATTGAGATATGTTCTGTGTTGAGACGTAAAGGTATGCTGTTCGTTTTCTCATGAGTAAAAGGGTCAATGAAACAGAACACTGGCGATCGAATGATTGCAATAAGAATCTCTTTCCTTCTTGTCCTACGTTCGTCTTCTTTTCCCCGGTGAATGCGAATGGGGTCCAAGGGATGAGATGGGGTACCAAGCATATGACACAAGAACACCAAGGAAAAGATGGAAAGAGAACCGAGGGGGGTATTATTTCATTACTGTAGTGATACAAAAAGGGGGTCGAATGGAAGATCGAGAACGATTCTGCGTCCTCTCGAAGGTTGAAGGACATGAAACGTCCAGGGGTCATCACAAATTAATTTATTTCGAACGATCGAATGAACATTCGAGGTGAGAGGCGCCCTAATCTCTCTTCTCTGTCTCTCTCTATCTCTTTTCCTCATGACATGACACCCCCATCCCTCGCTCGCCTGTTCTCATTTTCTCATCCTTTCTTCTTGGCATTGTCACACAGACGACCCACGGTTGTGGTGCCCTATTGGAGTCCGCAACAACAGCCACAGCTGCACAACAGCCACAGCTGCACAACAGCCACAGCTGCACAACAGCCACAGCTGCACGACAGCCCTCTCCTCCTCACCAAAAAAAATGAGGTGGTGCTCTCAACTTACTGTATTTCTACGTCCGCCCTGCCAGCGCCACACTCCCTCCTCATCCTCTAACCTGCGTTGTGACCAAAAGTGGTTCCTCGTTCAGCCATCAGCGGGCTCATTCAGCTCCAAAACCTCATTTTTTCTTTTGGAGTCTGGTCACGAAAAGAAGGAGCTGTTTTTAGGGAGCTGTTTTTAGGACGTTCGTCATGAGAGAACATAATGCGAGTTCAGTGGAATGACACTCCTCCCATGTTCTTGTTCCTACAATAGCAACAATAGTTATTTGATACAGACGACAGGCATGTGCGTATTTTTGTTATTTTTGCAAGGTGAGCGAGTGCAAACATGAAGCAAAAGATACATGAAGTAGAAAAGTAAGTGTGAGTTGATGAGGTCAATGTAAATGTTATTATGTACAATCTTTGGTTCTCTCCTATCAATCTACGTAAATCACATCCTCTCCAAAGGCTCAAGCCCCAAGATCCGCATTCCATTCCCTAACGTAACACGCGCACACCAAAGCAACAAGAACCTCGCCTCTGCCAACTCCTTCTCCCCCGCCTCAGCCGCAGCTTTCACCTGCAAGACTTGGTTTGCAGAACTGATTGCATGTGAAAGGCCAAAGAGGTAGTTGACGATGGTCGATGGTTCGAGGGTGTGGAGGGTTGAGAGGGTGATGTCGGGGTATTGGGAGATCATGTTGGCGAGTTCGTAGGCTTCTGGTTCTGTGAGTAGGGATGTCTTCGCGGATGTGTTTAGCGTTGTGCTTGACTTGTCCGCAATGCTATTGGGCGCAGAAATAAAATGGGGAGAGAGAGATGGTTACTATAGCTCATGGCAATATTAACATAGAGGCAGGTTATGAACAGAAAAGACATAGCAAAAGAACTTACCCACAGAGGCGCGCGTAGGCGTACTGGAGATAAATGCCCGTGTTCCCCGTAGACTCGGTCATCCGCTTCCAAGAAAACTCGTACCCCTTGTGACTCTTTGCCTGGAAATCCTGGATCACGACCGCGGAGATTCCCAACTGGTCCGCCACCGATTCCACGCTCCCTTCTCCCTCCTTTCCAGAAGACGACTCCTTGACGGCGTCGAACTTTGCCTGGTTCTCCTTCATCTTCTCGAGCATGGTACTCTGGGCCGTGTCGAGGATGTCTTCCAAGAAGACGGCGTTACCCTTCCTGGTCGACATGCCTTGCACCTTTCCGAACGAGATATGCTGCAATGATCGACTCCAATGCTCCTGTTGCTTCTGATCCTTGGAGGCCTCAGTGGCCTCGGTGGCAAAGGCAAGTTCCATGATCTTGAACAATCGCTTCATATGCAAGTTCTGATCATCGCCAATCATATACAAATGCCGATCAAACTTGAACCTCTCCGCCCTATCCAAACACGCCGCAACATCCCTAGTCAAATACAACGTCGTCCCATCCGCCCGTCGCAACGTACAAACACCCAACCCAAACTCCTCCAAATCCACCACCCATGCCCCATCCGCCTCTTCCTTCAACAACCCCTTCCTCCTCAACAGCTCATAAGCCTGCGGGACAAACCGTGCAGATTCAGATTCTCCTGAGTATATGTCAAACTCGATCCCGAGGCGTTTATAGATCCGGCGATAGAAGTCGATTGAGAGGGACCGGAATTCTTGCCAGAGGGAGAGGACTGCGGAGTCACCGTCTTCCATCTGTTTAAAGTACTGATTGGCGAGTTTGTCGAGTCCCGGGTTGGTGGTGATGTCCTGGTTGATCCGGACGTACACGTCGTACAGGTGTTTGATCGGATCCTGGTGCAGTTTTGTCCTGTCCCCATACCTATCAAACCCCACCGCCATCAGTCCTATTTTTCAATTCCATCCGCATAACGATTAGTACCATTGAATCATTGAACAAAAGGAATTAATGAACGAAAGAGTGTGAGTATAAAAGGATATGCCACTTACCGTACTGCTTCCCCCAATCGCCAAGGTAATTAATACCAACAACCTGATATCCAAACCCCCTCAACAACCTTGTCGCGAAGTTCCCCAAAATCGTTCCCCTCAAATGTCCACCATGAAAGGGTTTTGCGATGTTGGGGGAACTGTAATCGATCGCCACCACTTTTCCTTTCCCCACCGTTGGGTCCATTCCGTACCCGAGACTCTCCACATGCGCGTTCCAGTTTCCCGTCGATGTTGATGTTGTTGCTGTTGACGATGATGAAGTGGAGGAGGTAGAAGATAAGAGGGCGGATTGTTTGCCGTTTTCGGCGCGAACGACATCCTGGATGGTATCGTGCAGGTATTGGGGTTCGTTGACTGTAAAGTTGAGGAACTGGCCGGCGGGCTGGACAGATCGAATCATCCCACTTGTGTCAAACTATTTGTTGTTCATTTTTTGAAGGGCGTATTGTTGGTTAGTACCCCTGAACGTATTCAATGTCAATTCTTTGAGGTGACGCCCAAGAAGTAGCGCCAATTGATCAATTGGGCGATAGAGAACGGCCTGCTCAAAAAAAAAAGATACACTTACCTCGTTCTGTATCCGAGCTAACAGTGCAGCCCTCGCATCCGGTATCCGCCCACTTTCTGCCTCTGCTACTACTCCTAAAGTCTCTTTCAACTCAGAGGTCGTCCTCTTGCCAGCACTCTTCTTCCCTCCTGAGGCAACTGAAGCAGGAAGAAGCCGCGGCAAGGGGATAGAAAAAGTTCCGCGTCCTTTAACTTTCGGTCGATCGATCGCCCGAGCAATGGCGCTCGCGTCCGAGCCAGTCAGTTTGGCTAACTGACCAGCAATTACATTCTTGAACCGCGTCGAAGCCATTCCATGTAAACAATGTCCTGGTTCCTGTGTCGTAAATGAATGAATGGGGTTGTGGTTGAGGAGAGAGGTGAAACAAAGGGAGGGGATGTTCCGTGCCTGGCCTTTGCCAGAAGCAAAAAGCACTGGTAAACAGATTCACAGTCACTTCAAAGGCAGCGCACATACACACCATACACGATAGACATAATTGACGAAGAGCACACTCGTAAGAGGCATGGTAGGGTTTTGGTTATTGGTGTTTATTCCACATTGGTGCTATTCAATTTTTTTTGGGACCACCAGGGACCGATGGCTTTTGAGAACAAAATAACAGAAAGGAAAAAGGGACAAGTGTTCTTGTTCAGTTGAAGGGGTCAGAGAGAAAGGATAAGGAGCAGAGAGAGTTAGGCAATTTACATGGTGAGCTCCTATTAGTTGTAAGAAAAAAAAAGAGGTGTATGTTAGTAGAAGTTCAGTCGACCATTCATCACACGGACAAACAAACAAACGGTACTAATTGCTCTGAAAAGAAAGCAAAGAGAGGAAGCGTACCATGATGGCGTTCACAATGTCGTTGTTGTGGGCCTTCAAGGCCTTGACGGCCTTGGAGCGGGTGGTGTTGGCCTGGTTCATGACGAGCTCAATATCCTCCTTGCTGACACCCTCCTCATCGACCTCCTCCTCATCCTCGGCGGCAGCAGAGTCATCGACCTCAGCGGCGTTGGTCTCAGCGCCATCCTTGAGGACGTCCTGGGCAGCCTGGAGCTGGGCCTGCAAGCTGTTCATGTCCTCGGTCTGACCCTCGCCAAAGACGATGTAGGTGTCCGAGTTCAAGGATCTGAAGACATCGGGCTGGGCAATGGCCAAGATGGGGGCACCGGAGCGGCGGACGGTGACACGGGTGACACCCTTGACCTTCTGGAGACCGAGCTTGGAGAGGGCCTTGCGGGCCTTGATCTCGCCACGGGACTGGACGCGGGACGAGGCAGAGGGGGCCTGCTCGTTGTCGGACTCGTCAGAGTGGATCTCCTCGATGGTCGCGGTCTTGTTCTCAATATCAGCCCTGTTTTTTTGTTTTGATTTGTCAATGGTGGGAAGGAGTTAGTTAGGATGTGCAAGGAGCAACTGAGTTGGAACAAAAAGGAGTATGTGTCCTAGTAAAAGGAGAGGGTTGCAGTCCTGGGGTGGGTATGGTATGCCAGGTTTTGTTTGATAACGGTTGCCTCCAGTAACAAAAGCTTAGATATCCCCCTGCACCTGACCTCCTGCAGAACAAGAAAGACTATGTCTCCTCCTCCTCTTCTAGCTTTTGATTAACTGATCCGAGTAAAGACTGTGTGCCTCTTGATGGTTGATCCTGAATCCAGTCGTATTCCTTTTGTTATTATTTTCGCTGATGTTTGTTAATTTTCTTCGGCTCAAGAGTTCACTTGTTTCCCGGATCCAAGAAAGAGAGAGCAAGAGTGCAGATCTCGATTGTTTCGACAGACGCGCGGCTCCTCCTTTGTTTTCAACCAGCCCGAGAGAGTAAAGTGTTGCTGCTGACTGAGTGGTCGAAGAGTTGAAGCTGCGAAGGCGAGGGTGAAGTTAGATCTGTCGGGTTTTCTTACATTGTGTGTAGTGTGATGTGGTGTGAAGGATGGATTAGAGGCAAACTTGTTTTGATTTTTTCTTCAAAGGATTTTTTTTCGCTGCTGCAGTGCTTTGCTATCCACGTGATGGGTATTATTTGTAATCGTACTTATTAATATCGCAAAGGGAACACGGACAAAGGACCATGGACATGCCTGGGTTACTCCTTACTTACTTGCGTTGCCTGCGTTGACCCCTCTTTTTGCAATTGAATGTGGTGGGGTGGGGTGGGTTAGTTAGAAGTATTGCTGCTTCTACTGCTATTACTGTCATAACTGTGGCATATAAGTATGCATTGCGGTGTATGCTCTGCCCAATCCCTTATTGCATTGACGGTGGTGGTTTACAAACGATAGCAGAATAGGAAATGAAGCAAGGAAGACATACTTACATGAACGAACAACCCCTCCCCTCACTTTATTGCTCGTCTGCTCCCCTTCTTTGCCTTTTGTTTGTCAATGTTGAATCGACAGACGACAGTAACAAACAAGACAACCAAAAAAAAGTGCTCTCAATCTGTGGTGGTGTCTGTGTTCTGTTCTCTGTTCCCCTGCCCCGATGACCCATGGACCTTTCTTCTCTTCATTACTTTTTGCATGGTTTTCTTCCCTGTGTGCCCAGCCTCTTCCCTCTCTTGCCTCGTGCACTCACTTTACTTCCCCCAGTTCTGCGCTAAATAACAATTGTCCATCGTTCTTTTCTATATAAATCGTCTTCCGCTCTCTTTTCTTTCTCTTTTCTTCTTTCCACCATCCTTCTCTTCTTCTTCTCCCCTTCGTTCCATCTCTCTTCGTCACCCCTTCTTCCTCTTCCCTTTCCCCTTTCCACCCCAACGCCCTTCCTTTGTGTTTTCTCGTATCGTTATTCTCCCTTTTCACGTCTGCGTTCAATTCCTTTTCCAATTGTTACCTACCCATGTTAACGAACTAAGCTTCCTCCTTCGTCTTCTTGTTCACTTTCTATCTCTCCCTTGTCTAAACGTTTCTTCTCGTCTTCGTCTTATTCTGGACAATCAATAGCAATAACAAAAAAAAACTGCTCTCACCACCTCCAGCCCTCTTCTTGTACATACCTCCTCTTCCTTTCTTCATTCTCATCAGCAACAACTACCAAAAAAAAAAAAGCACAGCTCACTCCCACTACCACAACCAAAAAAAATCAGAGCGAGTCTGCCCGACTCCGAAACAAACGCCACCAACTTTTTTTTTTACAAACCAGCCTGGTTGTTGAGTGCCATTCTCACTCCTTTTCTCGTTCTTCTTTTCAACGACATACTACTTCTTCAACTACACCTGCTTCTTTCTTTTCTGCTTGTCTTTGCTCAATTGCCTTTGTTATTCTTGTATACCCACCACCACCTTCCAACCAAACCTTTTATTATCCCCAAAAAAGCACTTGATCCTCTTTTGCTTCTACAAAAAAAAAAGCAATACCCAAAAAAGAACTATCCGACCAACACCTTTGTTTTATTACAACAATTATGACGACCAACCAACTCGACATGTCCTTTGACGCCATGTCCCTCAGGGATAATGGCCCCGTCTCCCCGATCGACCACCACCACCACCACCAACAGCAGTACCAGCACCAGCAGCCGTACCAGCAGCATCAACGCCGCTACTCTCAGTACGGGTCTGAGCGCGCTCCGACCAGCCCCCTGACGCGCAAGGGGACCAATGGTCATAGCACTGTCTCCGGTATGAACGGTGGTAATACTACCCCTGGCTACCAGTCCCAGCGCAACAGCATGGGAATGAACAATGGGAGTCAGAGCATGAATGCCAAGCGACAGTCGAATCGCATGTCCCTCGCCAGTGTGGTAAGTGTTTCTGTTTTCGTTTTTTCAGTGTCCGTCATAGCTCAGCTGACGAAGACGCAGGGTGCTTTTGTTTTTCCTTTTGCTTCTTTTTCTTCTGAAGGGAGTGAGTGGGAGGGATCGTTCATCTGCACAGTGGGTGTATTATTTTTTTGAGTTTTCTCTGTGTGCGTCTCTGCTCTTCTTTTTCTGTGCTCTCTCTTTCCGTCGACACATGGACACATGGACGGATGGACGGATAAGGCTGGCTGGGCTGTCAGGGCTACTGACTGGGGGAACCACAGAGGCGTATATCCGATTTATATTTGTTTTTCGACCAAGGGTTACTGTTAGCAATGGCACAGGCATTGAGATTGGGATTGCGATTAAGCTATAGGGGGGGTGCTAGGAAAAGGAGGATGGATACACGGCATTGAAATACAGCAACAGGAATGAAGGAGACGGAGGATGAGGATGTGCGATTGGTGCTCTAGTCTGCCTGTGGGATAGAAAAAAAGGGATGTTGACTGACAACTACACACAACTACAAGAAAAAGAGCAAACAAAGGAAGACAACCAACAAACAACAACGACATCAATAAGATAGGGTTTGATGTATATTTGTTTGTCAGTGTGCTTAACATGGTTTGGGTGCACATGAGATGGTATGCTGTCCCAATATCCCAATACAAGTGAGAGAAAGAGCCCTTCTTCCTTCCCTTCCCTTCCATCCCTTTGTCCTTCTTCACCTCTTTCCCTTTTTTTTTTCCTTTTTCCCGCTGCTGCAACAGGGAAAACATATGTCCCCTGTCCCATCCAGTCCTTCCTTCTTAATAGGCGACACCTTGTTTTTTCTTGTATCACCCAGTCGTCCATTCCACGCTACCATTCGTGCCATCCATCCCATCCCAAACTTCCCCCCTCATTGCTCCCTTTTTTTTCTTCCCGCTCAGCCTTTTATTGTCGGGCAAATTGGATCGAAAAAAGTATTCTCCTCAGTGTATCTATCTGTTTGTGTGTTGTTCAACCCAGTCAGGGTGGGGTGCATGGTGCATGGCCCATGGTCGAACAATGGCCTATGGTCTATCGTTCATTCGTTCCTGCCCTTTTTTCCCGTCTTGATCTCTTTTACTCTCCTTTCCTTTTTCCTTTACTTCCTTATCCTCGTGGCAAACACAAATCAAAACAAGCAGCTAACACACTTATCCCTCTCTTCCTCCGCCCATCCAACCCGTTCTTCCAATGCTCTGCTCCGTCACTACTCAAACCTATATCATGTCCATCCTTACCACACACCTCCTGTGACCCACATTTGTACATACTCCCCCATTCTCCCTATATCGAAACCACTCACTCCCTGTACTCCTCCACAATATGATATTAATGCATATGCATGGTTACCGCTCTCAGAACTGGAGCCCTCCTCAGGCTTCGCCCATCCAGTCGCCTGTGCTCCAGCAGGATCCCCGACAGTCACAGTACTATCAGCACCAGGCCTATGCCTACCAGCCCATGATGCAGCCTGGACCCCTCCTTGGTCAGTACCAGCCCCAACCCTACCAGCAGCCTCCCATGCATATGCAGCAGCCCATGCCACAGCAGTTGGGAGGAGAGGAACAAGTTGACACCATCCCGACCGCCATTGTCATCAAGAACATTCCATTCTCAGTTAAGCGCGACTCTCTCCTGGCGATCCTCGACAACCTCGACATCCCCAAGCCCTATGCTTTCAACTACCACTTTGACAATGGCATCTTCCGCGGTCTTGCCTTTGCCAACTACCGCACAGCAGAGGAGGCCGACATGGTTTTCCAGTCTGTCAATGGATTCGAGGTCTCGGGACGCAAGTTGAGGGTCGAGTACAAGAAGGTGATGCCTGCGGCCGAACAGGAGAAGAGAGATCAGGAAAAGGCCGCTGCCGCCGCCTTGGCTGCCCAGGACGCCCTCCAACGCCGGGAGATGGAGATTATGGAGGCCCAACTGTTGGAGCAGCAGCAGCAACAACAGGAGCGTCAGGAGCGTCAGCGCGAGCTGATGGAGTTGCAGAGCCGTGAGTTTGACCGCACTCGCAACCGTGCCTCTGCCGCCTTCCTGGAGCGACGCGATTCAGGACGCAGTCTGTTGGATCGGGACGAGTCTGTCGGTAAGTTCCTCTTGTTTTGTACTCCCACCATGCATCATGCGTGATCAATTGAACATGCATTGGTGCGTTTGATGTAGTACAAGTCCAAGCCACTAAAAGGCAAGCAAGTATGCTAACGTGGTCAATTGGGTTTCTCTCCTTGCCTTGTGCTCACCGTTCACTGGACATCATAGCAAACTTGAACCAGCTGGATCTGAATGACGGAGAGACACTTGCGTTTTATGACCGCCTGCTCATGTTCCGAGGCGATGCCACCAAAGACGACATGATCTTCCCCGAGAACCTGAGTGCCCGTCAGCGCAGGATCCTGCACTTGATCGCAGACAAGCTGTCTCTGCACCACTATACCGAGGGCGAGGGCAACCTTCGCCGCCTCATCATCATGAAGAGTGCCCCTCCAGCTTCTGTCCTCGACTCTGCCGCCCCCATTCCCGGCACCCCCGGCACCCCTACTAAGGTACTTGATAACACTTCTTTTCTTGTGGGATACCTCCTTTGACATATGAATTGTTTACTCATCTAACCCTACGTCCCATATCTATCATCCAACCTAATAGCAACGGCCAATGTCGTTTGCCGGAAGAGGTTCTCTCCGCTCGGAGAGCCCTATTTACAAGTCCAGAAGCCCACTCCCCGACCTCCCTACTACGACTGGTGCTTCAGCAATCTATACCACAACAACCGCGTCTTCGACCACAGGGTCCAACTATAACCCATCAACGACCCGGTCGACAGGCTCGATCTCGCCCACACGGTCGTTGTACCGCAAGTCGATGGTATTCGATGCCGCCGGAGGTATCAACGGAGTTGCCGGCGGTAACTTGATATACCCGATCCGTCAGCCCAAGGGCCCTGAACCCGGAAAGATGTTTACTATCCGTGATCAGAAGCAGTTGCGCGACGCTACCATGATCAAGCCTGCCTTTTTCTAGAGTAGGTTTGGTCTATTTTTGTGTCTATTTCATGACGGCGATGTTCTACACTTTGCCATCGTGCTTGGTTGGTGATTGCCTTTTTGTTTATGCTTTGTAAAAGTGTTTTTGCAAGCGTAGGTAAGAAGGCAGCCACCACCCATTTTCCCTGAATCGCTGTAGTTTTCTTTCTTTTCTTTCTTTTCTTTCTTTTCCACCTTTTCTTTTTGTTTATTTTGACTACATTTCTACCTTTTCGAAAGGTTCCTTCATATCACCGTGGAGACTCTCCCATTCTCTGGAGCTCCGTAATTGTAACAAGGACAGCGATTGTTTAAAGCACTTTTTTCTTTTGTTTATATCCATTTTACGTGTCACACCACGTACCATACATTTTACCTCATCTAACCAAAAAATACCAAAAATAAATACCAGCACATGTACAGTTGTTCTTCGAACCCTGAGAGGCAGAGCTTCTTGAAGAACAGCCAAGAAGTTGCAAAAGCCCAAATGGCCAACGACAGAAAGAGGAAATGAATAGGAGCAGAAACAGAGAAAGAAATACAAAAGCCCATACTGACGCAGATGTGGGACGCGACAGCCAATTCTAGCGCATAGCAAATCATAGGACAAGCGGCATAAAGGCATGGATGAATGATAAAGGCGTAGTAGGAAGCATGCGCGTCATATGAAGGGGAGGAGGTGGTGAGGGGGGGGATGTGGGGATGGGAAAAGAAAGGGCCTTGTTATACAAAAACAGGTTTTTCGTCGACGTCGAAAAAGAAAGGAAAGAGGGGAATGGCTAAAGGAGAGTCCGAAATCCAATACAATGGAGAAAAAAAGACAAACTTGAAATGTGGTGCGGGGGACTGCTGTACTGTACGCACGGGGACTTGCTTGCACAGTTCCGAGACCCGGCCCGAAGCAAAGCAAATTTGCGCCGGCGTGCACCGTGCATTTTTTTTGGCGTGGTGGGTGTGGATGGATGGGCGTGCAGCGCACGGCGCACACGCGCATACTACCGATCGATAAAACATGAACGACGCGGTGCTTTGTCAGGGTCAGGCAAGTGAAGTGAAGTGAAGTGAAATAGGCGATGCGTAGCACTTTCGTTTTGAATTTATCTACTGTGCGTTTGCTGAATTTCTACGCGAATGCAAAGTAAGAAACAAAACGAGCGAAGGGACGAGGATGGGAAAGGCATGGAGACTAAGTAAAGGACGGTTGTAGTATAGGTGTAGTCTCGGCGCATGGTTTGTTGTCGATATTCCAGTTTGTGTTGTCTGTTAGCGAGAGAGTGAGCGTGAGCCTGACATCGGTATTTGTTTGTTTTTTTGTTTTTTTGTTTGCTTGTTTGTTGTCCTCAGCTTTTGTTGTCAGAGCTTTTTAACATGAGCATGAAAAAGGATATAACAACAACAACAAAAAAGGAAAAGCATAACGTCGTTTAAGTAGATAAAGGGTGTTTGTTGCTGTCATGGTTGTTGACGCGCTGTCAACAAACAAAAACAAACATTAGATAGCAATGCTTGCATTCTCTTTCCCAACAAAAATGTTTACTCTTGCTCACATCAAACATCAGAAGTAGCTGTCGATCCTTCGTTGAACGAGATCTCTCTCATTGCAAAAATAGGATGAGGCTTGGAAGTGAGAGGGACAAGATCGACGACACTTTACCGAAAATCGCTCTTAGATGGAGAGAGAGCGAGAGAAAGAGATTGAGGAATGGGTCGTGGGCATAGATGGTAACGTAACTTGTTTCCCTCTAGTTTAACCCTCGCTCTCCATCCATCCTGCATGCATGCATCAATGCAATTTTTGGAGCGGAGTAATTGTAGGGCAAGGGACCCTGCCAGTCCAACTGTCAGCCTTGCATTCTTGTCAGCCTTGTGGCTCTCAATTCTGGATAAAAATATATCACGCTCCTAGTGCTTTATCCTGGAGAGCACTTTTGTTTGCGATGATGTGAGGATGTGTTAGTGCGTGTCCATGGTGGTTCAATCGATTCGTTTGTTTGTTGTTATTATTCCCATCATACTCACAACCACAATCCAATCCCCTCTTGTTGTTATTGTTGTTTTGTTGTTTGGATCGCAAACAAAAGGGGGTGTGAGAAAAACAACAAAGAGAAAAGTGTCGCAGTTCACAAATAAAATCCATTCGATCCATTTACCACCCCTTCTTCTCCTTGCCAGAGTCCCGCTCGCAGTCTTACTCTGCGTTTTCACAGCAGCAGATAGCAATGGAGCAAATGGAAAAATCGATCAAGAGGATGCAGGGTTAACAGCAAGCGGATAGGAGCACGTGAACAGCTTTCTTTTTTGGTTTCCTCGCAACAGCAGCCTGCGCAGGATAGAAGCCGCCTGTCTCATTCATGCTCCTCGTTCATGTCTATTTTTCTCATTTCCTACTAATGACCCAGGGGGACTAATGCATTGCATGAACCCCATGAGCCTCCAAGCCGCGACATGACAGTTGGACAAACCGGTTATTTGACAAGCCCAAAGCCAAGCAATGGATCCGTTTTTCTGTCCAATCCGCACCCCTTTCACCCATGCAATTCCAATTTTACAATCGTTTTTCTCGCCAATGATTTTCAGCCAAGAGAAAGAGAGAGTGAAAGAGGGTTGGCTGTAAGGACGAGCGGATGTGTGGGTGGGGGGGACATTGTTTGCACTTCGACTCCTTACTCTTTTTTCCTTCTCTTCCCTCCTTTTTTGTCTGCTCAAAAGATCAAGGAAGGAGTGAGTGCAAGAGTTCTTTGGAAAAAAGAAATTAAGCGTAAGCCAAAGCACACGCCCCTTGTTCAGCCAGCGTGCAGTACGCAGCCGCGGATTACGATGATGATGAATGGGTGGAAGTCAGGACGACAAGAACGAAAGGCTGACTGCTTGACTGACTGGATGACCTCCTTTCTTCTAGAGGGTACTTTACTGCGATTTCATTTTTGTTGTCAACCGGTTTTTTGTAAGGGACTGCAACTACAACGCTATTAGTGGGGTTGAGCCATTTCGGACAAAAAAAAACCAATCTTGAGACCTATCCTTTCCTACCCTATTACTTTTGTCCTGCGCTAAAGCGTCGATGTGCGCTTGAATTGTTGATTCATTGGGCTATATCTGACCGGGCCGGACGAGAGCGACGAGAGGCCAGGAGGTGCAAAGCAAAAGCAAGCGAAAGACGGATCTCGGAACATAATTCAATCATCATTCAGCATCAGTCGTCATCATATCTATTGACTACCATACATTACTCCAAAAGGCAAGAGCTGCGGGTAATCCTTCTTGCACTTCGGACATTCTCTCATATTTCGTTTGCTTGTCTGCTTGGTTGTAGCCCACAACACCTTGTTGTTGTATTGTTTACACCATTATGTTGAACTCTATCGCGTTTAGGCTGAGAGCGGACAAACAAAGTCAATAAACAAAAACCAGAATAAATACCCGTCGTCCCTCTCACAACATTTTGTCTTTTTTTTTTTTTTATCGTTTTCACCTTCAACCACTTCAACCAGCTTAACCAGTTCAACGAGGACAACGACAAACAAGCCTCATTCCCCTTCTACCCCCACGTCGCCCACTCACCACCCACCCTTCGCACAACAACACTCACACACATCACCAAGAAAATGATTGGACTCCTTTCGGCCAACACGGGTTCAATGCCCATCGACGCCCTCAAATTCGCCTTGCCTCTCGGAATCGGCCTCGCCACTGCTGCCCTCCTCACCTTCAAGATAGCATCCAACCCTTATGATAAGGTAAGCTTATATACACACATGCGAACCACATACCTCACTACCTTCTCCCGACTTTCCTTGCGGTTGAGTGTTATGTTCTCACCACAAAAAAGATCACCCTCTGCGAGAGAAGCATACTTTACCATCATTCATCACCTCCTTCATTCCTTCGAGTCACATCTCCTCTCCTTCCCCTTGCTCTCATTTCTCTCTCACTTTCAACCTGTACTATCAACAACACCTCCCGAACGACTCTTTTCACCCACCCTATCCCTCCCCTCGATACCTTTCTTTATCCTCATACGTCTCAAGCTCGAAACAAGGGCAGTCAATTAACATAAACATGACTCCACCCTCTTTCTACTTCCAACTCCAAGTCAATCCCAAATGTCCCCATCCGAAAAGGCGACTCAAACCACGACAAAGAACTCGAAGAGGACCAAGATGAATTCCTGATCCGCTGCGAAGAAGAATATGGCCCCATCTTCAATGTCAAGGCCTACAACCAAGATCTCACCGTCATCTCTGGCCCTATGGTCCGAGAAGTCTTCATGAACGAATCCTTCTCCTTTGGGGACGCCATGGATACCCTTACAGGGGTTAGGGCGTTCCTGATGAGTGTGTTGAAGAGTCATAAGCATATCGATAGTCGGATCACGCATGACCTTGTCAGGGATAACATCTCGCCGAACCTGCCGTTGTTTACGCCCAGGATTGTGGAGCAGTTGGAGAGGGTTGTTGACGAGCAGTTGGGGTATTGTGAGGGCAAAGTTGTGGAGAAGCCGATCAAGATTGTCCAGGATATGATTGCCTATGCCAGTAAGTGTCATTAATTCTTTTTGTTCCTTGTGGAATGTGCATGCTTGTACACATGTGCGTTGTTGTGATGGTCCTACTGCTGCTCAGAGATCTGTGTTACTAAACACCCCTTTGGTTGCGTTTGAATATTAAAAGTGGCCAATGTGTTTATGGGTCCAGAGGTCGCCAAGCAACGTATTGTCATCGACACCTTCATCCAGGTACCGTCCCACAACTCTGCTTCTTTGTTATTTGACACGTGATCCCAAGACAGCATTGGTTCGCTTTTTTCTCTAACGTTCTAGTGCTGTCCTTCTTCTACATATGCTTGATAGGTGACTTACGATTTCGGGAAGATCGTGGGACGCGAGAACCGCAAGAACGCTTGGCACGCATGGTCAAACAAGACCAAATACGGAATCCTCAACCCACTCCACAAGCATATCAAGGTCCTCACCGACGCCGCGGGCCCCGTGATCGAAGAGCGTCGTCGACAGGAAACCGAGGCCAACGAAAATGGTGTTGAGTGGGACCGACCCATTGATATCATGCAGCGGTTGCTGGATAACAATGAAAAGTATGGATTTATCGACCTGGAGGACTTGTGTGGACACCTCTTGATCCTGATCTTGGTGTCTGTTCATACGACCACGGATACCTCGACGAATTTGATGTATTACTTGGCTTGCTTCCCAGAGTACCATGAGCCGTTGTTCCAGGAGCAAGAGGAAGTTCTGGGACAGATCGAGGCCGAGCGGGAGGAGCTCCGTCAGAGGAAGCTCCAATCTGGCGAGTTTGCGTCTGGAGAAGAGTTTGTCGGCACCGAGTTGGACCCAGCTCATGATCGAGACCTGTCGGCGGCGGCGATAAAGCGGATGGCCAAGATGGATTCGTTTGTTCGCGAGATCTTCCGGTACCGGATGACGCGCCTCGAGTTGCAGCATATGGCACGCGAGCCCGTCACGCTCTCGAACGGGACAAGGATCGCCAAGGGCCAGATGGTGGTCATCAACCTCCGGTCCTTGCACCAGAGTTATGAGTACCAGGGCGAGGACCCTGCCGAGTTTAGGCCATTCAGGTTCTTGGGTAAAGCCAAGGCTGCAACCAAGGCTGCCACAGATTTCCTCCCCTTTGGCATGGGCCGGTACGTTTACATTTTCTATTTCTCTCACTCTATCGTTATTGCGTGTGCTGAGATGAAAGTGTAAGAGATGATACTAACTCTTATCTTTATTTTCAATAATCTGGAAATTGACCTGCCAATAGACACGCATGCCCAGGAAGATTCTTGGCGATCCAAGAACTCAAGACAGTTGGTGTGTTGATGGTCTCGCGGTACTCCAAGATCGAAATGATCGACCCCTCGCACAAGAAGCGCGCCCTCCTCTCGCGTATCGGCGAACCTTGCCCCTCTGGCCTGATCTTTACTTCTCGCACCGCACCCACCAAGAGGGAAGCATAAACCTTTTTTCTTGTCCCCTCTCGTTTTCCTCTTCATTTACCCCTCCCTTTCCCTTTTCTCGACTTATACCATACCTTTACTGCACAGCACCCACTTTGGAATGCAAAAAGGAGATCCTTTTGCATATCTTCGTTACATATTGTTTTGTTCCATTCTCAGAAATACTTGGGTGAAGGGGATGGCATCCCCTCATCCAGGCCCATAAATAATAATTGCTCTTTGTACCACACAATATGATCATGTCACTATTGTTCATGATTCCTCGTTTATTGTGGGAGAACATACACAAGAACAAAAAACAAAAAATTAACAAGGAGGGAGGTGTCAATCGGTAGTGGCGGAGAGGATCCTTTTGTTCTGCGTGTCCAAGCGATAAAATGGCCCGTCAAGTCGAAAGACGCCAGCTGGTCTAGTTTGCCTTAATAGGCCTGTTTTCTCTAATTGAACGGATACCGAGATTAACGTCACGACATCCACTAAGGGCATCGGAGCGGTCTTAATGAAATCAGTGGCGTTGGATATGGCAAGGATGGCGAGGATGATAGAGGCCTTCGTTGTTGTTGTTGTTGTTGTTGTTGTTGTTGTTGTTGCTGTTGGATAGGGTTTGTTCGACTCGGATGAACGTGGATACGGTGAGGCGGGGTGATGTGGCCTACATCCCTAGTGCTCTTGTCTCTTGCTCGCTTTACCCTCCTCACCACCTCACCTTTTACAAAACTTTACTAATTCCTTTCCAACTCTGCCTTTGTGTTCACTTCCCCCTCTCCCTTTTTCGAGAATTCGCCCCCTTCACTACTTCATTGTCGCATCCCATGTTCCCATCATACCGCACCCACTCATCGCCGAGTGACCTCGACAAATGGTGACCATGGCGTCCTGACTCGATGGATTTTTTTAAGAGGGGAAGGTGCAACGGATTATGTTTTACCAACTGCTCTTTGCCCCTCCCCCCTTCCTACTCTTCTATGACACGACACCTAGAATCCTGGCCTCCTTACCTGCGTATATTATATCAGTGTCACTCGTCGCCAACCTTAAATTATTGGTGATCCCACGCAGATTTGTGACTTCCACGCCTTGTTGACATTACAACGATAAGGGGCTCACACTTTTCGGATGGTAAGCGAATGTCATGTTGTGAGAAGTGCCCCATCCACTCGAGATACCTTCGCGGGTCATAAGATATAGCGAGGAAAAAAAATATGCACGAGTCTCTGGACTTTCGGAGCGCTACATTTTTTTAATTGTGTTCTAATGTTCCATTGGAACCCATTACCCTGCATTGCACTCCAATCTTGGAATTAGATTGGCTTTATGACATTGATGTACACCACGTTGCAACCAGCAAGCAAGACGTCTGCGCAGACGACAGACTTGTAGTCCCAATTAATATTGGCGATCACCATCATGAAGCACCGCTTGGCATAGGTGCAACACATCCATTTATGTGTGCGTCAATTGTTCGTAGCTTGTTTGTCAGTGTGATATGGAGATGTGAACGCTGAAGGATATATCCAAGTTACACACAAGTTCGTCAGTCAAGCCCTGCATAGGCGAAACGGATTGCACTGAAATGTTGTGCGGACAAACACCTGTTTGTGCGCTAGATGAATTGATGGAGCACTCTCTGTCTCCTACCTGGTAATCCTCATAAAGCGAAACTTAATCTCGCGGGAAAAAAAGAGCATGCGGGGTGATTTATATCCCGATACGCGACCATTGAATGTACTGTACATCTACACGAGGACATATTTCCTTGGCTACCGATCCCAAAGGCTATCATGAGCTCGCGGCATTTATGCATTACAACAGGAAACATATATTCAACGGGCCCCACTAGCACCCTGAGTCTCTTTATCTATCCAATGTTTATGTTTTCCTATCTTCAGTTTCCAAAGGGAACCAGGGCTACCTCACAGGTATAAGTACTGGACTCATCCCCTGGTATTTTTCTCTTCACTACTCAGTTTTCAGCTTCCACATCTACAGCATCAATATCGCACCCAACCCAACCCTCAACCAAGAATCTATCTATCCTCCAGAACACAACATTTCAACATGAAGTTCCAAGCCCTCACTCTCACCGCTGTCTTCGCCTCCGTCTGCGCCGCGCAAACGCTCAACATCCCTACTCGATCTGGCAACGTCGTTTCCCTCCCCGCACCAAGCGTTATCACTGGAGTCAAGGACTTTGGCAACAAGGAGTACGACCGTGGACGCCCTTGCAACTCTGACAAAGACACTGGGTCTGCCAACGCTGTCTTTATCCTTAAGAATGGTGCTACTTTGAGCAACGTCATCATTGGAGGAAACGCTCTTGAGGGAGTTCATTGCGAGGGTGCTTGTACTCTTAAGAACGTCTGGTTCCGCAAAGTCTGCGAAGGTACAAACATTCTCCTTCTCTGCATTCTCTATACACATTCTAATTCACTGCACACATTTTCATTCACTGAGCACTGTCTTAACCACAATAATCGATACTTTCTCATTTAGATGCCATCACTATCAAGGGTACCGGAAGCGTCTTGATCCAAGGAGGTGGAGCTCAGGACGCCAAGGACAAGGTTGTCCAACACAACGGAAGAGGAACGGTCACCATCAAGGATTACACCGTCGTCAACGTCGGCAAGCTCTTCCGTAGCTGCGGTAACTGCAGCAAGAACGGTGGCCCAAGAAACGTCATTGTCCAGAACGTCAGGGCCAACAGGGTTAATGCAGACCTTGTCGGTATCAACTCCAACTACGGTGATGTCGCTACTATCTCTGGATCGTGCGGAACCGGTATCAAGCATGTCTGCCAGGAGTTCAAGGGCATTGAAAAGAACGGTAAAGAGGAATCTCCACAGGTCAAGACCACCGCTAACTGCCGTGGCGCTCAGGCCCAGTCCATCCCCGCTTGTTAAAAACGGGCTATGGAGAGACCTTTGGCCATGTGTGATGGCCTTCCAGGCCACCTTGCATGGAGCAGAATCCTAGAACGAAGAGATTGAAATAAACTAGAATCGTTTAAAGCAAGACCTTTATCCAGACACCAACACACATATGCACACATACACACAAAACACAGATGTACATCTCGCCTCTCTCTCTCTTTGCTACGATTTCTATGTCCCCGTTGCTCGCTCGCTAGCCTTTTTCTTACTGCGCATAATGTTCATTTCTGAAAGGTCAGAATATATTTTCTTTACGCTACCTATCCTTGAAGTGGCTAGGTGTGTGCTCTTCCCGCCTGGCATATTGTATTTCAAGAAAATAAACACCATAACTAGTGCGCACACGAACCGTCTCCCTGGCGACATCCACATTCGCAGCAAGCATAGGTTTTTATGGTGTCCTGGAGCTTTTCGCATGTGGACTTGATGGAGCTTCCCATGTCTGCGACATGGCAACCATCCGGGTTGGCCTCGGTGCAAAAGTTGACACATATGTGATAGGCCGATCGAATGCTGCAATCACCATGAATGAGCGATCCATCTTGACAGACGTTAGCTGAGTATAGGATAGCGGTGAGGGCAAGCAAGGTGATGACTTGGGCCACTTTCATGATTAAAAAGTTTGGCTGGCGAGGTAAAATTGAATTCGTCAATGGGGGTAGTCTAACCTGTCTCACGACGGCCTAAACCCCAGGTCTTGTCCCCTACTTGTGGGTGAACAACTCTACGCTTACTGAATTCTGCTTCGGTATGATAGGAAGAACCGACATAGAAGGATCAAAAAGTAACGTCGCTATGAACGCTTGGCTGCCACAAGCTAGTTGTCGCTCCTATCATCAGAGTATTTTTCAGATATTAGAGTCTTTCTGAGACGTAGGAAAGTTGGTAGATAAGCGTCGCGTTTACCAGACGATTCCTGACACGCTTCTCAGATCATGTGAATACGTCGGCATCCTTGATCTTTTCCTATTTGTACCTTTAGCATCCTTTGAACTTTTGAAGCATTCCTTGAACTTGTCCCTTCTTTTTATCCCTTGATGTTGTCCTTTGATACTGTTGCTTGGCGTTGTCCATTGAAGTTAATACTGTTTATTGTTCCTTGATCTTTTCAGTCCTTTGTTTTTTGTTTTGTCCTTTGGTCGTTTCCCAGCACCCCTTTCTTTTTTCAGCATCCCTCGACAGTCCTTTGATCCTTTGGTATAGACGAGTGAACAATCCATCACTAACTGAATTAGTCTTCAGTACGATGGGAACCAATATTGAAGGATTAAAACCAACGTTGTCATGAACGAAACATACTACAAACCAGCTGTTCGAAAATACGTCTCCGCCTTTCCTTCAGTGACCTGTACCTTCGCTGTTTTACCATCTCTCGTCATTTCCTGCACACCCCTTATTTTCCAGCAACCCCTTGATCTTTTTGCATCCCACCTCTCCCCGACAACATCCTACATTTCATCGCTTCCCATTTAAGAGTGGGGCAGTTTTTATTAATGGGCAAGCAAACCAAGACTTTCACAATTCCGCTTCATTACATATGAAAAATGGACATCAAAGGATCGAACAGCAACGCCCTTACGAAGGTCTGACTGGTTGTGTTTGCATTTGTGTCCAGCTTGAGCGCACCATCCTCAAGCATTATATGTTCTTGAGTCAACCTTTTTGCACTCTCAAGCATCTTCTCTCTCCGTACGTCTCCCTTTGATTTCGCAGTAGTCCCCTTTTTTTAGCATTCCTCCTTTCTGTCCAGTTTACTTCATATTATCTTGTAGTTCTACATCATTCTCCGTCCTCCTTCCTTTTCCCTCTTCCCCCTTCTTTTCTAGTGCGCCCTCGCTTTTTCTCAAGCCCTCTCCTAGTTTCCCTTTCTCCTCTTTGTTTCACTGTTGCCATGGTCTTGATTCTTTAGATATAAAGTGACCGTATCCCCACTGATAGTCTTCACTATCCCTCTTCTCTACTCTTCACAAGTACGTTGCATCTCTACACAATTAAATTTTATCGTTTTCGTTTTGATAATCATCATAACCTAAATACTCATACTTCACCACGGACAGATTAAGTCCTACCAAGTTCGTCCTACACGAATATTTTCTCAGGTTCCCAACTCACATATATCAACTGCTTCACCTCTTATTAGGCTCTATCACTATGGTCTTTATCAAGAACCCGACCTTTATGTTTCTGTCTGCTCTCGCTGCGCTGAATTTTTTTGCGATGGGGACTCAAGCTGACTGTCGGCCCATGTGTTGCGATGCGGTGGTGGCCAGTATCAAACCCCAAGGAAACGTTGGTATCAACTGTGCCTTGGGAGGACTTGACTGTGGATTCAATGGCCAAGTCGAGGCGTGTTGTATGTCTCGCTTGGCCGGAGGGACTGGAACTGCTGTTGGTTGTAAATGAACTATCCCAAATGCGAAAGCGAAGTGGCTTAAGAAACAACAAGAAATCCGTTCCATCATGACTGGTAAATAAAGCGAAATGCCCCACTGCCGCATTCACCTCCCCGGATCGGCTGTTTTCCTGGCTTGGGCTGCTTCTGTCGCTTATTGTTGACCTGTCTCGCGGCGATCTCTCCTCATCCGTCGACTCGGTTAAGGGCATCCCCCCGCAGCTCTTCTTGCGTCTCCCTGCTCTCGGGGCAGGCCCAGATGTGCCCATTACCATCCGTCTCTAGACCACATTGTCGGCATAAGTCGTCTTTGTACACCATGTCAACTTCCTTTGTTTTGACGAGCTATATTTTTGGACCCGTTGTCTGTTGACTCGCTTGGCACAAAAAATTGTAGAGAGCGTGATGGTAACTTCAGGGCTCGAAATGTTGTGGGGCAGATAGGACGTTTATGATAAAGGTATATACGTAGGGGCTACTTTGACAGGAGAGCGGCCAGAGTTGTCGACAAACGACTGAACTCAGGACACGCTTGGAGGGCTGGGCTGGAGACAGAGGTGTAGGACAGGCACTCGGACGGACAGGCAGACAAACAGAGCAGACAGGTAAACAAAGGCTCGAGTGGAACATACATTTAGACTTGGTCGCATTTAACAAGTGCCAAAAACGTGAGGAATATGTCGCTGTTGTATTTTTTGAGATCATCCAGGCCTGTTTTAATATCGTCAACACTCGGGGCGGTGGTGATAGGCTCGTTCCCTTCAAACAGATCAGTGACATTTCCCTTTTCAGCCTCAGGCAATTTGCGCAAGAGATCCCTGACCAGCTCCCAATGTCCCTGAACACATTCGGCTGTTGAGGTGACATCGCGCTTGGCGACTGGGATGGCGGATGTTGTTGACAGGCAGAAGGTGGCCAGCATGGCGAAGACGGCGACAAGAGGGAAGGGGCGAATCATGGTGGTTGTGGGTATGTGTTGTTTTGGGGGAAGTTGGTTTGTGAATGGATGGGATGGGTTCTGAAGTAAGAAAAGAAAACCGGTTAGATGTTATATATATATATATATGTGTGTGTGTGTGTGTGTGTGTGTGTGTGTGTGTGTGTGTGTGTGTCGAGTATCCAGCTCGTTTGTGAGGACGTGCCTACTCCATGATGGGGCCGCTTAGCTCCTTTCAAAGTGAGCGATGTCGTTGTTGTGTCTACTAAATTGACCTTCCCAGGAGCGCATCATCCCTTTACCTTCCCCTCCTCCCCCCTTGATGGTTGATGGTTGGCTGTTGTTGCCCATTGACGCATGCCGCCCTTTCTTTTTCATGGATGCATGTTGTCCCTCAACCTCTGACTGTTTTATTTTCATCCCTTGGGGTCTTTCTCGCTTAAATTGTGGCTCCGTCTTTCCCCCCGTATCCTTTCCTATCTATATCCCCTCCTTCTTCTTTCCTCGCATACAAAAAAGACAATCATTCCTGCTCCTTCCTTTCTTTCTCGCTATCATGCTCTTCTGCGACTGTGCCGGGGTCTTACTTGGAATACCATTCGTTCGTTGCACCCTTGTCCCTCGCCCTAACCATACTTTTTAATTTCGCACAAATGAATTTGTATTGTTTCTTCTGCATCCTCGTATTATGCACAACCCAGTATCCTCCTTTGCATCAATTTAGAAAGATTCAATGAGCATATGAAATGGAGTGAACTTATTTTAGACCAAAGCGATTCGACACCAGACTTGAGGGTGTCATGGCTTATTTCTTGCGGCATATGCATTCCTCACTCTTCCCTCAATACCTCAATCTTTTGTTTGTTCTGTTCCTCGACTGCTTTTTATTATTATTCCCCAATGCGGTCTATGTCATCCTCTATGTAGACAAACAAAAAAAAAAAAAAAAACTAAAAAAAGAAAAGAAAAAGAAAACGACAGGACCATGGCCATACTTATCACCCCCTCTTGGGCACCAAACAAGCATCACTCCTCATGGACGACGCACAATATAAATCGAGCTTACTATCCCTCCTCGTCTCGTCAACAGAGGCAGCAGCAGCAGCGGCGGCTCGTAACTCGGCCTGGTACCGTCGAGAAGGCTTCTGGGGCAACGACGAGATAGTGCCTTTGTCCGGGACGCGGGGGAGGAATGTGCATTGAGGACGGTAGGCGGCGTCTTTGCTGAACTGCTTGTTCTGGATGGAGCGTGGGAGAAGGTTTAGGACGACGTGGCGTACTAGCCTCTCTGTGCGTGTCTAGGTGTTTTGGGGATAATGAAAAACGTGTGTTAGTTAGATGGTGAGATGAATGAAACAAAGGGAGGTATGAGCGCAAAAAAAGAGGGGGGGGGGGGAGAGGGGGAAGCAATGACAAGTGAAGGATGGGCAATACATGAATTAAAAAACCCCCTAGAAAATCCTTTCACCAGCGAGTTGTTCAAATTTCTTACCTGACCACTCGAGAGCTTAGCATTGAGTCGACTGTTGAAGATCTGTCTCTTGGCATGGGTATACCGTTGCTCTTTGTAGTCTCGGAACGCGGCCGTGAGGCTCTCGGGGCGGAGGTTCTCAAGGTCGTAGATACAGTTGGCGAGGATCACGGCGTCTTGCATCGCACTCATCGCTCCTACAAATCACATCGAACAGGAACGAAAAAAAGAGAGAAGGTGTGATTAGGAGGGGAGGGACAGAGTGAAAAAAAAGGGCGGGAAGAGAGTTGGAAAGGCAGGAGAGTCGAAAACTCGATTGGGGGATCTGCGCGAATGGGTCATGGTACTTGGTCATAGCATTCGTTCTCGGTCTAGTTGTTGTTTGCTTTTTTTTACCTTGGCCGGATGTTGGAAGCATCTAGATGATGTCGTGATGAGGGATGGAAGAGACAGGGCGTAACAAAAAGATGAAGAATGAGAGAGGTGAGAGAGAAAGGGTGAGTCGATAATACGAAAAAAGGGCGGGCTCCCTTACATGAGTGCGTTTGTTTGTTTGTGTGGTTGTATGTCTTTGTTTGTATGTTGTGTTTGCTTGCTTGTTGGATCGTATGCACGTTCGGATATTTACCTTGTGGCATGCTGATGCGAAGAAGGAAGAAAAGGGAGGGAAAAAAGGAAGAGGGGTTTGAAAATGGAGGGGAGCGAATGGATGGCTGTGGGTTAGACTGGTGAGCAATGTTCAATGAGGCATTCTTGCTTTGTCTTTTTTGAACGTTCCGCGGGGATCAAAAAGTACCAACAAACAATACGCAGCAGCAAAAGGGGAGTACAGGCAAGACATAAACATACACACACACATGCATGCAGCACTCGCTCGCCCGACCCTCTCACTTCTTTCCACTCACCATCTCCGATCAAGACGATACTACCATGGTACCAAGTCTCGAACAACTTCTCTTCCAGCATGACCTTCGAGATCCCATTCTTGGGCGTCGAATCGATAATCTCGCCCAGCTTGCCTCCGAACGTCACCGGGAAATCATGAACGATCTCTATAAGTTTCTCGTTGGCCTCCGGGCCCCACTCCGAGTTCATGAAACGCTGCTCCTTGGCTTCGGCTTGGTCCTTGACCTGCACCATCACACTCCAACAGAACCGGTTCCTGGGGACCGTTATCACAGTCCACTGTGAGTAGGCGAGAAAGGAGAGGAAAGAGGAGATAGAGTTACATTCACCTGAGCACGTTTTCTGAGCCCATGCAACGTAAAAAAAAAACCAAGAGCACAAAACAAAAAAATAATATTCTTACGCTGTAGGGAGTACTCTCGCCAATGATATGATGCAGCTGTGTATTAGGATGCCTCAAGACCGGGTACTTGTCTGGATCCATTGACTTCGTTACGCCGACCATACACAGGTACGGGATCTCAAAGTCCTTTGTGTCCGAGGGCGGTATCACGATCGAGCTGCCTCCAGAATAAAGTACCTCTTGTTCCTGTTGTTCCCTCATTTCTCGAAACATGTTGTGACGCACTGCGCTGTAGGCTCCATCGGCTCCGACGATGATGTCGCCTTCGTAGCAAGTGTTGTCAGAGCAGACGATTTGTACGCCGGAGGATTGGCGCTTGGTGAGGAGGACACGTTTCCCGAAACTGATCCTGTCCGGAGGGATTCTGTTGAGGAGGATAGTGAAGAGATCTGGGCGGGGGAACATGAGGAACTTATATCCCGTGCTATTCTCATTCGTCAATATGGTGAGAGAAGGGTAGAAAAGTAAGACAAAAAGGAAACGGTTGCCATCAAATAAGGTTCAAACAAAAAGAGGGGATAACGTTCGAATCAAAAAGGGGGATTGTGTTTCTGTTCTGTGAAGAGGTCTTACTATTCATAGTGTGACCGGACATCGATCTCGGTGATCTTCTCCAACTTTTCAGTATACAGAGAAGAGTTGAGGCTGACAAGGGAGACCTTCATGATATCCTCCAACATCCCCAGCTGGTCGAATAGTGCCAGGATGTTACCGTTCAGACTCATTAGCGCACCTAGGGGTAGTAAAATTTTCGCGACGAAGAATAATAAAAAGGCAGGAGTGAGAACAGGACTGATGAGGGCGAAATGAAACCTGACCGGTTCCTGAGACGAGTAAAGTTGCTGATATCAGTTAACGGTTGTATTGATAGTTTACCGAGAGGCTTGACTTTGGGTGCTCGTTCAAAGATATGGTAGGGGACTCCCATCTTGTCGAGCAGGATGGCTAGCATTAACCCGCCTAGTCCTCCGCCAACAATGATGACGCGAGGATAAGCTCTCGGTGGAAGGGACATTGTACTTTTTTTTTGTTCCTGGTGTATGTTGATATCGAGATGTTGTTACGTGGGTGATTGTCGAAAGTTGAATGTGACAAGTGAAAGAAAAAGAGAACGAGAAATAGAAAGGGACAAATGCAAAGATGGTATATGGGTATATGTATAGGTATATAAAAAGATGCAAGGAGGGACTATGGACAAGGCGGATGTGGAGGGGTGAAAGAAAAAAAAAAAAAAAAAAAAAAGAGTTCGAAAAAAGGTGCTCAAAAAATGTGGCTCCACCCCAACCCTTTTATACGCCCATAAAAAAAATTCCCTCCCATTCCCAACACCAATACATCGACATGGGCCACAAGGCAAGTCGATCGAGACAAAAACACAACAAACACAAACTGCATGCATGATGCGTGGTAACATCAACATTCGGGGACATAAACAAACCTTGACTCAAAAGGGCTCATCGCCATCATCATCGCCATCACCTAATTTTCCCAACTCCTCCTTACATTCCTTTCCTGGGTCCTGTTGCTGCTCTCAACAAGCAATATTGTTTTGTTTTCTTTCCAGACACATGGAAAGAAAAAAAGTAAGGCAGAAGACGACCGGGGTTTCTACCCTAGTTTCTTTGAACCGTCACCCAAAGTCGAAGCGGTATTTCTCTTGCCATGGTACCCTCATTTATGTAACTAAGAAACGTGACGAGGATCATAACCCGCGGAAATGAGGGTTGCATGAGGGGAATGAGGGAAGAAAAGGATCGGGGCATTTGTCGAATAATAAATGAGAGATCACGTTCAAGAGAGGATAAAGGCTCTATTCACATTTACCGCTATTCGTTTGACCAAGGGTGATATTGGGGGGACAGGAAGAGATTTATGAACGAAGGAATACCCAATACAAACTTGACTCCATGGCCTTCACAGACTCTAGGCAGAGTCGACCGCGGCCGCCCGCACAGCTTGCTCGGCCTGGTGCCGCTTGGAGTGCTTCTGAGGGAGAGAAGCAACAGTGCCCTTATCAGGAACCATGGGCAGGAATGTGACCTGTGGGCGGTAGGCTGCACTCTTGACAAACGAGAGACTGAAGACCCACCGCGGCAGGAAGTTGAGGACGACATGACGGATGACCTTTTCCTTCAATGTCTACCCTCCGATGATATGGTGCCACATTCAAAGGAAAAAAAAAAAAAAAAAAAAAAAAAGATGGACGACAAGAATTCAAAACGAAAGAGTTAGCAAGGTGATTGCTGCTAATGGGCATACAATAATGACCATCATGAGCAACAGAGAGAGACAAGGGGAAAGAAAGTGAAAGAGAGACACAAAGGCAAAAAAAAAGAGGAGGGAACGAAAAGGCATATTCTTGTGGAACAAACAAACACACGGAGAGACAGGGGAAGACGGAGGAGGTGTGGAAAGAGACCAATCAAAAGAAAGAAAAAGAGCCTGTACCTGACCGCTCGAGATTTTGGCATTGAGTTGACTGTTTGCGACCTGTTTCTTGGCATGTGTGTATCGCTGGTTCCTATAGTCACTAAAAGATTTGAGGATGCTTTCGGGGGACAGATCTTCGAGGTCGTAGAGACAATTGGCGAGGATAGTAGCGTCCTGCATCGCATTGATTGCTCCTGAGACATTGAACAATGACGTCGTATGGGTTTAAAAAGAGGGGAATTAAGGCATGCAAGCAAGGAAGGAAAAAAATAAGAGCAAGTCGAAAAGACAGAGAGAGGAAAGATGCAAAAGCAAAAAAAATAGGTCAGTGCTGGAGTGACAATCAGGTTTTTGATGGTGGTTTGTTTTTGATATGCACAGAGCACACAAGGAAACGGACAACTAACAACAACAACAGCAATTCGAATACCGCCCACGTACCTTGGCCCGATGTCGGCAGCATCTTTTTTTTTAGAAAGAATGTGAAAAAGGGATTAGTGTTTCTGTGCGTGCATATTTCTCTTTGACGGTTGAGGAAAAGGTTAATGCACATCTCGTGATTCTTTTTTACCTTGTGGCAAGCTATGTCCGAGCGAGAGAGACAGAGGGAAGTAGAAGCAGGGAAAGGAACATAAACAATCGTACATAGAACGGTCAGTCTCCAATTTTAAATATACATACATCATTCCCCTAAACAACACGAAAAAAAAAACAGTAACAGACAATAGCAACGCGCAAACAATAGTCGCCGCCGAACGGAGGCCAGAACTAAATCGCCATCGTCTGCTTACCATCTCCGATGAGAACAATGTTGCCATCATACCAGGTCTCGAACAACTTTTCTTCAAGCATGACCTTGGACATGACATCCTTGGGAGTGACATCCAGAATATCGCCCAACACCGCACCCTCTCCTCCAAAGGCAATGGGGTAGTTACGGATCGTGTTCACCAAACCTTCGGTTGCGTCGGGTCTCCACTCTAAGTTGCTCTGACGCATCTGACGTGCTTCCTCGGGGTCTGTGATCTGGGCCATCACGCTCCAACAGAAGCGATTTCCTGGGATTGTAATCACCGTCCACTACATGAAAGGAAAGGAAAGTAAAAGAGAGTATTTGTACTTGCTTAGAGACACTCTCGATTGCCTGTCAGACACAAAGACAAATAACAATAACAACCTAGTTATGGAATAAGTGGAAACATACACTGTAAGGGCCTTCGTTTCCGATGACATGCCTCAGGTGAGTGACGGAATCCTTGAGCTCGGGATACTTCTCAGGGTCCTGAGGGTTAGTTGTTCCGACCATGCAGACATAGGGCATCGCCAATTCTTCTGCATCCGAGGCGGGCAAGGTCCCAGCCTCGGTCATGTTCTTGTACATGTGATAACGGGTAGTGCTGTAGGCTCCATCGGCACCAACGAGGATATCGGCTGTGTAAACGGAGTGGTCGTGACAGACGACTTCAACACCGCCATTCAGGGGCAGCTGTCGGATCTTGTTCACGCGCTTGCCCATCAGCACCTTTTCTTCTGGGACACGCTGGCGGATGATTTCGTACAGCTCTGGGCGTGAGAACACAATGTACTCGTATCCAGTCCTATCGTAAAACAAAAGAAGGAAGAAGGGTGCGACGTAAGAATAGGAAATGTGCGAAACAAGAGATAAAAAACCTTGTTGCGTGATATGTGAGCTCCTTCCACGAATCTTCTCATCGGGTGTGCATGGTCCACAACAAAAGACAACAAACGAGGGAAAAAAAATAAGAGCACCTACAAATCTTTGTAATCTCCGACTCCAACCTCAGCGAGCTTCTCCAACTTTTCGTTGTAGAGAGTAGTCGAGTGGTTAATCTTGGAGATCTTCATGACATCTTCGAGCAGACCCAGCTGGTCGAACAGGGCGAGAATGTTGCCGTTGAGACTCATCAGCGCACCTAAGGGATATATATGACGATCGACGAAATGAACAATTAAGGCTTCATTGTTTGTTTTCTACTTTTACCTAGGAAACGGTTTTTTTTTTTTTTTTTTTTTTTTTTTTTGGTTGGACCCTCGCAGTAATGCGTAAATCAAGAGGACGACAGACAAGAAAAAAATGATGGCACGTACCGAGAGGCTTGACTTTGGGAGCGCGTTCGAGGATCGTGTAGGAGATACCCATCTTGTCGAAGAGGATACCCATCATCAAGCCCGCGAGACCGGCACCGACAATGATGACCCGAAACGCCGGACGAGCAGGGAGATATATGTTGGTCATGTTTGCAGGGGTTTTTTTTGGAGAGGATAGTAGTGTGTGTGTGTGTGTGTGTTGAAGAAGGAGAGGCTAGTAGTGTGTGTGCGTGTGGAAGAAGGAAAGAGATCTTTGAGAGGATGAGGGAATGTGTGTGATAGGGACGCAGAAAGAAGAATCTAAGAACAAAGGGGAAAGAAAAGAAACATTGACAGTTATTTATACGAGTTTCTAATCTGTCGTCTTGACAAAGTGAGAGGCGAGAACAAACAAAGGTAAAAAAAAAAAGAGAGTTCTATTCCTGTCGGTAACAAAACATAAACAAAGCCCTGTGGACTGGCGGTGTCCATTCATTCATGTCAATGAGACAGAAGAGCACAGAGAATTGTGCGGTCAGTTCTTTCGTGAGGCGAAAGAGGCGAATCTGTCAACAAACACAAACAAAATCTTTGTTGATCTTTGCTCTCTATGCCTCGTTATCTCGCGCGAGGTACCTCGCTCAACACATTAGCATGTTGCAGATGAACCCGTTTTTTCTCCTTCTCCCTCTGTGTACGCCTTCAATGCATAGACTAATCGCTCATATCATGGGACAATAGGATCGCAAAGAACGACCGCATTCTTCAATGAGCATCAGTACCACGCGTCCATCCTAATGAACCAATTCGTCGCAACCATTACTGAAATATGTCTTCCTCGTACTCTTGAACTATTATCCCTGATCAAAACTTATTTTCATTTCATTTCATTTCTTTGACATGTTGGCAGATGAAGATCCTCCTTCCCTTCGCCCCCTTTTTCTGTTTATTCAAGCCAATTGTCTATTATCCATAACTCGTCTTTGTTCTTCATTCTCTGCGCGATAGCCCTTTGCCTCGTGATTTGCTCTTGCATGTACATTGTTGTGTCATTTATTTCAATAAGTTCTGCCAATGCATTGGCTTATCTCGCTTCTCTACACAAAGTCTCTCTCAGCCCTCCTAGAGAGAAAAAACGAGTGGTATCGCTAGACGATCAAGTATCTCCATTTCCACTGCTCCTACCACCCACGGATGAAGTACAAGACGCCTGGGAATGTTCATAAGGGGTAACCACCATACGTCGTTTTCGTAGAAGCATTTCCTCATACATGGCTCGTTTCGACGGTCGATTTGGGAGGGCCTTGACCGAGCCCCTATCTGCGACCGGTGGCAAGAACGCAACCTGAGGTCTATGTTGCACATCACAAAAAGGAGAGGGAGCGAGGAGGAGTTGTGAGTTTGGTGGTTCTTGATTTGTCGTACACACATTTAAAGTGGTGCTGTTATGCCTCCCTCGGTTCTTTTTTTCATTACCTGTAGGCAGCGGCCTTGCTGAATTGCCTTGCTTTCACCGATGTCGGGATAAAATTAAGGACCAGGTGGCGGACAATTTTTTCAACAAAGGTCTACACGTAAAAGGGTTCATAGGAGAATATGAGAATCTTAGGATTTGAAAGGAGTCAAAGACATACACCAGCATCAACCAAAGAAGGTACAGAACACGAGTGCCATCTTTGGATGTTATACTGTACCTGGCCGCTAGAGACCCTGGCATTCAACTTGCTATAGGCGACCTGCTTCTTGGCTTCTTTGTACCTCTGGCTCTTGTAGTCTTCAAACGCAGCCGTGAGGCTCTCGGGTGACAGGTCCTTGAGGTCGTAGAGGCAGTTGGCTAACACGACTGCGTCTTGCATCGCATTCATTGCGCCTAGAACACCCGCATTTATGACAGCAACAACGGATGAGATGGGACAATCAGTTTTTGAACTGGATGTTTGCATTCATAAAGCATAGAATGCAATTGTCTCGGGAGCGATAGGGCGTTGTCATTTTTCTCTCCCCCGTGGATTATTTGTCGTTTTGCATTACCTTGACCTGAGGTAGGGAGCATCTGTATTTTTCGTCAATGAGAGTTTGGACCAATCGATACAATGAACGCGTGCGGGACGATTAACCAAAGGAGAGAGGAAGAGAGAGGGGAGAAAAGAGAGAGGAAGGAGATGGCGTTTGTTAGTGAGGCTCTTGTCTCCATGTCACTTTCAGAACAATGAACACACAAAAAAGGAAACAAGTATAAGGTGAGTAAGCAAATGGGGGTTGTTGTGGGACTCACGTCTCACAAAAAGTGAGCTCCAATCTTACCTTGTGGCATGCTAAAATAAACATCATCGACGAGAAGCGAAGAGAAAATGAGCACAAGGTGTGTTAGAAAGACCTTCCTAATCGGGAAAGCGCAATCAGAATGCACACGCGACACGCGCTTCTCTCTCTCCCTTTTCCCTTTTCCCTCTTCCCTCCTTTTTTCGTTCACGAACAATAAACGCAGTGAACAATGAACGCACCAGTTTAACACAACAACCGCCCAATAAAGACAGACAAACACAAATACTCACCATCGCCAATGAGGACCACGTTCCTATAGTGCCAGGTTTCGAACAACTTCTCCTCCAGCATGACCTTCGAGATCCGATCCTTGGGCGTCGCCTCAATCACATCACCCAACGTGCCTCCAAACGTAATCGGGAAATCTTTGACCTCGTCAATCAGCGAGTTGTTGGCCTCGGGTCCCCACTCTGAGTTGCGGAACCGTTGTTCCTTGGCTTCGGCTTGGTTCTTGACTTGGACCATCACACTCCAACAGAAGCGGTTTTTTGGAATCGTGATTACCGTCCACTATGGGTTTCAGTAGATTCAAGGAAGGGGAACAAGAAGAGAAAGAGAAAAGCAGATCAGGTGTGAGGTTAGTTTGTGTTCTGTTGGTTTTCATTGTTCAACTTTTTTTTTCTTTTTTCTTATTTTGATTGTCCAGAGTGAATCTTGGGTATATTTTTTGTTTGTTCCATTCTCTCGCAGAACTCTCTCACCGACAAGAATGATAGCAACTCATAATGGTAACCACCATCACCTTTCCCACCGGTAGACCTTTCAGTCAAACAAACCCAAAAAAAACAATAAAAAACAAAAAAGAAAAACTTACGCTATGAATATCAGTCCCAACAACATGATGCAAATGATTCAGCGGATCCAACAACTGCGGATACTTCACTGTATCCATCGGGCCCGTTGTGCCAACCATACACATATATGGCACCGCCATATCCTTGACATCCTGCACAGGCGCAACACCTTCATCGGCCTTCATCATCTTGTGCATGTTCTGCCGGACCGAGGAGTAGGCTCCATCGGCACCGATCACAATGTCGCCCTCGTAGATCGAGTTGTCAGAGCAGTAGATTCGTGTGCCGCCGGCGGATTTTCGCATGGAGAGGATTCGTTTGTTGAAAGAAATGCGGTCTTTGGGGATCTGGCGCAAGAGGATGTCGTAGAGTTCTGGGCGGGAGAAGACTAGAAAGTCGTAGCCAGTTCTGTATAGAGTGTATAGGGATGGCGGCAAGAAGAAGGAGAGATGGAGAGAGGTCAGTGGCTGTAGTCAATGAACTTGTCTTTGCGAGCCCTGTTTACTCCCGCCTATATTTACATGCGTCCTGACTCTTTTTTCACCTTGCTCTTTCACAAATGCGATTCAGGGAAAAAAAACGAAGTGGGCGAAAAAATTAAAATAAAAAAAACTTACAGTTCCTGGTAATTTGGAATAGTAACTTTTCCAATCTCCTTCATGTTGCGGTTGAAAAGAGAGGACCCATGGTTCCGAAGCGAGATGTTTTGCACTTCCTCCAATAGACCCAGCTGCTCAAATACCGGTAGGATATTTGCATTGATCGACATCAACGCGCCTGTACGTCAGCATAGGAGAAGAAGCGATAATGGGTAGCAAAAGGAGAGAGAGAGAGAAAAAAAGTCGCCATCGGACGAGAGTTAGTCGTGTGAATTGAGGTTAAGAAGTCGGGGGTGTGAAAGTGGCTGAAAAACTATCTTTTTGCTTCTCTTACCGAGGGCTTTGACGTTGGAGGAGCGTTCAAAGATCTGGTAGGTGATGCCGGCCTTGCCGAGGAGGAGGCCCATCATCAGACCGCCGATTCCGGCGCCGACGACGATAACACGGGGGTTTGGATGCTTATGGCTGTAAGGCATTGCTGGTAGGATGTAGTTGATGTTGTGTATGTAAGTGAAGTTGAAAGTAGTGGTGATAAAATAAACGTGCGTTTGATTGTTTGTGGGGGTGCCGTTAGTCAAAGATGCGAGAGGTCGTAATAAATAAAGGTTAGAAAGAGTCGTTCACAAAGGAAAAGAGAGAATGAAAAATGATGAGAGGAGATGGGAAGAGAGAGGAAAGTGAAGGGGCTCAATGGTGAGAATGAAAATGTGTTTTTGAGGGTATCGAATGGATGCTTTTAAATCAAAAACGAAATACAAGCCATCCATGTCCTTTCGCTCCTTTTCCCTCTTTTTTTTCTCCACTCACAAATGCAACGTTCAACCGCCACTGCCTGAACCGAGCATACCCGGTGATTGCTGCTTACTTATTTGCTTGTTTGATGGCTGCCGCTCAAAAAGAAAACAAAACAATGATACGACATTGAACCTCTACACGAACAAGTTTTCCATTGCTTTCCACGCTTGGGTAGCAATCCCCTTATGCACCTCCAGAGGCGTTCATTCAATTGATTGGCTCCTGCCCTCCACATTCCCTGATGGACGATTAGAGGGAGGAGGTAAGAGATAGCAAACAAATACTCCTGCGTGAAATGCATGAGCAAATTGCCCTTTTCCCTCCATATTCCATTCCTGTCACTACTTCGATTTCTTTACTCGCCCAAACAGGCAAACAAATCGCTAGGCCATTCAGTCAGAGCACGAACCACCTACACCATCGACAACTCCGCTCATCTCTCCCAGGAGCGCCAGCAAACATACCTCGTTCCTTCAATCTTTACCTGATGGTTCAGAACGTCCACTTGGTATGTGCGCGGCAATATCAAACAAATGGCTCCTCCTGATTGAGACTTTTTTCTTTCCACAGCGACCGTTATTTTATTTTTGATGAGTGAATGATGCAGGTAAAGTTATCAGCGATGGCACTTGGGTGAGGATCGACCTTCTATTTGACCGTCAATCTTATGGGTGAGAGAGAGACACTCTTGTGTTTGAAGTGCCCCAACTACCATGAACTGCCTTCTTATTTTTGACACCGCCGTTCTCTCTCTTCCCATTAGTCCTCTGTTTCTCTTCTCTCTCTTCTCTCTCTTACTCTTCCATCCTACCTTCCCTCTCTTATGATAAAGTGAGAGAGCATATGACTTCTGATCTCGCCCCACTACAAGTAAATTTTCCAAGTGAAGAAAATGCGTACGGGGAAGAGGGTTGCATGCTTACCTCGTCTGAACCACCCAACCCGCACTCCTCCGCTGGCTCGCGTTCGTCTCTATAACCTTCTTTTGTTGTTCCTTACGAAGGAAATGCGAGGGAAATGCGATGAAAGTTCCATGAAAAGACGATGAAAGTATCATGAAAATTAGAGAAAGCAAAAGTATTATCCCTTCTAACCCTCCATCGTCGAATCCCTACCCCTAGAAACCACTGCGGGGCGCACACTTTTTACACCTTGGTCAACTGTATCCATATCACAGAAGACTCCAACGGAACAAGGACAAAAGCAGACTAGTTATATATTACGCTTTGCTTTTTAATCGAGTACTGTTCGCAAACCACACCGCACCTCCTCCCGATTCCGCTTCAATCCAGAATAACAACATCAACAGACCTTCCATCCACGACAACAGTCTCATCCAGATCCACAGCTTGCGCCGTCGACGTACCATCCCCAACACCGTCACCGCTCTCTGCGCTGGCTACTGATGGATGAGCGACTCCTCCAAGAGTCGTCTTTTTCAGAGGTGCGTCCTCCGTCGCCGTCTCGCTAGTGCTCAGAGTCTCCTCAAGCTTTCGCTTCTTGTTGGCATCCGACATGACAACGTCAAGGTCTTCCTGATGTTCGTGTTCGGCGGCGGCTTCAGCGGCCACAGCCTCCTTGAGCTGCTGTCTCACTACCGTCTGTTGCTCCAGTGCTTGTTCAATGTCTCCCTCAATCGCATATGTGCTCTCACCCAAGTCTGCAGAGTCGCTATAGGGGCATGAAATAAAAGAACGCAATAAAATATCAGCAAACGTCGGCGCGTGAATGGACTGATAAGACATAATTAACGGTGAAAGACACAACAATTGCGTCCGCCACCAACAGAGAGCCCCACTTACACATGCTTGAGGCAGACAATAATCTTGCGGTCGTCTTCATCCACAACATCAATAAACTTTCCGTCCGTCAGTTCCAAGCTTGCAAGGGTCTTCTCAGCATTGTCATCAAAGTCAGGGTCATAGATCACCCTAATTCGTGGTCAATAAGAAACAACAAAACGCGTTAGCATAGGTTCACAACGAATATGCCAGCAGTTATCCCTCGACCAGTCCAATTGGCTCACCTTCCATTCTCCTGGATCTCAGCATCCTGCAACGAGTTCTCCTCCAAGAGCGAGACCAAATCCTGAACAGTGCTCTTTTCAGTATCGATCTTGAGTCCAATGTAAGAGTTCCTGCAGATGTAGCACTTTGGGTTGGGCTTCGCTAATGGCTCCGACACGATCAGCTGTGGGCGGTGACGACCATACACCAAATAGCTCTGGTAATTTTCAAAGCAAGGTGAGGTTAGCATTCAATATATACATATCTAGTCGCATGATGGACAAAAATTCAGAAGTAATATACACGTACCGTTTTGCAGTCTGCCATCCGCTTGTTGAGGACCTTGAACGCAAGCATGACCATCATGCCTGCAACGATGGCGTTGGTTGTTGCAATAGCAGGAATAATGTTACCCGCCATAGCTGCTCAAGCAAAATCAACAGGAGAAAACGGAGGTGAGCATCAAATGTGGTTTGGAACACTGTCATTTGCAAGTCCACGTCACTGCCAAGTCTCTCTAATTAGTCAGTACCTTTCACTTGGAATCGGCTCTTCTCCTCGATGCCGTATACATGTGCGCGGAGGTTAGCTGTTGCAGTAACAAAGTCCAGAGTCTCCGAGTCATCCTTGTCAAACTGCACGCTAGCCTCTGCGTCCGTTTCCCTCATGGTCGTCAAGCGACTCGTCAACTTTAGCAAACTATACGTGTAAGTGTTGGGAATAAATACGTTAGGGCCAGAAGTCCTTCCCAACAACGAGTCTAACACTGAATAGTAAACGCGCTAGCAAGTTCGTACCTGTCGCTGAACACTTCAATTGTTTCCCGCAAGGTCCAAACACGCTGGTCCTTCAAATTTTGTGATTCCAAAGTGGTGGCGCCCATGGCCTTTTGGAGGTCTTCGGTTGAGCTCATGATGACGTCGTACTTGAGCGGCGTTGGTGGCTTCCTGCTCTTCCACATATCCTCCATACTCCTGAGTCGCTCAATGTCGGTATGGAAGACCTTGTCAAACACCCGCTGGGCAAATCCTTCTGTACCCGCTGACGCCAAGATAGCCTTGAGCGCCTGCGCCTCCTGTGCCAAAGCAGCCAGTTCCTTGGCTAATATCGATGGAAGTTGGGTTTTGTGAGACAACGCCCAATGGAAGTTACGGAACGTACGAAATTGGCTAAATTTTACATAAAGCACATACCTGTCTCCTCGTCTCCACTATCCTCTTGCGAGACTGTCTCATCATCGTCATCCTCTGCATTCCCGAACAGCAAGCCAAACAGGTAGCTCTTTGCCCACACAATGCAGTGAATGGGTGTACTGGGTGTGCTTCTGATGGTGCAGACAGGAAAAGTCTTTGGTGTCTCTTTGGGCTGGCAGTCAAAGCACTCTGTCTTGTCCTTTTGAATGATAGTGACCTGTCCCAAGTATCCCGCTGTTCCTGACTCGACCAGCGGCACGTTGGCAGCCAAACACATCTTGTTCACATGCCGCCTAGCATCTACAATATCATCAAACAAATGCGCGTTAGTATTGGCGCTAAAAGGGGCTGCGATCATGATGTCCTGATGCAATTGGGTCCTTGTGCGTACCAAGGTTGTCGAGGGCATTCATGACCAGGTCAAAGCTTTTGAACCAATCAACAGAGAACTCTTGCTCCTTGATGTTTTGGTGGCGCGAAACAATGTTGACGTCTGGGTTGAATGCCAATGCCGACTCTTTTGCGACCTAATTAAATATCGAAGTATTTAACACGCGCCATTGTAAGTATCCTGTGGCTATGGTCAGCGTCTTTACGAGTATCTCATTCCTCGTTCTTGTTGATAATTACATGCGCCTTGGACTTTTTGATATGTTGCTTCTGGAAGAGGAACTGGCGGTTCAAGTTCGAGAGATCAATTGTATCCAAATCGATCTAGTTGGTGTTATTTGGAAGGTAAATGAAAAATAACCGTTAGTACGAGATGTACCTCTTAAACTCTTTCAAACCAATACGCGCTACTCAAGCTCTCGATCCACTGCTCCGTTAGCATTCAGTCGTGTCCCCCGAGTCTCCTTCGTTGGTTGTTGTTTCGGCCAGTCTGACTTACCACCTCGATGTTCTTGAACCCGCTCATGACGAGATTCTTGAGTAGTTCGCATCCGATGCCTCCTGCGCCGACCATCAGCACCCTGGAGTCTGCGACAGTCTTGGCGAGTGACTTTCCGATGGTTGTTTCGAGATGAGAATCGCGTGCCATGTCTTCCTGTTCTGTCTTCCTTGTGATCGTCCTTGTGAATGTGTGAATGCGTTTGTAGGAAGTGAAGGCAAAGCAGAAAGAAGGTGGTTAAGAATAGAGTCGCCGCCGATTTGTGTGGCTTGTGAATCCGAAATGTTGCAGTGCCTGAATCGTTGGGCGTACCTCTCTCTATCTCTCCAGTAACCCACCCGCGTTTACAAACCAACTGTCTTAGGTACATGTCAAGCCTGTTCATGACTTTGGCAGTCAGTGTCCCTACTGCAGGGATGTGCGAGGGTGTTGGTGCCACGAGAATGGCGACCCCCTCCCCAGGTACTTACTTTGCTGGTGGTTTCCAGCTGACTGCACGTGACGCGTGCCAATTGCCCGCCGACTAATAAACCTTATTCCCTCCATAGTGATCGAGCCGGCAGTCCGACGCTTTCCCCTTTACACTTTGACCTGACAACTGTCACCTATTCAACGCCTCCTCGCTCCCTCTCTTTCCTCATTACTTTCCCTCTCCTCACCTTTCCTCACACTCTCCTCTCCTCCCTTAACCCTTACAACACACACATACACATACGCACAATGGCACCCCAACATGTCGAACACCTCCAGGACTGGATGAGCCAGATGCATCAACTCGCCAACCGAGCAGACGAAGACGGCCTGGGCTTCACCCCCGACACTTTTGGTCGCGCCAAGATCGTCGATGCAGACGCCGATTCGGCCACCTTTGAATACGTCGTCCAGAAATCCGACTGCAACTTTACAAACAACTTTCATGGTGGTGCCATTGCTACCTTGGTCGATAACCTTACTACTGCTGCCCTGTTTACTCGAGAACGTAAGTTCATATGGCAGGATTGGGAGGCATTTGCTGTAAAGGGAAGGAGAGGGAGAAGGGACAAGGAGATGGGCCGACTAATCTCAAAAAGAATGTTGAAGAGGTCCAAACGAATCCCCATGGGAACATGGAGCGTTTTGTCTGCAGCCTGCTAACCATTCTGACATCTCCTCTTCCTTTAATATCTTCACGCGCGACCCGAATGCCTCAATCGACTCCGCATCAATCGCTGCACAACAACAAAACCAACAAACTTGTACAACCCGACAATACAACAGGTAAATACTTTCAATACGCAGGCGTCTCAACCGATCTACATGTCACATACGTCTCGGCTGCAACCCTGGGCATGACCGTCCTACTCGAGTGCAAGGTCGCCAAGGTCGGCTCTGGCCTCGCCAACACCACCGCCGTCCTCAAGGACAAGGCCACCAACAGAGTCCTCGCCACAGCCTCCCATACCAAATTCAACACCGACTCTAGAATGGGCGGTGGATCCAAGCTTTAGGGTAGATAGAGGCATCTTTCATGTGTAGATTGTCAATTAGAAGAAAAAAATACAGATCTCAAAAGGAGTACCTTGCTCCGTGTACATTTTTTTCCCGGCTGAACTTGCTTCCATGGACCCTGCAACGTTGTGTTCACTTCCCCACCTGTCTCATAAATTGTTCACACCTACAGTTTAAAGTCCCTGCAACTCAATAACTATGCTATGCCTTTGCGACTCTGTCATTCCGGATCAATTGAAACACATCAAGCATGCCTTTTTTTCGTATGTATGTAGACGGGTTTATTGGATGATATACTTTACAAAATCGCTCGCCCCTGGAAACTAAAGGGGAACGTCGACCCAGCTGCAAGGGTATGGTACTCTTCTTTTTTTCTTTTAGACTGTTGGTGAGTGGATTGGAGAGAGGGAGAATGTCCTGCATTCGAGAAAACAAAAAAAGGTGGTGGCGGTTGTGGTGATAGTAGCAGTTGTTCCTATTGTTATTGTTGTTGTTGGTCCTGAAAAACTCCCGAGTCGAACTTATGCCTTGACGTTGTAGGTCCAGGTAACCTGACCATCGTGAGCAACACCCAAGCGCTGGTACAAGTTCTTGGCACGGACATAAGGGGTCAAACGAGCATACTGCTCCCTCAATGATTTGGCAACCTCATCACGCTCAGACGAGTTCTTGCCGTTGATGTTCTTGTTCCATTCACGGGTGACACTTTCAAATTGGGCCTCGAGAGCATGGCGTTCAGCGAGGAGCTCCTCCTTCTTGGCCAAATCCTTCATGGGGGCGTTCTCGTCGGGGGTACCAGGGACGTACTCGTACTTCCAGTCGTCGAGACCCTCATAGTGGGTGATGGGGAGGCGGTCACGGGGGATGACCTTGTGGAGCTCGGCGTTGTTGCGGGTGAAGACAAACTTGGAGGCGACGACGGGGTCGAGGAGGGGCTGGATCAACTTCCAGAGACCCCAGAAGACGAAGGGTGCGCGGTGGACTACACAAACTCCGAGGGTCTCGGGGTAGTATGATTCGAAGCACTGGACGAACAGGCGGACGAAGCCCCAGTCCATGTTATCGAGGCCAAAGTTCGACAAGTCAAAAATAACGATAACCGTTTCGGATCCTGATCCCAAAACAAGGCGCCCGCACTCCATGGTCTGCATAGTTGAAAGAAGGAGAGAAGAGGGTGTCAGCGGAACCATTTTTTCCATGCCAAACGGAATTTTCTCCTGCAAACAAAGAAAAAATGTGCCTTACGTGGAGGGTGAAGCGGTGAATAGTCTCTGGGGGCTGGTCGCTCTTGTGGTGGAGACGGGTGTTGACGACGGACATGGGGCGACCGAGGGGGTCGGCACCGCGGAGGTATCCCTTTCCGATGCGCATCTGCTCAATGAATTTGGGGTACTTCTCATCCAGCTCCGAGTCGGAGAGCTCGATGAGCTCGTCGACACGCTCAACGATGCGCCACTTGAGGGCGTTGAGGAACATCTTCATGGCATCATCCAAGTTCCACTTGCGTGCACGAATGAACTATTAGAATGGAAGGCAAAGAAAGTGCGATGAGTGACAGTTCTTCCTTTTGCATGATGAATTGGAGGAGTGATAATATCGCTCTCATAAAACCTTATTTGTCTCTTGCACTAATGGTCACTTTGTACCCCCACTGGTGTGTGTCTGTCAACCTAATCACAAATCACTCCTTCCTTTTTCGTATCATCATTCAAAAGTACCTTGAGAATGATCAGGTCGGGGTGGTCCATCATGGTCAACTTCCAGAAGGCCTTCTGGATATCGGCACCAGAGAACCGGGGGGCGGGAGCAACAACATCAGCAGCCTTCTCCTTGGGAGCCTCGGCAGCCTTGCCACGGCCGAACCAGCCACCAGACTTCTTCTCGGGCGCAGGGGTGGCAGGGGTATCCTCATCACGGGTCTGACCCTTGAAGGACGAGGGGGCGGTCTGGTCAAACTGGGTCTTGCCGTCAAAGATGTCGTGGAGACGGACCCAGAACTGCTGGAGCTTCTCAGTCTGCTCGGGAGTCAAGTGGCCAAGGCGGCCTTCGGTAGGAGCAACGGGCTGAACGTAGGTGGACATGATTTGTTATGTGTTTTTGGTGAGTATTGTTGAGAAAGAGAAGAGTAGCGGGGTATAGATACAGGGAAGGGTCTGAAAAGGTGGGGATGAGTGAGCGTGAGCAGTAATTTGGAGTAGTGGAGTTTGGGAGGGGAGAGGTAGGTATTGAAGAATGTCTTGAGGAGAAGAGAAAAGAAGAGGGGAAAAATGTGGAGGATCGCGGTCCTTTTATCTTGTGGGTTGAGTTGAAAAATGAATAAAAAGGTTCCTTCCTTTTCTTTGGTGGGCTGCAGGTTAGGCTATGATGACAGGACTAAAAACGAAACCTTGTGAAGATAGAGTGTGAGAGAGTAGTAAGTGAACAGCAAGAGAAAGAGAAGGCCAGAGTAGAGAAGAGTATACCATTGGGCATTCAATTGGGCCAACAATGCATTGACATGTTTGTCTCCTTTTTCACTTTACATGAATTTTTTTCAACCTTCTTTTTTCTTTGGTTCGTTATTATTATTATTCTTCCCTCTGTTGTCATTCGAACCTTCATTTCATTCACTCCTTTAACTTATTCAAACATAGAACAAACAAAAGATATACGCTACGATCATGTACCTCTGTACTGCCGTAAAAACATAACCGCCACTTTGAATGAACAACCCTCTGTCCTTTTTGTTGGCCGTTTGAGGTTGGTTTCCATCTTTGTCATCAAAAAGTCACCTGGCTCCCTTCTTCCCCCATACACACACATTCACATCGACTGCTGTTTACTTAAAAGTGCATCTCACACTAAAACGCCCATTGCTCCTTTCTACTCGTCTCCTACCAACTGGGTGGCCAGGCTTTATTTTCACAACACGCGCTAGTACTAATTTTGAAGCAGCCTAGCTGGATACCACCGAAAGTCGGAAAGAAAAATTGCAAGCACTAGCGGAACAATTTATTCTGGCATTTAAGTCCTGACTTCGATCTGGGCCTCGTCCTTCCTCTTTCTTTGGAGTCTTGCAATAAAGGGGGATTAATCATCCTTCTCTCCATGAATCACTTTGTTCTCTTGCTCGCTGCATCTTGCCACCATTCTTCTTATTCCCAGTTACTGCTTCTTATACGCATGTGCGTGTGTGCGAATGTGCATGATCGAGAGCAAAAGTGGCGATGAAAAGAAAAGGAATGCTCGCTCGCTCCCTTCTTTTCTCTTCGTTGGCGCCGAATTGTTAGTGTGTTCGAGAGGGCCAAAAGAAAAAAAAAGCGATTTCATCCGTCGTTGCATTTTTCAAAGAGCGACACGCCTCCCCCACAGATTTCCAACGGAGAAAGGAGAAAGTGCTGTAGAGACATAGAGGCATGATTGAGTGAGTGTTGCACCTTGCAACGGCTCACAATGACACTTTCTCGCAAAAAAAAAAAATGTCACTCCACATACACTCGACGGAGTTTTGTTCCCCTTCATTCTCCCACATGCTAGAGCTGCCACCTCGACTAATGGGATGAATCCATAACGCTCTCCCCACATGTCATCCATCCTGGTGCTCGCTCGTCCCCCCATCTCCCTCTTCTCCAAAAATCCTACCCCAATCCTCTCTCCTTCTTCCATAGTTTCTTATTCACGTCCTTCCTCATCTGTCCGGACTCTAAACCAACCAACTCCTAGAGAACAACGCACGGCTGTTCTGCTCAATATCGTTCTCCGCCCAACTCTCCTCTACGCCTCGAATGATGCCACCTACCATCGATACCCTGTCATTCTCTTCACACACACACACACTCTCTCTCTCTCTCTCTATCTCTCTCTCTCTTTTCCACCGTTCACTTTCTCGAGGGATGTAGGGAACTATCTTGCTTAGCACCGTCGAACCACACTCCTTCAAACGTGTTTATGTGAATTGTGAATTTGTTATGTATAGTTGTTTGTTGTTTTGTTCTCTCTTCCCAATTCTCATCTAAGCAAGGACATCCTTCTCACTCCTCAATAACAAATGAATGGAAATCCAACAATAATAATAGATTCAGCAAACAACAGTGCATGTGCATGTGCACACCGCAAACACATACGCAATACACAGACTCCAAAATTAAAAATTAGCCCAATTATCCAGGGACAATGGCAAATCACAACAATCAACCAAGGAAAAAAGGAAATAAGGCACAGGGCTGTTTGGCGAAGGTACCAGGGTCGTGCAACGATACGCTGGTATCTCCCAACAAATGAACACCACATTAAGGAAAACTCTAGCGTTTGAATATGGTTGTTGTCCCACAAGGATGTGCAAACAAACAAAACAAAAGAAAACAAAACAGGACGAAAGAACGAACGATGCATGCTGATCCGATGAATGAACTGTTCGCGCAGTATTTGGTGTTTGTGATGACTGAAAAAAACAAAGCAAGATAGTAGCTATCATCGCCACAGCCCAGAGAGTGGTTCATGTCTACTTTCTGGGGACAATTTACGAATGATACAACAGAGTCAAAGTGAGGGTGAGGAAAAGAGGCGGTGATAAAAGATGGAAGTGGCAATTAGCATCCATAACCCAGAGGACGTATGTTGACAACTTGAGCACTTTATTGGGTACGTTCGATTTAAAATAAACGGGATCAATGGACAAAGGAACACAAGGAGGAAAAAATAGATAACGCTATGTCACAAACAACATGGATGAAGGACTTTCAGATGTCTTTTCTCCATTCGACTCTTGCTAATGAAGAACTCACCCTTTTCCAGTGAATGAAATGGATGAATGTGGAACGAAAAGCTGGTTAAGACGGCCCTTCATTTTTGGTTTTGGACCCTTCTCCCTCTCTTTCTCTGTTTCTGATCACATTGCCCTCCAATTCGCAATTAAGAAAGAAAAAAGCCTTTGCATATGACCATCCATCGCCAAACGCATGAACCTCTTGGTTGCCAGCGAAAGGAGTAGGGAGCCTTCACCTCCATGTCAATCACTTGTATATTTCGGAACCGAACCGAGCGGCTCACTTTTTTTTTTTTGTTGTTCACTTCCAGATCCACAAGAACTTTAAAGTTCTCTACCCTACCCATCCGCGGGATACATACAAAGGTGAATGAGAAAGGATGATATCGCTCAGAACTAAACTTGCGAACAAACGAACAAACGAGAGAGCCAGGCCTTCTGAGAGAAAGTAGCTGGTTCGACCGCCAGAAGAGCAGAGACCATATCCAAAATCATGAGATTACGACAACCTACCTCGCTCCCTTTTTTGCTTCAATCGTCTAGAACTTCGACAGTTCCAATCGCTCGTTCAATGCTCCATGTACTTCTCGTCCTCTTTTTGCTCCCTCTAGAATCTACACACGCGACTCTTCGAAGGGCCTTTACCCAATTGTGGACGGAATAATTGATACAAGGACCAACTAAAGCACAGACCAGACTTGTCGACTCTCCTCCTCCCCCCTTTTTATTACTCCTTTCTTCCCTCTCTTGTTCCTTCCTTCCTTCATTACAAGCTCAAAATGTAAGGGCCAATCGATTTACCGCTACATTACGCATACGCGTGCACACACACGACGATTGCACGGCCAAATGATTTGCTTTCTCAAACACGAGGGACACCATTTTCACCCAAAGACATGAAAGAACGGTAGATGGATGGTTGGGGATGGGGGTTCTTCAACTATTTCGACTTTTTGAAATCCTCCCCCAGCAGGAAACGCCTCCTCATCCCTCCATGCGAATTCAGTATCATGCACCGTAAGGAAGGGTTGACTGCAAGGAACCCTGTCGGTCAAAGAGAACACCTTAAGAGTAGACTGTCAATGTACCAAACCCCACAACCCCACTGGAGGGCGCATGCACCATAAAGCATAGACGGGAAGAATATGGAGTCCAAACTATACATTTAAACCTCCTGTCTCTCCAACACACAAACGCTAAAAAGCATTTATCCCTCACCACCCCACCCTACTGTGCATGTGCAAGAACCAACCACCAACACAGTGAACCCGCATGTTTATAGCGCATGCATGCACTGCATCCAGTGTTCGCAAAAGTGCTCATTTTATCATCCTCAATCCCAGGTTGGTCGTCTTAAAGCGCATACGCATACATAATTATTCATCAAGCACTAAAAATATTGTCACTTTGAGGCGTCAAGTTGCATGCGGGCGAGCGCAGCTGCGTACATCTATCAACCTTAATACCAATGCTACTTGCCTTCTCGCCTTCTAGCCTTTGGATCCTTTGTAAGAGATGGGATAAGGAAAAGTCGCCAACGGGCATGATCGATGGGGCGTGAGAAGGAGGGAGTCTGGGCTTGCCGTTTCGTTGATGAAAGAATATCAACGGTGGAGGGTGATATCTACCGCTAGTCCGACAGATTCAGTTGATTACCCACCACTCGCCTAGCCTTGCCATGCTTGGGGTGAAATAAGAAGCTGTGCATGTCAACAGAAAAAAGAACCAGGGACATGTCCTGTATCGATTATTATTTTTTGGGTTTGTCATCTTTTTCAAATTAAATGAAGCAGGACACCATCAACCACCACTTGCAGGACATCAAGAGGACGAAGACATTCCCTGGCAAACGGGAACCGACATTGACAGGAATCAGCAGGAAGTAACCATTCACTCGTCCTTCACCCTAGTGAAAAGTGGGTGTCCCATCTGGTGCTTCATAATCACTGTTGGCGGTACTCAAAACATATCCCCCTTTCTGCTGACTCTTGTCTTTCACACCTCATCTCTCCTTCCTCCTTCCTGTTCGTTGCCAGCACATGGACAGATATTGCCAGGACTGAAAGGGCAGAAGAAGCCAGGGCAACAAGTCATTCATGGTCTCCTTAGGATTGGGTTTGATGAAGGAGATGTTCCTGGATGTGGGTTTGCGGTTGTTACTGCAAAAAAGCCGGGTTTTGATGGACAAAAGCGCTCAAGGTGTGCAAGCAAGAGCAGCTCCAAGGAATAATTCATTGTCTGCTTGAGAAACGACATCATAGAATTGGACTACACATGTCTTCAATGAACTGCTGACGTCAAAAACAAGTACGATTCAGGGCGGTAAGCCACCGCGAG